GGTCAAACGTGCAAAATGGTTCAAGGCGGCGGTTTAATGGTTGTTTCAGACAGACCGGCATAAATCCAATTTAACTCAGCTCGCCGTTGTGTTTGCAGCTTTGGCTCAGAGAGCGTTGCACTCCATTAAATCCATAAGGGCACAAAATGTGAGAAGGACAACAGCTACACTTTTCTGTCACTCTATGTGGAGGATATGAATGTTAACAAGTGTTTTCTGCGCCAGACAGAAAGAAACAGTCATTTGGCCACTTAAAGAATCTGTCACACTATGTATTTTCTGAGATTCATAATATTGGCTTAAATGCTTTGTTTTTCAAAACCTGGCAACTTGTTAGAATGAACAATTGGCTCTTCTATGTGCTGCTATCATTGTGTGTCCTTTACAAAAAACAACCAAGCAGTTTGGTTGTATAATTTATTTTTTGAAGTACAACAACAAAATATCTCAGTGGAATAATTGTTTGTTCTGCTTATTGCCCAGATTTGAGACAATCTGTGAAACATCCCGCTGCAGCTACACCCCAATTGGGTGGCAGACACCAACCAATAGCAGCATATTGTGAGGTGTGAGAACCATAGAAATGTGGTGATCCGTCCAAATCATCACCTACTTCACCGCCTTTCCTCAGCTAACAGTCTGTTCGATGGCTTTTCCAAGCTGGTCATGACAAAAAAATTCAAATAAACAGATGAAACATTTCCTATGGAATGTCAGAATGTGGATTTTGGGATATGACAGCTACAACTCACAGACAAAAAGCCATTTGCTGAATCGGTGATATTCTCTGTCATCACTTAGACTGATTTTCTCATTTTAAGTTCCCTGGATTTGAAAAAGAAAATTTCTCACTGAACACTTGCATTCCTCAGCAAACAGGGACTAACAGTGAACTGCACTAGCCAGTCAAAGCCGATGTTTGCTCATGCTGGTCAGGGCTGTAAAAATGAAGAATCATTGGCCTCTTGCTCACGTTTAGATTTGGATTCTATAGCATATTGTTTTTTTCCCCTTGTCATAAGCAGTTCAAACTTATCCATATGGTTTATTACAGCTCGAAGCATGACTCAATCATAAAAATGGGCAATACTGTGTAACAGGGGTGGTAAGGTTGTGCGTAATCTTTGTGTTACTGCTTCAGTTGTGCAGACTCTGGGGTCATGCATTGAGATGTGACAGAAAAAGAAATGGAATCGCAGAAAGTTTCTTTTTTTCTTTTTTTTTTTGTTCAGTCTGCTGCAGCAGTAAGAACTAAATAATAGTCTCCATGCTGCCTTTTCCCATTTTCCATCCACCAAACAGAATGCCGTGCATTGCGCTGATTTTACTGAGCAATGAACAGTTCATAAGTATTATGTAGACAGCAGTTAATAGAGTTCAGAGTGGATTTGTGTTGCCCCATTAGACTGGCAGAATGATGCGTAGCACAGAAGTAAATCTGAGCTAAATTGCAGATGTTGGGATGCTCAGTCAACAGTAACTCTGTTATGAAGATTGATGCTGCGCACGGCTCACCGCTGAGAGCTCCACGGCTCTTTCCAGAGAGGGTGCAAACCTTCACAATGTCACTTTTCATTTACATCTCTGGCAGTGTTCATGTCTTTCACTCGTGTGTCAGTCTCACCACCGAGTAAACACCCCTCTCTGACAGCTGTTTCACACCTTTCTCTTCACTCCTGCTCCTGCTCTCTGAAATTCCATGGCACTTGTTTACCAGTTAACGACATGGGGGAGGTGGGGGCTGATGGAAAGACAAGGGTTACCACCTCAGAGCCCCCATCACTCACCACACACGCACACGCAGGCCCTCACACACACAGAAGCAAAGCGCCTGTAGAAGAAAAGGCGCTACGTGAGCTCTGCAGGGCGTCCATGGCTGGTCTGAACTCACACAAACAGGCCCTGCTTGTGCAGAGGTGGGTCACAGATGACCACTTCAGAGAGCCAGTCATTTCACACAACTTTGCACACTGGCAGAATTGGCTTTTCCAAGCAGGAGGGTTTTTCCTCGTTAAAATGAAATGCACACCCCGGTGGCCAAATTGGCCCTCTGACGTACGCGCTCCCAGCTGGGAAAACACAGCCGGCGGGGTGTGTGTGTCGCTGCCAGCCCTGGCAGCAGAAATGCTGGGTACTTACAGTATGTAGGTGAGGGTGACAGGGATCCAAATCTGTCTTTATCTGCAAAGTCATTCATAATTGCACCCGTTTTGGGAAGTTCTTTAATGATTTCTTCATGCAGCATTAAACTGACAACAGATTGCACTATTTGCCTTATTGGAAACCAGCATTATATACATTTCTATAAATAAATACGTATAGATTTATTTATACATATTTATCCGTATTTATGTATGGATTCATCTTGTGTACACGTGTAAAAAGGCCCTGAAGTGAATATTTATAGTAGTAATAAATTGCAATATCCTTGAACTGTGTCTGTCTCCCCTATAGAAACACTTCTGAGCTTTGTGGATGACATTCTGTCGGGGGCCAGGTCTCCCTGCGTGATGTTAGGGGACATCCCCAACCTGCTGTCCACTTCCATCAGCATGATCATCCGCTGCCTGGAGCCGGACACCACATACATGTGAGTTTACTCTGGCTTAAGATGATCCTTTCAATGAGCATGCAAAGTCATACTCTCACAGGATTTTAAATATGTATATTCTTTAAGATATTTGATTTTTCAGTGATATGGAATTTTTGTTTGCATCCTGTGTAAAAACAATTTCACAATTGTCACAAAGTATTGTTGTTTTGTTTGTACCAGTGACATGAAATGATTTAGTCCAGACTAAATTCATTATTTACAGCACATGTAAAAGTCAAAAAGGACTCACCAAGAGTCTCTGCTCAAATGTGCCAATAATGATTTTTTGAAAAGTGCACTTTATTTACTCTGCAGCTGCTTTTCGAAAAGCTGAGAGAAAAAAACCTGTGCTGTTTGCTTTTTTCCCACACTGTTGTCCCACAATCTACAAAGGAGTTGGAGGGGTGTCTCACGGCAGGAAAAAATTACAATAATTGCAACCCCAGTGGAGAAAATAAACCAAAATTCATCTTTGGAAAAACATTTTGATTTCTGCACGTGAATTTTAATTGACGACGTCATTTCAAGTGGAAGAGGAAGTTGGCTCTGTGACATCATTATCAGTTTTCCCCATCCCTCTGTTTCCAAAGCACGCGATCTCCACTGTTCAAGAACTGTAAATCGTATATGTTGCTGTTAAAGTTTGTTTAACAGCCGGCAGTCATTTCACGCTGTGCTACTCTCCTTAAAACCACACGTCCATTTCTCCCACAGTGAGATGGGATGAGAGTTATCTGTCACTGACAATGACATTGAATCCAGACAGGATAAAGCAGGCTGAACCACAGGACTGAGCCTTTTAGACCAATCAAAAAGGAGAGAGATGGAGAGTTACAGGCTTCCTGGATTATTTTGACACCAGCTATTTTAGCTGTGAGCGCCGGAACTGAGTCACACCATGCCAGTCCAGAAACCTACGATCAAATAGTAGGTGACCGAATGACTACTAATTCTCAGGTTTGATAGAGTTTAGTCAGGTTTAGTGAACAAAAGCATAGCGATGAGGCTGTCATGCATCTCTTCTTTGCAGTTATTGTCACAGCAGCCTTTCTGTGGGGGGGGTTACATGTTCCTCTGTGTCTTTGTGGGTTCAATCTGGGTACTCCGCCTTCCTCCCACCATCCAGAAACAGTACAGATCATCAATTGAACACTCTATTAGTGAGTGTGTATGTGTGTTTGTGTCTGTGTGGGCCAGTGATGGACTGGAGACTGGTCCCGGGTGTGCCCCCCCCCTCACCCGCTGTCAGCTGGGATGGGGTTAGGGTTAGGAACGAGCAGTGTAGACAGGGAATGAATGAATGAATGAATGAATGAATGAATGAGTTGGCACAACGTTTAAAACCTAAACAGCTATAAAAGGGTTTATTTAGCAACATGTTAGTCTTGACTTACTAAAAATACTCAAGTAGTTTGAGTCTAAAAAACATTTTCAAACATAAACTATTATGTCAAAAGGCAGCAGAACATTCATAGATTTCAACCAATCAGGCTTCCGAAGCAACCGGCTGCATACGTGTGTGTGCCTGCAGAGTAAAGGGGACCAACGAGGTGATGTCGTGATCAGGACCGGATGTTTTAATGCACTCGCAGGCATGCTCACACTTATCTCACCCAGAGCTTGCCAAAAAGGAAGCCATACGCACGTTTTGGAAAGGAAATACAAGGCAGGATGAAAAGAGGGAGAGCAGACTGGTTCAGACACATGAGGTCGAGAGAGAAAAATGAAGAAACATTACAAGAGATGCACAGAGAAAAACAGGGTATGTGCAGAAAAAGTTCAAATGGAGAGAGGCCAACAGATTGAACACCGTGACTTTGGAAGTATGTGGGCTGAATAAGCAGTTTCACATGTTCTTTTAATTCCGATGTCAGCGGGACTCCTGCTCGCTCCGTCCTCTCTGACAGCTCATTCATCTTTGCAAGCCCAGGCCTCACATCTCCTTCAGGCTCGTGCTCACTTTATATGGCCTCTGTGCAGACAGATCCTATATAAATGCACATGTTTTTAGAGAAAAGAACCCGTGTGCAGACACACATGGGCTTGTTATTAAGGCAGCGTGGTAAAAAGAACACACTCTGTAGCAGCATCAGAGTTAAATGTCTTAGACTTTGACTGACTGATTATTGTCTTCTGCTTAAATGACATGTAGATTTATTTGCCCGTTTCAGTCTTTGTTTCAGCAGGTGCCTGAAGGGGGAGTTTTGGCCACTAGGTGGTGCTATTAATTCACTTACAGCTCACAGAGAAGGGCACAATTAGAAAATCCAGCCTCCCATCCTCACCCACAGACGGGCCTTTGGCGGGGTTGCAGAGGGAGCATCACACGTCTGTTTGCTGCAACAGAGCCATCCAAACGCACCACAGCACATCCTGCTGACCGAGTTCTGGTTGGTGTCCCCTCAGGTTCCGGCTGTGGGCAGTAGACAACACAGGACGGCGTTCCAGTCCGAGTGAGGTCACCATCAAAACCCCGTGTCCGACTGTGGATGACGTCAAAGCACAGGGTGAGACACAGATCCCATATTTACAACAGCTCCTGACCATCCACACAAAAACAAGCCGGACGCACGATGGGGGCCTGACAATACATCCTAGCTGTTTTCAAAATGAAAAAAGAATTAATACATTTGGTGGAAGTTCCGCGTATCAGAGGAGCTCATTTACAGAGCAGATGTTTGCTCTCTTAATAGGGAGACAAAATTTTAGAAACTTCCTAAAGCAGATGTCAAATGGGTTCATAAAGGAAGTCATATAGTCACAGACTAGTTTCCCTCTCTGGACCAGGATTGTTTATGGACACTGTATGCTCAAATTCTATGAGGATGTCAACTATAAAAAATGACAGAAATCTTTGGTTCCCTTTCACTGCGACGAGGGCTTCATAGTAAAGATGTTATTGCGGATCCTGCTGCTGTTTCCAATCAGCTATTACAAAAATGCACCGTTCAGTGAAGTGTGATCCTACTGGGCTTACGCTGTTAATTTTAACGCCTGGAAATGCATGAATGGTGTGAAATGCAATACTTCCATTGTACTGGCACAGAGTTCAGCTTATTTTATTATCAGCCAGAAGTGAGGGATAACTTCCTAAACTGAAGATCTATGAAAAAGCTCATTAACATCTCACAAAATGTGAAAAAAAAAATCTCCTTCTTCTTCTGTGGTGATGATTTATTAAATTTAAAATGGTATTGCTATGAAGATATGCATGTAAAATGACATCTGGCTTAGTCATCTAAAAGTGAAAATGCTATAAAAATAAAAATATACAAAAGGTGAAAAGTCTACAGAAATAATAACAAGTCCGTAGAAATAAGAAAAAGGTTTTGTGTAAACACATGAGATATGGGACAAAAACAAAACAAAGGGATTGTTTGAGCAAAGGTGAACCTGTGGGTTACTGGAATACTTGTTAAAGTAAACTAAAATGTCTCTGGACTGGACAGAGACACCGTCAGAGCTCTCAGCCTTTGGTTTTATCGGGAGTCATTACCTATGCCTTTATATTAAAACACTGGAAAAAAAATATTTATAAAAAGAACTTCACAAATAACCTAAACACATTTACCTCATCTCAGGTGTCAAAGCGAGGAGAACATCACTAAAGACAGAGAATCTGAAATGTATCCACTCAAAGTGGGAAGTGAGCACAAAGCAAAATCCTGTGATGTGAGGCTGGAAACCAAAGCAGAGTCAAGCCGTTCAAAACTAGCCAAAGTCACATTGTTTGGGGTTGTTTTAGATACATTTATTTTTAATAACAAGTTAGACGTACTTTGTTTTCTTTGTCCATTGCACTTGAATAAACCTAAAAACCTTTTACTTGAAATTATCTGATTTTAAGAGGCTAATAGTGATATCAGTACTCCAGATCTACCATGAAACATGATAGTGTGCATGGATGTGCATGGAGTATGGAGATGCATGGCTCCTTGGAGAAAGTAAATATATCACTTTTTCAAAAACAAACATTATAGTAGCAACACTTTGCAGCTTTTGCCATTTAGCAAACAAAAGGCTTGCTTTGCATCCAAATTTGTTGGGGAAACGCATACTGTGTGTGACTTAAGAGTTGCATGAATGCACTTTGAATTCTCTGCTGTTGCATCCTCCCAGTTGCATATCACTTTAAGATTCAAGCTATTTGCAAAAGTCCTGGTTCGGCTGCAGTTCTGTTTCAGTTTTGGTTTGATTTGAACCAGTTTTTTCTAAAAAAACAAAACCATTGCCTCTCCTTGGATGTCAGTTTGATCCGAGCTGACTAGTGACATCCTTCATGAGTGGTGTGCCATAAAATGTTCTTTAACTCTCGTTTAGTGCTGCTGTCCACTGAGTGGAACTAACCCTTGATTGTGTGTCTCCTCTCAGAAATTGCAGATAAGATCTACAATCTGTTCAATGGCTACACCAGCGGGAAAGAGCAGCAGACAGCCTACAACACCCTGATGGACCTGGGGGCCCCCACTCTGCACCGGGTGCTCTACCACTACAACCAGCGCTACGAGAGCTTTGGAGAATTCACCTGGAGGTGTGAGGACGAGCTCGGGCCCAGGTACAGAGCTCATCCTTTCTCCCAACACATTTTATTGTATTCCATTTTTTAAGATTGATTAACAAGACAGGGAAAGCTAAAGAGTTGGGAGAACTTTGGTAAATTCAGACTCCGATCTTCTGTTTGAGTCAACGGAGGAGGCAAATGAGCCCGCCTTGCATTTCAGAAATGCACAGATTTCCAGTGTGATCTCCTCAGATCAGAGATGTCCAGTCAAGCAAGCAATTTCATCATCAAATTCAGCTTGATCACTAATCTATCAGAAGAACTCAACAGTATCCAAATCCCTGTAGGTCTGCCCCATGTCAGGCAGACATAATGGATCACAGTTTGACGTGAACACAGTTTTTAACTGTAACAAAGGGCCTTGACAAAAAAAGAAAGAAAGAAATAAAGAAGCCATCATTGGTTCAAACCTAACAGTTCTAATCTGTGGAGCTCAGAGCTCAGGTTTGAGGTCCAGCCCACCATGGGGCTCAGGTTAGAGTTCCTGGTCAGGGTCGGTAGATAAGTAGCCCTTGTGGTTGGGATTAGGGGTTGTGGTCCGGGTTTGGAGTTCAGGTCCCACTTCGGTTAGTTAGGATGCAGCAGGAGGTCTCGGTTTAACTCATGGTAAGTTAAACCATTACATGATACCATTTAATCAGGTTCCTGAGAAGCCCTTATTTAAATGTGACAGGAAAGAGAGGTTTCCATTTGTGCCTTATCTTTGCTTGGCAGAAACACACTAGTTTGAAGTTAGAGTTAGCCCTGAAAGGCCCCTTGTGAATAAATATCAAACATTATCCCAATGTTTGGCTCCCAGCCTCCAAAGTACCGTCTCTGTCACTGGGAATTGAAGTTACTGCAGAAATCCTATTTAAATGTCTGGGAAACTGAGTTCAGCATCTAAACCTCTTCAACATCACAGTTTAGAAGCTTCCCCCCACCCACCCCACCCCCCGCAGAAAATACAGCTACCATTATGTAAAAGTGTAGCCTAATGTTTTCTAAACAGAGCCATGTGTCCGATATAAAATGCACCAATAAACAGCAGTCCGTGGTGCATGCCTTCACTTTGGCAGGTGAAACTGATTAGCCCAGGCTCCCTTAATTCTGTGTGTTTCTCTCTGCATCCGCGGGTTCCCCCACCCTAAATGAAAAGTTGGTTTTAATAGGGACCATGCTGGAAAGAGTTGATGTAATTGATGGAGTTGCTTCTGAAGTGTTCCATTAAAATACACTTACATTAACAGTGCCCCAATTTGGTTAAAGGGAGGGATGATTACCTATAATAAAGGCAGCTCTTAGCTGGAGAAGAAGCAGAGAAGTGCATTCAAGGTGAGGCCTGGAAACAGGGGAAGGAAGTATAAACATGTTTTGTTTAGACAAGTCATCAAATGAACATTAGACTTTCCTGTGTGTCTCGTTTGGTGTGAGGAAAGACTCAATACCGAACTTGAGCTGGATGTGATCTACTGTTACAAGCATGAAGGCAAGCAAAGAGGTTAATGACCCCGGAGCTCCTCGCTGCGCTGACAACCTCCCCACAGCGTCGGGCCGTCCGTGTCTCTGACATTATTCCACCGCTGGGAAATACCGATGCATCAGAAAAATGGCTGCACCAACGCCAGAACGAAAATACTACTGATATCATGCTAGCAAATGAAAATAATGCTCGTGCAAAGCCTTTGGCTTTTTCGAGCGTTGGCTGTTGACGTTGGCCCGGCTGAGCAGAGGCTTCAAAGATCAGCTTGATCACTGTCGTTCAGTCCAACCGAGGCTGACTCTAAATGTGGGGAGAGTTCTAATCTTATCCAGACAAGACCCATTACGAATACACAAGGTTGAAGGTTTGATTTTTTTTTTAACACAACAAATCCGTTTCTATGTCATTTGAATTATTAATCAGTGGTGTTGCATCGATGTTTTGTTGAGAAACAGTGTTTGACCAACCAGTCACCTTGTTCTTTTTACTCATTCTTTCAGTCTCAGAGCACAAGTAGCCAACACGGATAGGAATTATAACTCACTTCACACCTACTCCACTCACTATTACTCAACTACCAGAATATTTGTTTGCAATACAATATGAACGCTGAGGCAAGATTTTCCAAATTAAAGCTTTTTATCAAAACGGGTTGATTCAGACATGCAACATTTTTAGTGTGTGACACGTACGCCTTTCTTCAGCTTTGGTATCTTGCTTTTTTTTTTTAATTGAACAAATTGTCACCTTATTTATTTTAGGTGAGTTATTTGCTGATTTTGGTCAAACCTCCCTTTAGTTTGTTTTTCTTCACATGCCGTCGCTTTCCATTTTTCTGGCGTGTAAATTCTGAGCAATCACACTCTTTCATGGACTCAGTGTGACACTCCTCAGAGTTGTTGCTGTAAATTTGATGATGGACATCAGGAAGACGACATACTGACTGCACTTCGTCGTTGGTTGAAGTTGGACTCGGATTGCTCAGAATCCATGCTGAAAGTGTAAGCGCTCCAGCACCCACTGGAAATGCACAAAAAGGTCACTCTTGAGTTGGTGCTAGTGGAAAAGGAAACCATCGTTGGTACATGTTGAGACTGGGATGAACCCAAACCAATTAAAACATTTTTAACTCTAACTGCACTGTTGTGGGTCGAATGGCTTAAAAAACCCTATGAAATAAACAACAGCATCTGATACCAGCTATAGAGGGCTACTAAATTAAATTATCACCGTGGGTCCTTTGCCTCAGTTGTTGTTTTTAACCACAGAAGACAGACTTAAAATGGCAGTTTTGCAGAAAATATGTTGAAACTGTTATTTTTTTGTACCTTTTCCTTCTCAAATCCAGTTTATACTTTGATAGTTTGCTACAAGCAAAAACAGAAATTTAGACCTAGAGAAGTCAATTACAGTGACATTCGCATGTCACTGTAATTGGCACCAAATTAGTGGATGGTATGTCTTTGAAATGTCCCAATTATTTACTAAACAGTCCTCATCAAGTCTCTTTTGGTGTGGTTTGTTCTTAAATCACCATTGTGAAAGAATTTACCTCTCCCATCCAAGCAATGCATCTGCGGTACCGCCGACAGTAAACAGAAGGAGGACCACAAATACACACACAAACACACATACAAACACACACAAACGCTCAGTTTCATCTTCGGCTCATCTGTTATTCCCCAGTTTCTCTGTCACAAACAATGAGGACAGAATAAACTAGATTTTCATTAGCAAGTCAAAATACAGATAAGAGCTCAGCTCAGGCTCTAACTCAGTGTAAACTCCTATCTGAAAAGTAAGCAATATCTGGAGACAAATGGAGGCAAAAATGCAGCTTTATCTTTCTTGCGGCATCAGATATTTAGATTAGCTATTTTTCAGAAACATATCAGATCTCACGGAGGAGACTGGCATCCTGAGCAGGACCATTGTCTTTCCTTTTTCAGGCAATACTGCGTGGTGCTTTCTCTCAAATCATAAACACACACAGAGGCTGTCTCTCCAAGTCTTGACACTTCCCCACCCGAGGGCCAGACCTTGTCATCACCGTGGGAATACCCATCATTTAGACATGCTGCTTGGCTGTTGATTTAGAAACAGTAGATGTTTTGGCTGGACCGAAAGAAAATCCTTTTTCTGGCTCTTTCAGCCTGGACTGTGTCCTTGGTTGATCCTCATACCCTTTGATGAACTAAAGAATATTTTACTCTTTTTCCAATTATCTTGGGCCGTTTCCTGGTTCAAATCTGTTCCGGGGCCGATCTATGTGAAGCTTGCATGTTTCCCCCTTGTGTGCATGGGTTTTCTGCACATACTTTGACTTCCTCCCACAGTCCCAAACATGCACATTAGGTTAGCTGCTGTCTCTAAATTGACCCTACTAGTAAGTGGAAGCGTTCATGGTTGTTTGCCATGTTTGTCTCTTATGTGGCCCTGTGATTGATTAAGGAGCGAGCCTCCCTGCAGCCCCGGACTGGAAAAAGTGGGTATAGTAAATAGATAGATGGCTATTTATTTCCCCCTCTTTTTCCTTTGTCCAGATCTACACATGAACAGGGATTTACGACAACAACCGTTCAAAATATTACATTTTTCTGAAAAATGTCAGCATAACAAGCCACTTTTTTCTTTGTTCGGAGCAATAAGATATTCCAATTTCCTCAAACCTCTGAAATCTGTGGCCAAGTACTGGGGACATATAGAGGGTTCAGAAAAGGGTCTGAGTGAGTGCATGGCAGCAGTGTGCGCAGACAGCACAGGGGTTCTGGTCTGCTCTCAGGCTACCCGACAAGACTGACGTCATTAAATGGACTCTCTTTGGTTTCAGTTACAAAATATAATCAAGACTGTTAGCATAGTTGCTCTGTTTATATGCAGGAGCAAAGTGGATGTTGTCCTGCTATGTATCAGTCTGCGCACAGTGTTTCAACACCGATAATAATTTAATAGGATACACTGTTTTCTGTTCAAATGTATGTGTATCCCATGAACTAGTGCTAACTGCGCATTGGGAAAAAAAAAATCCTAAATCTAAATCTTAAATAAAGGATTTTCAAACTGATATATCAACAGCCTCCCAGACATTTGTTTGAATTATGGGGTCTTACAAAACGGAGGAAAATTATAAAAGCATTTTTTCGGAAACAACAATTAGGAAATACAGGAATTTTTGCAGAGCTAAACTACAGATGAAATGAAGCCACAGCCACACTGTCCGTATTAGTTCGCTGTTCTTGTCAGCGCAGAACGAAACAGAACTGCTGCTTATCACCAAAGTCAATAGTGGAAAGAAACGACTTGTGGGTTTTAATCTGAGTGGAGTTGGATGAGCGGATATTAGCTTGCCACAGTGACTGGAACACTCCGGTGGCAAATAAAAAACATCTTTCATTGCTTACTCCCGACGTCTGCTTTTATCCCCGACTAAAGTTCGGATCCAGAGCAAACTCCAAATCAGTCCCGGCCAGATCGTGTGGTATTTATTACATTACATAGTGACGCATGTTTTTGTGTTTACATTTCTTTTGTGCAAATGGCCTCTCTTAAACAGATACAACTGCCCCACCACAGCACCGTCACATCATCAGCATCCACTGTGGCAAACGAAAAGACGCCATGTCTTCAAGAGCACCGGATATTTCAGATATTCTGCTCCTATTTGCCTATTTGGAGCCATGGCGAGCCCGTCGTTGTGTGCTTTGTTGCTGCCTCTGTGCGGTAGAGCTGCTGGTTGGCCCAAGAATGTTTGTGGAATGAGTGAAATCCTCTCCTGCTGCCATTTCTCGACTTTAGACAAACACTTGACAAAGTTTCACCACAAGGTCTGAACAGGGCTAAATGGTTATTTATCACACTCACCGTCCCTAAGAGACGTCTTTATGTGACCTCTGTGCTTCGGGTTACCCGTACCGATGATTTTTCAGCTGCTCTGGTTTGGCCAGAGGACAGGTTCGAGCATTTCATGGTCTCTTTTCGGCCTCTCGGCGGTATTAGAGCTGCTTTCTTTCACAGGACCGACTGTTCACCTTCCATGGCCGTTGGTGTCTTCATTCATTCATTTTGGACTGTTTTAACTGTCATGCATCCCAGTCGGACCTTCAGCAGCCGCTGTGTGCTTTGGGTGGAGGTGGGAATGTGTCAGTAACCGTGCACCTTCCCTCAGCAGCTGCTCAGGATGAGCGGGTTATAGCTTCTGTCATACAGCGGGGTCCCACAGTCCAGTTCATCTCACATCATCACACGCTCAGTCAACCTTTAAATAGAGGAAATATGGGAGATCCTCAAAATGCAGGCTGCCGGTTTGTATCCGTCTTGAACATTTCTAATGTTTTATGAGAGAACAGAGTGTGTTTTTAACAAAGTGATCCAAATAGCAGCACATTCCGTTTGATCCAGTCCTCCAGTCAAGTTCATTTTATTTAGCTCATCTCATCTAAAATAACCTCAACGATGCCGCCCAAATTCATTGTGATCAATTCATAATCCAATTAATCAAAATGAATCAAGTAGAATACACAAAAAACAGTATAAAGCCAAACAAATGTGCCTATCTGTAGAAATCAACAGGTTGGATTGAATGTTTGATCCATAATCCCATTCTGGCATATACAGAGGAAGCTAAAAACTTCCCAGAACCAGACTCAGAACAGGCAATTGCCTTTTCCAGCGGGGGGTTTAAAAGGCATTAAATAGGGAATAATAAGCACCAGAACCCAAAGCGGAAAAATCTAAATATACCATGTAGGACTTCGGGTAGTTTTTTCTTATTTTACAGAATAGTTTATGTCAGATGAGAAGTTATCAGATAAAAACCAGGGAGTGCATAGAGAGGGGAAAACATTTGCTGCATTGGCTGATTAAACTAAAAATGGCGGTAGTGTTGCACAGAGCAGATGGAGGTTGAGCTTTGTTTTTGAGTTTTCGCATTAATTCTTGGTCCGTGTGGAAATGTATCTGAGGTCTGTAAAGGAAGTGGTGGCATTGCCCCCTCACCTGGGGAAGGATGCCCCACCCTAGCTGCAGACAGAGGTGAAAGTGCTTCTAAATTATGGTTTAGTAAGAACCTTCATCATATCCTCTAAAAAGTATTTCTGAGGATCATGTGTGCTCGACAATAACAGTTGTGGAAAATGTCAAAACCTCCTCAATAAATCCGTTTTTATTTATTCATTTATTTTTTGCTCAGTTTATTCGGTGGGGGTTTTTGCCAGAGCTCTTGCTCTGTTTTTATCAGGTCGGGACACAATAGAGCACTTTCACTGCAGCCGTTTGACATGAAGGAGTGGGTAAACACAGGCGGTACTAATTACATTAATTACCGCTCTGCACAGAGCCTCGTAAGTATCATTAGGACCGCCTGGGTTTGCCCCCATAAAGGGGCTGCTGTGAAAACGCTGTACGTAGTAACCGGTTCAGTTATGAAGGTACAAGCTGAATGTGCTGTCTTCAGCAGCCTTTTCGGGGTAAAAATGAAACGGCTTTGTTTCTGTGGCGTTAGCCTGCCGTGGCTAAATAACGCTACAATATGTCTACTTTGTTGTGGGTGTTTTCACAGGTTTTCTAGTGTCATACGCCATTGTTGTGTTAATCTAAATACTTTTTTTTATCTCATTTCATTTTGTCCCTTTTCTGTGGCATCCATTCATATTTAGCCTCTCAGTGAAGCACAGTTTAAATCCACTTTCTGCCCTCTAAAACAGACACTGCATGTTAACCAGCTGCAGAATTTAACAATTTATTTCTTGGAAATGTGCTCAAATTGTCCACTTAATTTTTCCCCACAGAAAAGCCGGACTCATCCTCTCCCAGTTGGACGAACTCTCCCATTGGTGCAAAGGTCTCCTCCAGGAGCCGAAGATTGGCCTCCGCAGGATGTCTCTGAAATTCCTGTCTTGTCGTTACACCGACACCAAAGCCTTCGGCCTCAACTGGTCGGACATGGGCCAGGACGTGCACAAGGCCTGCGACGAGCAGACGCTCGCGGTCATGTATAACGACTACGGTGAGCCCAAGGAGCTCTAAAAGTCTGAAAGAGTTTCTGTTTGGATCCAAACTGACCAAAACAGTTAGACAAAAGTATGTGAAAGAAAGGTTTTATATACATTTACACAACACATGGCGCTGTTCAAAATGCAATGCATTATTCAAAATGGCATTTACATTGTTTACCATACTGATTTAAGAAATAATGTATTATTGAGAGTAACATTTGTTTAGAATACTGTGTAAAATTGTAGTCTCTGCAGATTAGAAATGTAATCGCCTCATATTGTGTTTGTTAATCTCCCTTTGCTGTCCTTTATTTGAAATGTTTAAATGCCTCTCTTTAAAAGAAGACTAAGACTCAATACAGATTTGTGGTATTTGGGCAAAGTTACTGTGAATATCTGACTAACTGGATATCTGTTGGAATCTGTTAGAGATCAAATTGTCTGTTGATTAACTAATATAAATTCATATTTCTCTAGAAATCTTGACATTTTTAGACATGGATGCAAACAAATCAACATTATTCTATTTAGTTTTTTTGTAAAATATTTTTGATAACTAGTAGCATTTTAAGAGCACAACCCCAGTTAAGAAGAATGGAATTATTCATAAGAATTGGTTTAAATCCGGGTGGGGGGGGGGTCTTGCTTTTGTGTTTGATTGTGATGGTGATACTAAACAACAGCTTTTTCTTCTAACAATTAAAATCTTTTTCAGAAAGCGGGAAAAAGTTCAGTTCATCCAGATACAAGGACTTTTGGTCATTTCGTTAACATATTCAGATATCATGGGAGATCTGGACAGAGCTGATTTTACCTAACAAAAATATATATACAAGTAGTATTTGCATGATTTACAGGTCTGCATTTATAAAAACTGACCACTGATTTCTGGCATCAGGGCATGTAGTTTTCAGCAGAGAGCTCAGCTCTATTCCAGTGATTTCCCCCTCACAAGTTTGTGGAAACAAAAGGTGTTCTTCTGTAATCAAAGTGTTGAAAAGATGCAAAGTCCAGTACACATGCATTAAATATCCATTTGTATAAGTTGTGCATATAAAGAACACGCAGGACAGAATGAAGCATGTAGAAGAAGCATCTCTGATAGTCAGTTTCACCTATATCTGATATGTTGATATTATGTTGATATTTATTTTCCAATCTTGACTCATTTTCCAATGCCAATATAGAGAGACGTGAGCATCTGTGTTGATGTATTTTTTGTCCTTGGAAGAGGAAAACAATTATTTTACTTTTGAAAGTTGCCATATTTGTCTTTTTGTAACCCTTAAAAAACTACTCTAACAAACCTTAATGATCCTCTCCCAAGGAGAATTTAGCCAGAACCAGGCCAAAATTAACCTTATCTGCATGTAAAAGATACTTTGTACATGAAAATGATATAACTGAATGTAGTATTGATGGTTCGTACTTAGAGGTAAAGTTGTTGTAAATGAGTTGTGCTAAGTAGCAACAATCCAAGAGACATCGGTTTACTCCTTGTGTGATCTATCAAAACCTGCTAAAAACGAGTTGTCTGTACTGAACCTGCAACAAAAAAGCAACCTTGTTTTCGTGGGAAAACTTTTCTCTTTGCCTATTAAAATTTACCTTTACTTTACATCATGTTGCTTTGTTTGCAGTGGCCATGTTGTCAAAGAAATGCAAATATACATTGTTTTTTTGTTTTGTATTTCCCATTCAACAAGTGTAATTTGTGAATACTAAAACTTATGCTTGTAGATTTTTGTATAGGCAGCAAAGTGTGACATAAATGCTTCACATTTCAGTGTTTTACCTGTGTATATATATATATGTACAACTGGTGATATTTTACATGTACATGTGCTATAGTATAAAGTAATGTCCTATTATATATACCGTGTATTGTAGTCTTTGCAGGTCAATCCAATTATCCAATCTTAATATTAATTGTCTTAAAGATGATGATTTTAGATTATTTGTCAGAGGGAAATTTAAGAGAAGTGTTGAGGGTAATAATTCAGAGAGCTGTTTTACACCGATAAATATGTGAAACCAGTTCTACCTGCATGACTAATAGTCCGTAATGTACTTTACGTGGCATCATGAGCTAAACTTTTTTCACTTTGATCTTTGCTACTTCTGAGAAAAATAAAAAGTATTATATGAGACATGGCTGAGTGGACCTTTTTCTAAACCTACTGAATATTATTTGTTCCCACATGCTTGAAACAAGTGTTCTCAAACAAGGGTTGTATTTCCATTTCCACCCATTGTCTACCTTCCTGATAAAGGTTCTCCCTCGCCTGGTGAGGAACTCTGCATCAGACCAAAATGCTCCCGTCCATCGAATATTTCAAATTTGAAGCTTGACATAGAATTCAGTGAGACCGAGCTAGTTTTTGCTTTAAAAGGCAGAAGTCTTTGAGTAAGTTGATATGTTCTCTAAGCTGATGGAACCACCCCTGAATGTTTTCCAACATTTAATTTACATGCACATAGAGCAACACATGCTTTTTGAATGAACAGAAATGAAGAAGCACATTTCCAGGGCCCATATAAAGCTGCTATTTAATTTCATAGAATATAAAGAACAGTAAATTATCACAAAGAACTGGATTATGCTGTCATAGGTAATATACATGTAGTGACAGGGTACGAGTGGGAACTGTCTTCTCAGATCTCAGTTTTTATTATGTAAGCTCCAGCATTTCTCTACTGTATGTGCAGATTTGCCTCAGTGGTATTGACAGTGTTCACGTCTTACAGCCAATATTTGAAGATAAAGACTTCCCCATACATTTTTGGTGAAGTTTCCTCTAATACTTGATGGTGGATGTAATATAGACATATATAATATTGACCTGTGTGACTAATAGTTGGCCAACTAGATATGCTAAGTTGATCCAAATATATTATCTATACATGTTAGTCTGTACAGATATGCCTCCTCTTACATAACTAGCAGCGCTCTCATGCACTGGACAGTTCTCAGGCACAGCCCTTGCTCTGCTCCAAAACTAATCAAGTCCAGAAAAGCACTTGAGGACATCCACAACAGTGATTTGATCTAATTATGATGACTTGATTTTTGGAGGATAGGAGCTGCAGTCAATTAGCATCTAATCTTCAAAACATTCTCAGCTCTTACTGTGAGGACAAGCTTCGACTTGTTAACAGGGAAAGAAAATGTTTGTATCCATGTGTGGATATTATTTTGGCTGGACCGAACACAGGAAAGAAAGTTTTAAAACCAGCATGACTCATATTTGATTCAATTTAGCAATAAAATCTGTTACGATGACATAAAAACGGCCTCTTATCGTACGAAGTCTATCTTAAATCACATTAAAAATTGTTAAAAATCAGACTTCTTTTTTTTTTTGGTGTTGATGTTGTGGTGTGTTGTCTGTGGTTTGACTCTTTGTTTCCTCGGCGTCACTAATCCCTCCGTCTTATTGTGTCCCGGCTCCAGCTCCACCTCCTTTGTCCAAGTGTTTGACTTTGTTCTTGTTCTCCTCGGCGTCCGGATCACGGCAAGTGCACTCGTCCTCGCTGCAGTCCACCCCAAACTGGATGACCTGCGGGTAAACAAACACGTGGCTCAGTGCTCGGCTTCCCAGACCGACGGCAGATCATTCGCTCTGTAGCTGGACGGACAACAAAGCCTCTTGCATTGTGAGTAAGTGGACTAAGACCAATGAAAAGAGCTATGAAAAGCCCTGGATGAAAGGAACCATTACATCAGGAGTCTCTGTAAAAGCCCAGTCAGTGAGAGGGCCTCCCAGCTGGGCTGTTACATTTCAACTGTAGAGTAGAGCACCACTCTGAATGGGAAAAACAGACAATAAAGAATACATTTGGTGGCCCTGATCAACTAGCATTGTGGTTGCACTGGAAGATGAGCACCCCTCAGTACTCGCTGCCTTTCCTCGCAGTTTCAAAGAGAGCTCCAATGGCCCCCGGGAGGTCGATAAAGCGCGAGTCAAATGCTTCAACGTGGCCTTTGAGCGGCAAGAAAATCTTGCGGGTCAGTGGAGAGAGGAGGGAGGACCACACCACCGTGGAGGTGAACGGATGAACACATGTTAAGAATCAACAACAAGACACTGCCAGCTCTTGTCTAGGAAGCGAGCCATCACCACAGGTTGCAAAATAAACTCTGGTGCCCCGTGAAGCAGTCTGTTGCAAGAAATGTAAACATTTGCTCCCGGAGAAAAGGAGTGAGAGGGAAGACTGGGAGAAAGAGAGCGAGACAGGAGAGTGGGAGGCAGAGAAAGAAAATAGGGATGACGGCAGGCATGGCGAGCAGGAGGTGGCGGCCTGTCGGCTCTCTGACTTCTGGAGGGTGGATGGTGATGGTGTGATGGCCTCTCAGAGGGCTTTAGCTGCCCGGCTAAGACCAATAGGTGCCTCCATTAAATGTTTCCCTACCAGACCTATTGTGCCAAAGAATATTCCACCTCAGAACCCACATAACAACAACTGGAAGAGGTTCTTTTTGCTTGATCTGCAGGAACCAGAGCCAAATGTTTGTGCGTGTTTGCAGAGTGGCCTCCTGCTGTTTACGGCTACACACTGACCAAAAGAGCGTGTGTGACGAGAGCATTCCAGGGTGACGCATTCCCCTTTGCATGCGATGTCCTCACTGCTTTTATGAAGCATTATCTTCAGCAAAACACTCCTATTAACATTTTCCATTGATGCGGTGTCAAATCAGATCTGTTCTTTTTGGAGCTTCTTCTTTTTTGGCTGGATCTCTACTTCCCAAAGCCCCGTAAAAGCGATGCCCTCCTGACCCGTCCAGATCTGAGCAGCTCAAACACAGAGAATATGTGGTATCCTAACCCGCTGCCCCCCTAATGGGCAACGTCCTGAAACCAATTCAAATAAACCATCGCAGCTTTTCCAAGCGCCAGCAGCACATTTGATGTGGGCTGAACCTTCCCGTTCCCTACACCTGCATACGTCCAGATGGAGAGATCTGACTCTCACGTCCGTTTACTTCCTCGAAAACGAGCCTCTGCTCACTAAGCTGCTGTTTTATATTTGCGACTGAACCGCAGGCCATCAGACACCTCTCTGCTCCCACACTCGTACCCTCCACCCCCCACCCCCCCCCTTTCCCTTGTAAAAGAGCAGTTAGTGGCAGTCTGGCAGCTCATTTATTATGACGGCAGCTACACACTCGCTGAACCCCTTATCCGTTGAGGAAGGAGCTGCCAGTGAGTCATGGCGTGCCGCGGACATGGAGGAGACAGCGGAGGCCTGGCCAGCTGTAGGCCACAGGGATTAATAGGCAGGGCCCCCTGAATGAGTGTCATGAATATGTGGCTGTACAGTAGCCAAATAGGGTATATTGGAGGAGGGGGGGGGGGCACTTCCCAAATGTCCACATGGGAGAGACGTTCTCATGAAAGCACGGAAAGTAGGAAAATAGATGTGTTTATCCAGAAGCAGTTGAGGAAATGAGTGGCCTGGTTTCCCCCCCCCCCCCCGGCCCAACCTGGGCTCGCTCATTATTATTCATAGCATTCCTCTCGGCCACCCAATACGCGCAGCTATCATTCAGGGCAATTAGTGGGATGTGATAGATGTGCACCTCGTAGCGAGCGCCGGCCAGCCAGCATATGTTCGGGCGGATAAACACAGACACTCGCAGTGTTCCTCAAACAAATCGGGCCGAAAATAGAAGACGTGTTTGGTTTGAAGGCAGCGACCAAAAGCCGCTTTATTTTGCACGGAGAAGTAACCTGACCCTCAGCGGCATTTTCTGCAGAGGTGCAAGGCGAGGAAGTGTGGAGTGTGACGAAAGCCTGCTTATTTACAGTTTGAATGGAAAAACGTTCTAACCACAAGCCTGCTGTGTTGTTTTAAGCTCAGACGAGGGGGACTAAGTAGGCCCGGTTCTTAACGGGAGAGAGCAGAGAGACGTAAGGTTCTACGTCCAAAGAGACAGACTGTGACTCTGAATGCATCTTCAGCCTCAACTTTCAGTCACTTTACAACAAAGAGGACAGAATATTCTGAGATATGATCTTAAATCTGATGAAAGACAGAGTCAGTGTTAGCAAAGGGACAGTCAGTGATCTGTAGATGTACCTTCCTGGTGGAGAGCGTGGATGGACAGCAGTCTCCTCCATCATACTGACAGTAGGCCCTGTTGTTGATGGTGTCACACCAGCCGTCCCCTCCAAAGGGCTAGAAGTGAGTAGAAAACAAGACACGGATCACAGATCAGGGGGGGAAAAAAAATCCTCCTCCTCTTGTTGTTAACTCCTCACACAGCACGAAAAAGCCGGGAGGGCCCAGAGAAAAAAATGAAATATGACTCAACATTTTCCCGGAAAACAGATTTTTTAGTAAGCTGCACACGTTGTCACACAATTAGGTTTGGAACAAATGTCCGTGAGGGAAATGAAAATAAACAGCATATCCCGAGTCTGATCCAAGCTGCACAATCAGAAAACTGTGTGGTCGATGGCAGCTGGGACTTTACTTATGAAAGCCAGAGAGAAAGTGACCTCTATACATCCAAGAACAAGTAGAAAACAGCCCCCCATAACAGAGACGGTGGTTACACAACACAATCTGAAAGATTTGTGAAAGGGGATTCTTTGAATGCATTCGGGTGGGATGGAGAATGGAACACACACAATAACTGGGTTATTGGGACTTAGACAGTGATGCCAAAAGCATCTGGAGTATCTTGGCATATGTTCTCTGTTTGGATTTTGTGTTGTGAATATATATTGAACATAGTCTAGTCTTAAAGCCAGTGTATTGTAGTAATGGTGGCAGACTTAACATCATTCGAAGGGTCTAATGTGTCAGATATGATGAAACAACCCATTTGGAGTCTTAACAGAATAAGTAAAGATCACATTTAAAATATATTAAAAGAGTCAGATAGTTTAACTCTGGATCTGTTTTAGCTAACAAAAGGAATATTGGGTAAACTTACACAATTTTTTTTATCTTTACCTCTGTGATGTGTTGCTGATATGCATTTAAAGACATTTTTCCTTTTATAAGGTTAACATTCAACCATCTTTGAAGAATCGGAATTAACTCGGACTAAAGATTTTGACACAATTTCCACGATAAGACAACCAGAAGCAGCTTATCCAGCTTAAGTCAAGAGATCATTCCAGAGAGTAGTCTTTGTCTGATCCAGAGCTGAGAGCTAGCGTCACAGACAGAGCGATCCTGTAACGTGGCCCCGCAGCAGATAGCAGCCGACCCCGCCAACTTTTAAGAATGATGACTGTGTAGCCCGATGCTTCCTGTGGCCGTCGCTGAAACACTGAGACCTGCTGCGTTGACATGCTGAAATGGATTGCATCCACTTCAAAGCGACCTGTGATCCGCCGCGCAGGTCTGAAGGAGGAACTTTTGGTTTTTGGTGCTCATTGCAACAAAGGGCTTCACTGCCTGTCAGTTAGCTGAACTTTTCCCGACACTGAATGACCCAGACGGGGACGGGCTGACATCTCTCTACCACTCTGACTTTATGTTTGAGGTTATTGGCTGATGGCATTTCCGCAGCCGGCTCTGCGTAAAGCCTCGGCCGGGGTGGGGGGGCGCTCCGGAGTGGCACGTATATATGTGGAATTTGGATTACGCGGAATCTCAAATGCATGATGAAAGCCCGTTAATGTTTTCCTCTAAATCTTAAGGGTTTCCTTGAAGTGCCAAAAATATGAAAATACGTGCCGAATGCCAAAGATGCTTTTGGCCTCCTCTGATGAGCTGATGGAGACATTTCAAAGCCTGAACCTGTGCAGGGGGAGAGCACAGCTGCTGAGAAGATTTCTGCAGTTCTCTCTTCACTTCAAAGAAGTCCCTACTTGAAGAAACCTCCTGCCTTTCCAGCTAAATGGCCATGGCATGAATAAATCTATTTAATCGTTCCGTTTTGGAGCAAATACTTTACCAGCAGCTGCACCACAAGCTTCATCCAAATCATTACGTCTATGTAAATTTTTGAATTAGCCAGAGTGCCAAGGTAAGTCAGGCATAGCACAAACTTGTTTAGCCTGAAGACATATTTTATTTGGCTGTCAAAATGTCTTTAACTGACCTTTTATTCCATTAATTTATCTACATTTCAATCGCTCTGCTTTTCCTGCTTTAAATCTGTTTAAATTAGCCAACCTCAAACTTTTCCCACATACGCTTAATTATAGGGCATGTTAAGGTTAATTAGAATTTTTATTCCCCTCCAGGCAGCATATAGCATACGCTACAGAGAAATGCACAGAGCCATGAAGAGTAAAGCAGCCAGAGTTGGCTGCACACCTTAGTCCCACATCAGTAATTAAAAGGTCAGATGGTTTGTGTATTATCTTTGCACAGAAACTCCCCTCAAATCAGAGTCAAAAACAGTAAGATGGAGCCGCAGCCAGCCCCTCACCTAGAAACATAAATATTCCACCTCCAGGTGCTGACTCTTTCAAGATGAAAACTGTCAGAACAACCTGCCAGAACAATACAAAACACAGATATGAATTCTACGGACTACTCAAACAGCGATTTATTTAATTTTTTCTTCATACCAAGTATCGGCCTTTACAGAAAAGACATTTTATCAAGTCATCCCACACGGAGCTGCTTTAGCCCTCTTAACCCAGACATGTCTGAAAGAGATTTCGGCCCATAAAGTTTCCCTTCCCTCTTCTGCATGAGATCGAAACTTTTTGCTTTTATGGTGGACGTTAGATTTAGATGCTGGCTGGATGAAACTGAATGGCTCATAACACAGATTTGTAACCAGATTGACATCTGGGCTGGGATTAGATCATTTGAAGACATCTGAATGTGTCCCCATGTGTATCCTTAAAGCTCTTGTCTTTTTGCCGTCCCTCGCTCTCCTCTGGAAGCCTTAACAACAGCTTTACAGCGTGTGTGTCAGCTGACGTGACTGGTAACCCACAAAAGAGTCCCTCAAAACATTTGGATGGGAATGAGCACGGAGACCATCACCATAGCGCCGTAGATGAATTTACTCTATTCCTATTGCCAAAATGCCTCTTTTGAAGTGATGCGTAAGTCCACGTGTTTAATTGGGCTCGCTGTCACAAACTCTACTCACATTCATTGTTTTTACACCCAGCAGCTACTTCAATCACACAATGAGGCCGGCCCAAAAAGCACACCAGAGATACTTTGCCTCCGACAGAACTCTTTTTTGTTACGCTTAAGGGCAGATACAAACATCCCAGAGCCGTCTCTTTCTGTGCAGGAGCTGATAAGATGTCTGATAACCTAAAGGGACGAGAAGAGAGGGAGCAGGGGCATCTGGAGGAGACCTGGCACAGATCACCTGCAGCACATGTGGTCCGGGATCATTTACAGAGTTGTCATGGAGGAGTGGGTAAAAAGCCTAGCAACATTCACGGGAAGGTGAAAGGGGAAAATGTAGTGTTGGCATTGAGGGGGAATATTTTAAAACTGTGTTCCATTGGTGGTTCCAGCCTTCTTTTAACCCAGTGGACAAATGCCAAACTAAAACTCCATGGCTTTATGAATTTAGTTGATTTACCATTGTTGATAAATGAGATCAAGTCAACTTTCATTCACAAATCAAATCTGATTCTGTGCACAAGATCAATCAAACAGTTCTTCAACTGGGTCTTAATTCATTGTTGCACGCTGAGCCATAATGTTTATCTAGAAGGTGGCAATAGAGGAGAAGTCATCATTTCACTGGGCCAGGAATGTGATGGCCATTAATAATGTGAAATCAACCAGGGACAAATATGTTTTAATAGAGAGAATGAGGAAAGAATAAAAGATCTGACAGTATTTCATTTTGTATCTTTTTCCGGATCTTCTGAGGTTTCGTTTTTTTTCCGTCAGAGCATTATGTTCTGAGTATTTTCATGTCGGTTTAGGAGCTGCACCACGTCAGGAATTTCCAATATTTTTAAAGCAACACTAAAGAAGTTTATGAACTTTAAAACTATATGCTTGGGGCTCGTTTCGAGAAAGACTGCCTTGGAGCACCTGCCACAGTTCATGACTTTGTTCCGGGCCCTGTCGCTCACCGCTTTTCTCTACAGTTGCTTGACATTTTTGTGGGCTTTTGACAATGTCTTTGTGGCCTCTTCATTACGACAACATGGATTGATGTAACCTCCCATATGGAGGCAGCTATATAAGCTTCCCGAGGCCCAGGTAACGCCTGGAAAAAGTTGCCAAATCCAAATAAATTTGACACCACTCTACATAAGTGTGCGTTTGGATGTGAGTCCAGTCACTCCAATGAAAACCCAAGTATCCTCCAGTAGATATGAAAACTGACCCTTTATCAGATTAATTTAACTCCTCCCCTTGTGTGATTCTGTCATGATGGCTTTCTGCTCATATTCTATAAAAGTGGACAGCCAACACTTTCATCCTCTACTGCAGAAAGGAGGTTTATCAGTGACACACATTCCAGATATCGAACTGTTTCTATCCAACATCCAACAACACGTGATCTAATTGGCTAATGTACTTCACTTTAATGCTCCAATTGTTTTTTTTAAGTCAATTTTATCTTACCACCGTATATCCATGTATTTGTGTTGACTTACGTGCATTACAATGAACTTATGAACTATTCCTGTTTTCCTTTATTAGATCCATTTAAATTGAATTCATTAGCATAGGTACGGCAAAGAAATCAACTGAGGGCCTTGGTTTTATGGTCATATTTAAAGACTTGGTACCTAATATTTATAATATGCATAATTCCCACCTCATCTGATATATCACAGTAAAACAAAAAAACAAAGATTTAAAAAAAACTCCAGTGTTTCCAATGAAAAATCCATATGAGTCTGGATTAATTCACCAGTAAATTGACGTGAGTAGCGTGTAACAAAACAGGAAGCTATTATTTTACTTTTTGCAAAGAAGTTAAAGCCTATAAAAGGGGGACTGTTTTTAAACTAAGCATAAAGATTTAAAAGCCTTGTATCAGCAAAGATAATTAATCCAAATCAAATGTAATCCTTTGATTGATTTATTTTACTTTACCCGATAACTCATTAGGCTTGGCAGGCGTTACGACATTTGGCAATGGCAGAATCCCTGGAAAGAGGCCTCATTGGACAGATTTGAAAAGGATTCCCGCAAAGTGCAAGATTATCAGTATCTGCCTGAGATTTGTCATCATGAAATATGAAGAACATTGCACACTAGCTCTGGTATTTTGAGTAGTGATGACAACATGGATACACATGTTTTTCCTCATGTTTGATATTACTGGAAAAGTCTGGCTGACACAGTAAATCTAATGTGGTTATACTCAGAAATTCTGTCATTGTTGTTAAGGTTAAGTACTCCCTATCTCACTTTTATCTAAACAGGAAAGCCGAATTGTGATCCCTGTGTACTCAATGCTTTAAAAACCTGAGGTTGCCCATATAAAGAATTGCATTTAGATACAGAAGACCAAACTGCATAATGGAATCTACTTTTTCTAAGATTATAAAGACAAATTAAATCTAGTCTGTGACTTATAACATGTGCTTTTCACTTTTCAATACACTGAAACTATCTCATCTGGGACATGGAGAAAATAAACTATAAATTCAGACTATCCTGACTTACAACACAGTATCAGTGACCACTTAAACAGATACTCACTGACAGTTTCTAAGAAGAGTCTGATATCTGGATGGAAACAATATTTTCCATCTTTTTTTTTTATCTTTGGAAAACACATGACAAGGAAAATAGAATAGCACTTTTCAATGTACTGTGCTACTTTTCTGTATTACCTCACATGACTGGATGCAGTGGATGTTCTGAGGGTCAGGATACCACTTCATCATCCCCGTGCAGACAATGCTCTGTGAAACAAAGCACATAAGCTCTTTGGTTAAGCCATGCAGCCAAGACCATAGATAACCACTGCGCTCATCATGGAAAATAACACAACAGCCACAGAAACATTTTTCGGTAAGCTTAATCCTCATAAAAATGTAGAACAGAGCCATCTATGTGCACAATGTTTTCCCATCTAAAGATGGAAGACCGCTGGGGGTTAATTAGTGGTGTGAGTTACTAAATCTAATATCACAATCTGCTGCCCCTGAGTATTGCTAAAACAAATGCTTAACTCAAACATTATTACAAGTTTAACATTGATCACACCTAAATCAAACATTTTCTCCACAAGTTGACAAATGTCTGCGATGTATCTGAAGATATGACAGTGATACAACAGCTTTTTCCACCACTAGTTTACAGCTTTACTCCTTTTTCCCTGAGAATTCCACCTAGCTCTACCCCTCTTTTTCAAAAGGGTTTCATCTGCTAGCAACTGTGCACAATAACTCTTGAAATCCATTTTCTAAATAAGCGAACATCCAGTGAATAACCTGAGAACGCACACTACCGCACACAACAAATGAAACTCAGACTGCCACATGACAAACGTGACCAATTGTTTGCAGTTTGGAACTGTTCATCTGGTACTCGTCCCTTTTTCCGGGAACATTTGAGATGATGGTGCATGTATTCTAAAACACTGCACCACAAATGGAGCCTTGTATCAATATCTAGTAGTCAGTCATTTAAATGCATGAAAATCAGCTGCTTCTAAAATGATAGAGTAGGTAACAGATCATTGTTGGATAAGTGCAAAAGAAGAAAAAGCTTTTGGATAATAAGCAATACATGTATTAAGGTTAAACTTGATTCTTCTTAGGATATGCAAAGCTGCTATATAAAGATAAAAGTGGCAAAAGAATGCTGAATTTTGGAAACCAGGAAAGATTAAATGCAAACTGTAGTCACATAATGTCTCTAAATACATTGTTTTCAATGTATTAAGCATTTATAATTTTGTGATTATATTATGGCAGAATATATGCACTTCTATTTGGTCTTCAATTATATAATATTAGTCGTTTTCTGTCCACAGATGCAGATCTCTATGGCCATTTAAATTTTTTTACTTGTTTGGTTATGCAGAAAACTGCAGAAAAAATAAACATTTTTATTAAATTTGAGTAAATTCACACAAAAGTTTTGTTTTGCAATATGCGTTTCTCTGTCAAATATTTGACCCGTGAAATGAAAAAGGTGGTTACCAGACAGCGGAATGAGTGTGGACTATAGTCAGAGACTGTGGGTCTGCCCTGGGGCTTTCCTGTACTGCCTGACCCAGCCTGGGAGACCTGATTCTGAAGCATTTAAGATAACACAATGCATTGAAATCACACGCCAGTGTTTGAGATATGGCGTAAGTAATCAAACCTCAGTCCAACTATTTAACCTTGGCAAAGGTGGACTAACAAGCTGGCTGACTAACTGACCACCCACAAGCGAGGTGAAAGTGGAGCAGTGTTTGCAACAGCATTAACATTGGAGTGATCCCTCAGATATGATATTGGGTAACATGACCCACCTTTAAAGCAAAACAACAGTAACGTCATTCAGACTCAATAGCTAGCATTCCTTCAGGTTTCTCTCTCGCTGACTTGTATACACTGTGTGTGTGAGAGATGTGTGCACTTCCTAGAAGGCTTGACGTCAACTGGAACCTTTACTCCTGCTGGTCTCCTGTAATTTCCAGTCATGCAAAAACACTTGAGTGATAACGAACACACGCTCACAACGTGGATCTTGTTGTGCGATAACCTGCTGCAACTGGGAATGGGATCATCATTATAAACAACTTTAAAAGGTTCTGTCAAGGTCCATATATTCCTCAGTGGAGATTAGCAGGCGGGGGGGGCTTATATGTGCTTGTACAGCCTTATTTATTCTGATTAATAATATAATATAACCTCACAAACATTTGCAAATGGTAATAAGTCTAATTTAAATCCAAAATTGGAAAAAATCAGAGAGCAAATAAATGGAATTTCCTGGTAGACATGCATGACATAAAAAACAGGATCTTTATGTGTCATGGTCTTAAAGTGTGAGCAGACTTTGTTTTGTGCTTATTAGTAAAGATGAGTCAGACTGGAGCAGTAGCTCAGTTTACTCACTGAAGTTGTCCAGAACAGCAGATGTTTGAATGAATTATTCCATCTGATTGTGTTTTGGTGTGAAACTGTTTGTCAGTGGATCAGCTTTCATGACACTCTGGACTAGTCGCGTGGCAGCAAGTGAACAACACAACCTTTGTTTTGCTATACGCACCAATAGCTTCCAAATGAAAGGAAAACCACAATTCTTTCATCAATTTTGGTTACTGAAGTCCTTCAAACAGTCATTTGGGACTTCTAAATGCTGATTTTAAGAAGTGCCTTTCTCACATTCTCAGACATTAAAGTCTCGTTCCAAACAGCTTGAGTCATTTATTAGTAGAGGAAAAAGCTGTGACCAGAATGGTTGTGGTAAAGTGTTTTTCTGACTGATCTTCTCAGGGTCTCACCTGGACTGTGGTGGGCAGCATCCAGTGTTTTAAAGTGTCGGCCGAAGTGCCGTTAGGCAAAACCACCGGGTCATGCAGGTCCATGTGCAGAGGCACGATGCAGGCTGGGTAGCAAACAGCACCTGCAACACATTTTTGTTAAAAACATAACAAAACATTATTCCATTTTCTATTAGCACGTAATGGCTGCTGGTTATGATGTCTGTTTGTCTTTGTGTTTGCAATAACTAACAAACTGTCTGTATCCATTTAGAAAACATGCTTGATTGGCTAGTACTGATTACCCTTTTGATTTAATGCTTTCATTTGTATAAACTGTGTAACGTTCTGAATTTTCTCCACCAAATTACTTATAATAAACAGGTGGGTACCACAAAAGAAACACAACACAAGCGATATTTGTCAAATGCCTGATATGCCAAAATCAATGTGAAGTACATGTTCCTTTCAATTTACATTGTAAAACATTTAGGATTGATTTCAGTCCCTGTTTTCTGGGTAAAGCCACTGAGCCACTGAGTGTAATCTGATTTTAAAGTTAAAATTGTGTCAAATCAAGGTTTGGGATTAAGTGCAAACTTTACTGCATCAAATGCATTAAAACAAACATCACTTAAAATACTCAATCGGATAGATTCTACCTGCATTATTAAAAGAGGAAGCACTCACCAATGTCCATCCCTTGGTCACAGCTGTACTCCACCAGGTTGAGGTCTTCAGGAGCAGAGCAAGAGCCCTGAAGTGTGGAGCACATGGTGAACTCTGCGGTCCATTTGCCATCCTTGGAGCAGCGGATTTCAACCTGGCAACAAACATGGTGACAAGACCTATGAGGCTAACTCAAGAGAAGCTGAGGCCTACTGAAGTTTTACACCGAGGAGATCCCTCCAACTCAACTGTGAAATGAATTAATTACTGACTTTTGACTATACTTTATGTAAATTGTGTCTAATTTACATTTTAACACACATAATGTTCTTAAATCCTAAGTGAGGCTTTACAGAACTTATTTTATTACAGAAAATGTTTGATTGTAATGTCCAGTTTTGGGAATCTTTTTTATTGAACCATTGTTATTGATGTCTGACACTTATAGTACAACCACCACTAATATAATGTAATATCATTATAAATACCTGCTCAATAATAACATATTTCAAACAATAACTGATCATTCTTTTTTTGTTTTTCATTTTCAATTGGGTTTTTTTAATGAACCAAATCAAAGCATGCAGTTTTACTCATCTAAATCTGACTGAGTAGTCTGATGTCTGTGTTGAAGTCTCACATTTTCTTTCGTATCCGGGCAATGGAGGGTGCAGACAGTGTCGTAGAACAGGCCCTGGGTGCAGGTGTACATGCCATGGAAAACGTCAGGTAGCTCTGGGCAGGATATCGGCTCACAGCCGCCTTCTTCCCACTGCCCCACCTCCAGGCATTCCAACTTAAAGTACTTCCTGGACATTCACAGGAGTATATACATACATTTATATTACCTTCTGTCAAAAAAGCTCTCCACATTTGAATTAAATTAAGTCATTTAGCCTCTTGCATGAGTAAAGGCACAACTCCACACACACACACACATATATATATATAAATGTGTCAAAGTTGGGAATAAATTACATATTTTTAGGCTCAACAATACTTTCAACTTTCAAATCAATGGTTTGTTAAACGCTTGAAAGAGGGAGCAACTCATAGTGAAACCCTTAATTGAAGTTTTCTTTTTCTCGTTGTTGGATAGAAAAGCAATATAAATCCATGTGTATATATTTTATGAAGGTATCCGATTGTTGGGCATTTTCGGCTAAATTAGACTGGTAATGGCATTTTAGAAGCACATGATGTGACTAACTCACAGCTGCCATTATGTAGCAGAACGTGTGAACAAAAGGGGAGTGTTTTCTCATTTAAAGGAGAATATAAATGTATCCCAGAGGCTGTGTCTCCTATTTGGAAACCCACATCTCATTACAAACATGTGAACTGGGCTCAGTAATGAGCCGTTCGTCAGTGAATACAATTGGCAAAGCGATGATGAGGCCAAGTCAGCAGCGGTACATATTTTATTGGACCCTAATGGGATTTTGTTCCGAAACTGAATACAGTTATGTGGCTGACGGGTCGAGAAATACCTCTTAAAAATGGTACCCATTGATATTTAAGACTTTGCCCTTCGGGGGTTCGGTTGTTCATGTGACGCATTGTTATGCTGTTGTGTAAAATATTTAAATCAAAGATTCTTTCTCTATTAAGTAGTGTGTAATGGGAATCTTGTAAAATCAAGGAAAAGAAGGAATTTCCTCCATTACGCAGGAAGGCATGTGCAGTTAAACACAGCATTTACTGTGGTCTGTTGTCTTTGCAGAATACTAGTTCTAAAGTGAGAGAAGCTGCACGCAGGGTAACAGAAAAAAAGAAAGCTGGAAATCATCTGTTTTGTATTCAAAAGTGAGATTGGACACAATAACATATTATATGCCCCATTATAGATGATATTACTAAAGCATCCGCCCCAAACCACAGAGATGCTGTCTGCTATTTTTCCAAAATCCCCTACCTTGGTGTGTTCTGTTTGAGGGTGCCGGACACGTAGAAACCCGGGCTGCATTTGTACCGGCAGACGGAGCCCACGTCGTGCCCTGACGCCAGGCAGTTCGCTGTTAGCAGTTTGGTGTTGGGTATGATTGGAACTTCTGGACATTCAATCTTGCAGTAGGCCTCGGGAAAAGACCACAGCCCATCCTCCAAACACACCAGCCTATCACTGTCACCTGAGGAGGAGAAGCAGAGGGGTAGAGGAAGCCAGAGGGGAGGAAAAAGACAAAGAGGCAAAAAAACAATCTCTGAAAACATTGATTGTTGTGCACTGATTTAGAGGCTGTGCTGCCTGACTGGACTCTCTTTCAACATTTGTTTTGATGAGTTTCCATGCCAAGCAAAAGTTGTTCAAATATAAAAACAGCTTTCCATCGGCCAACTAAATCCCCTCAAAAGACCACAAATCCGAAATGAGTTAAGGAAAAAAGCAGTGGACGTTAGACAGGAGCAAGATCAATAAACAGAAGATGGAGGATTAAACCAAGACATCCCTACCACCTAATGAGTAATGTGATATTTCTAGTAAATAAAATAGGCAGTGAGAGGGCTAATAAGGACAAAGCAGGAATATCACGCATGCAGGCAATCCGGGAAACGTTATACGGACTCTCATCCCACTCTGCCTGGCTTCACGATTACACGGACACACAGACACATCAGGAGCATCAGCGAATGGAAAGGTTTAGAAACCTCAGTGCATGTTAAGAACAGGTGGCATCCATCCACCGTTCACCAAATTCACCACCATTTCCCTGCTTCACCAAAATGGAAATTGGTATTGAAAGGCACTCTAATCTTCTGCAACAGTAACATGAACAGCCACACAAGTCAAATCCAGCTTCATCTCTGGTTAAATGTGGCCACACAACAATGCACACCTGACCACTTACTCATCCATTTTCCATGGAATATTAAAATATGGTTGTACAATAATATCTGGCCATGACTAATTTACATTTCAACACTACTTTTTGCCCTCGCTTGTGTCATCTAAAAGTGTCCTCATAAACATGTGCCTTCCATTGCCCACTAGGAACTTTGGGATAGCTTACCTACATGGGTAACAAACAGATCGCAAATCAGAGATTGAAACAGTCTAGTTTGTTTCATAACTTTGTCAAATATGGAGCTAATATTTTTCATGCCTGTCTGGCCCGACATGAAGCATGACTGTTATGTTCTGTGGAGAATCATAAGACCTTAAACCTTTTACAATTTTTATTGGATCTGTAAAATGTAATGTAATGAATAGGATGGCATCATTTATTTTAAATGCTATTTAAAAACTGTGCCGGCGTTGTGATTATCAAAATTTGTTACAGCTGCCCTTGTGTGTACAGTGCACATTTTTGGGAGCTGTGCGGAGTGAAGCTTGACGGCCTCAAAAAACGTACGTCTGTTAATCAAAACCCACAAATAGAATGACATCTGTGTATTTATAGATTGGAAGACGCACATCTTACGGCTGCCTCCACTGAGATGTTTGGCTGTGGCTTTTGAACCACTAACACAACGTGTGGGCATCACGTTCCTCCTCAGGAGGCACTTCTATGGCACTGGCTTGAAAAAGAAGAGTGATGACTTCTCACTTAAGTGCGTACTGTGATACTCCAAATCGTGCGTCCAACAGGCCGTATTTGTTTGGAATGGTTCTGATGCAAGTGGTATTTTTGGAAAAATGTGGAGATCTGAGAAGAGGAAAAGTGGGGCATGTTTGTCTTAGCATGTGCAGGAGAAGGGAATAGAAATCCTTGTTACATTTCAAAAGCCATCAAACTGCAGACAGAAGTAATGTTAGTCTCCTGACTGAGAGGGATTTTGTAAATAGAATGATTGATGACATTTCAGTTCAACTGTGGATCTGTTTTTTCTATCTCAGCCTTTTTAAACAAATATTGTGTGTCACCCTGAAAAAACAGGCCTCTAATTCTAAATTCTAAGTCTAAACTGGAACACAAAAGAGTGGGTCTCGTGCAGACCTGAATAATAATAATAATAAAGTGTATTGTTTCAAGGAAATTACTGAGATATTGTTACTGAGATTTTCACAGACTTTTTGTAACATTCTGTGTCCTTGTCAATAGCAACTGTCTAAGTCAGATCAAGCTGATAAAAGTATTCTTTTCATATGTTTGTCACTGTATATTTTGCAATACATACACTATACATTACCTTCCAATCCTTCTTATTATATGCATCAAGTGAATGGAAAAACAACACACATACAACAGAGAAGAAGCGATAGGACACTCTTGTGTTTCCATTCAAACTCTGCTCCAGAATCCACATGTGTAGAATAGTTTTTATTTTGGACAGCAGAGATAAAGAGTTATGCCTGACAGACATCGCTGAGGGAGTGTGGAACCAAAGCCTTGTAACCTTTTGGTAATATTAGCACTTAATTTGAATAAAAAGACAACTTTATCAGTTAAATGCAGTTTTATGCATATAAGTGCAATGAAGACTATCTTTCCTTAGATTTAACCAAGATGAATCCTTGAGTTACCTTGTAATATGGCCGGTGACCCACAAGTAAAGGAGCACTGTTTGCCAAAGGTGGTTCCCCAGGGACAGCTGAATATGGCATAGTAGACATGAGCCTGATCAGGAAGGCCGCAATCCACCGGCTGACAGCTCACCTCCCGATCCCACGAGCCGTGGAAACACTGCAAATCGGCCGCTCTCTGTTGGAAGACAAAAGATAGACAGGGGAAAAAAGACAGTATAGATAAAGGCGTGAAAAGCAAAGGACACGGTTTTAAGAAGAGGTGTTTGATGACAGTAGAGTGAGACAGAATACAGAGACAGGTGGGACATGCAGAGCCCCTTCTGCCAGTGTCTCTCAGTCCCTAAACAGATGAGTTCAGACTGCTATTCCACTTGTGTGAGGGTTCATCACAGATCTGGTCTACCTGGTGGGGGGGGGCTCCTCTGCCCCTGAGGACAGCGATGCTGAAACCCCGCTGACACTGAACAGAGCAGCGGGAGGCCTCCCTTCCGTCCGTACACCTGCAGAGACACACTGATATATAGATAGTTCTTTTGTCTGCTGCTTCCGGCCGGTGGTTTGGATCCGGAGGGCCTACCTGACGGAGGCGTGTTTTACCCGCGGAGGACTGCAGCCGTCCATCTGACAGGGCTGCCGCAAACAGCTAGCGTTCACATGTGGAGGGAGAAAAAAAGCCAAGAGGAGGAGTGAGACGCGGACAGACAAAGCCCTGCCACCAAAAACTCACAAATCTGAAGAGTGACAAGTCTTGGTTTCAATCTGACCGACTTTCCTCTCACCCCAGTGAGAGCGCTAACACTTTTTGCTGAGACGGCGGTTTGTTTTCTGAGCATGGAAGGGTCTGGTGTAGATGTTTGTGTGTGTCTGTGAGCTTAGTAGGTAGTTGTGGGAGAGCCCACCCTCTGATGCGCACCCGGTCAGGGCGAAGGTGCTGAAGTGGCAGAACGTCCTCAGAGCCACGCCCGTCACGGCCACGTGGGAGGAGGAGAAGAGCAGGATGACCGAGGATGTCAGGAAGAAGGGCTGCGAGAGGTCATGGGTCACGTTCACCACCAGAGGGTTCCGCTTGCACGAGAGCTCATGTGTGCCTGTGTGAAAAGGGAAGGACTTTACACAGCTATTTGCCACAAAGGGAAAAAATTGTAGCAATAAAAATGAGATGGGAGAAGTACCCAGCGAGTGGTTCTTTCCATTAGCAGCAGAGAGGAGGATGGTGACCGTCCTCCGACACTGCTCCCCAGACCAGGAGCCATCCGAGGCCAAATACACCATCACAGAAGAGGCCACTCCAGAATGGGCAAACCCCACCTGTTTAATTAATAATAATACTGTGAAAAACAAGGACAGGTATGGAAATCGTGCAACAAAAACAACCACCGATTTAGCAAAATGCCCCTTTAACAGGCGTATGACTTTCTATGAATTTTTCCATGAGTAATGTGAGAATCAGGGCACTGGTGGTTTTATCTTACTATTTTTATCTTCTTTTTGTGCTGCTGCATGTTAACAGACAGACAGCCTCACGTGCTTTAATTCGCTATGGTTCTACAACAAGAACAAGAGAAATGTTTAAACTGTGGCGGGTGTCTTTGCTCCCTGTCTGACGATGAATAAAGCTCTGCTGCTTCTCACCAGCATACATCAATCTGAGTACGGAACATAGTAAATGGGGCTTCTGTGAGCAAAACACAGGGTGAAACCGAGCTAACTTTGGTCTACATTTCCACAAAGCTGTAACAGCCACCTGTCAACTGCTGGTGTTTCATGATCAAAATCATTAAATTAGGATATCACACAAAAGAGTTTTGAAAAGCCTTGAAGAACGGGGAAATGTAGAATGGTATTAAAAATTAATAACAACCACTAATAGAGACAGCTGTCCACAGAACTGGCACACATAATTATGAATGGACGGCTAAAAGCGCTTTTCAGATGGAGTGAGACTAGATATTTAAGAATGCCACTGAAGAGACAGAGCACTGAAAAGAAGAGAGTTGGCAGACTAATGTAATAATGAAGGCGTTTTAAACAGTTACAGCCTTTAGGGAGAAGACGGTCTTCCGGAGAGGTTGCAGGGATGCGTTTGATAAAGAGGGTGGGAGATGGAAAGATGAGTCATTCAGCTAAGAGGTGGAGGCAAGCTCATAACTGTAAAAGGAGCCTGTAATCCAGAGAATGACAGACAAGGTTGTTGAGCCATCGGTGGACTGGACAGCTGGCCAAAGCTGGACCTGCACAAATGACTGTGGGAACTGTGGCTGTGGAAAGATTCAATAACAGAAAAAAAATACAAAATATGAGAACCAGACACAGGTCTGGAGTGGAAAGCCTGACCCAAATTCAGCTCTGTCCACAAATAAGGACGTCTGTGTGAGGTACTGCTGGCTGCACGCAGAGCTGCAAAAATAAGCACGGAAACCGAGCGTGTGATTTGGTCAACAAATACACTATCAGAAATGTTTAAAAATATCTTTGGAATTTAAAAAAAGAACAATTAGCTAATAGTTTATGGATATGGTTTATATTTGTAAAATACCAAGATCATTGTGTGTAATTTACTCATTGTTATGAATTGGTTATGATTAACAGATCTATTTGTAATTGTATTTTTGACTATTATTATTCCTTCAGCTGCCAGTATTTTCACAACATATGAACCTTTCAAGTATTTAATTATGAAAGATGATTCAATTATATAACACTTGTTCTTTTACTATAAATACACCGGCAATTACTGCTATTGGACGGTTTTGATGATTAGTAGCCACTGGATAAAAAACAAAGGCACAAAATGTAAATACAGGGGCTTAGTCGTGACTTGTAATCATCTACAGATCATTAGAAGTTACAATTTACCACTCACATAAAAAACAAGTAATTATAGGTACTCCTGCATTGTATGAATCATGTAATTGTTAGAAAGTAAGGAATGTGTGCGTGTCGGAAGGTTTGAGCCAGCAGTCTGTTTGGGAGGCCCTTCGACCCGATTCAGAGGAGGACTGGAAAGTACTGGAAGCTGTTAAAGACGGAGCAGCCACCCACCGTCTCCCAGCAGAGGAGAAAACAGATACCGTACGTGCAAACACATACATTTACCTTTAGCCAAATTGAATGTTCCAGGCCGTTATGTGTGTCGGACTGGGCAGTGCAGGGGAACCAGGACCCCGTGAGCGCTCGGTCATCCATGTCCAGGTGCTGGAACCTGCAGGACTGCACCCAGAAGGTCAGAGGTCAATCAAAAACCACAGCCACAGAGATACACTATGTTTATTGACAGCATAATCAATTAATTTCTGATACAGCTATTCATTTGGGCACTTTTAAATTAAAGTTGGTCAGATAGAAAGAAAAAGTTTCTGTCCTATCAACTGCATAAATTTGGGTAATGTGATGATTCCTTTTATTTTCCCCAGTGACTGAATTTTTTTCATTACAGTTGAATGCCCAGAACAGCAAAAACTACAAATAAGGGAGAAAAATGGATGAATTATCTTAGTTTAATCACACTTTAAAAGAAAAAAGGAAAACATTAACATTTTACAAACATAATGATTAGACTCATACTTCCCATGAATACAGACCCAGAGGTACTTAGTACACTCCACATCTATTTTGTCTGAGCTCTATTGGCTGTGTCTTGTATTACCAATAACAAGGGTTTTTCTTACACATTTTGTTTCACAATTATGATCATTTACAGAATTTAAAAAAAAACTCAACTACAGATTAGTGCAGATAAAATGGTGAAGTCATTCATCAATATAATTAGCCTGGGTCAGTCAGAGTTTCTTCCATACAAAAGAGAGATGATCACCTTTTTTAAAGATGACATTAGATTTTCTTATCTGTAAGGCCTGGGCTAACTTGTGACAAACCAAAGCTATGATAGTGTACTTCTTTTTAATTAAAACTTGATATTTTTACTTTAGCTAAATTCAAAACACTGCCCAAAAATACAATGGCACAAGTTATGATCCAAACAATCTGCTCCCATTTGGGGTAACCTGGGATTCCGTGTCTTTTCCAAAGACAAGTCACTGCATAAAGGGCCTTGGGCTGAACAGGAAAGCCACCATCAATGGCTAAAGCACTCAACTAAAGGAAACAAAACAGTACCTAAAGCAAGACATTAAATCATGGACAACAGATTTCCATTCTATGAATTTATTTGAATGTACGTTTGCGTTTTGGGAATATTGATGTGAAAAACCGTGTCATACCTTGGTAAGGGAAGGCTCCTCTGTGGCAGCTTGGGCTGGGCAGAGGTTTGGGTCCTGGTGAGAGGCAGTGGCAGTGGATGCCCACTGGTCTGTGTAACCCAAAGGTGTGAAGTACCCACAGTCCTGAACGCTGGAGCCGCGTTCAAAGTCCTCACACACACCGTCCCCATCAAAAACATAACACTGACTCGGCTCACCTTAGGGAGGCAGGGAAAAGAATGAGAGAAGAGGATTTATGAAAGAATGTAAAGCCTGGTTTCTTAATCTGGCAAAGTATTCTCCCTTTCCCCCACTGTTCGACCATCATCCAGTTCTATTTGTCAGTGAACCAAAAATGAGCAAATCTATTCGGTATTTTCTTTGGCAACTTCTAATGTTAGCCACATCAGCTCAACCAAATCAGACTCCCCGTGCTGTCAACACATTGTAAATCCTTGTAAGAAATGAACTCTGACTGCAATTAATTATTGGAGATTACAATAACGTCCTGATATTATTCAGCTGAAACCTAATAGGTGCCTGGTTAAAACCCAAGTAACAACAACGTTTGTGGGTTACAAAGAAATGTCAAAGCAATAATCGCAACAATCCAAACTTGCTCCAGGTCTTGTGGAAAATGAAAACACAGACAGCTTTTTATTACTCTGTCTCCTGCTATATTTAGAATTTGGGTTCTTCATTAATGAAAAAGCCGTCTATTCTATCAACAACAAAAAAAAAGAAAAAAAAGCGACAAAAAAGGGAAATCTTAACTGTTGATAAAGGCTTAAACAGTCTTTATGGCTCCAGAGCTGGACAGCTAGGACAGAGTCCCAGAAAACGAAACATGCCTCTGGGCTGATCCTACACGTGGACTCATTCCACCCAGTCACCTCTTATGGTTCTTAACAAATGTGCATTTCTGTAAGTATTTTCCCAATTTCTTCTGACTTGGTTTCTTATCTTTCTTCATCCTCAGTCCATTCCCGCTACCTCCCCTACAGCTGCGTGCCGACGTGTGGACGTGGGTATTAGTGGTTTAAAACATAACCGCTGCAGTCCCTGAGTAGGAGGGTATTTCTCTTATGCCCCTGTCCTCACCTCAGTGGAACACCTCTGATCCACCACTCCATGACCACTCCTGAGAGAAAGGACCTGTTTGAGTTTTATGTGAAGACAAAAATCGTCGACGTAGCCCAAAATTAGCTCGGAATGCCTTTAAAATGACAGTGACTCATCCATCAGACTCACTGGGAAGACCGGGAAACGCTCGGCGGACATGGGCTCCCTGTGGTGTCTGGCCCCAGAACCAGAGGGATTCTCTGGTTCTGGTGGGCTTAAGGCTGGGGCTTTAGCTGATTGGGACTATTCCTGTGTGTTCTGTGGCAGATCTGTAGGATCGTGAACACAGAGTTTGGAAACTCTGTCAATTCCCAAAGCTCTTGACTGTAATCCTAGAGCTCCTCCCGGGTGACTGAGAGAAGATCCATCCCATCCTACGTAGATGCATTGTGTCTGTGTTTGGTGCGCAGCAATATTTATTTATTTAAAATATGAATACTAGAATGACTAACTCTAAAGTGTTCAAAATGAAATGACCACCTTCCAGCGTTTCCCTGAAGCCAAAGCACATGAGTTTGAAAACTCTTACAGAGTTAATTTAAGACTTTTGTGTTTGTTCGGCTGAATGTACTTCCAAAGTCAAGAGGGGACTATGTGCTTTTTGGCTTAATAATGTTACATTTAGCGTCTCGTGGTGTCTCACATCGTTCTCAGTCTTCACCATGTAGTTCCAACAAATAAGCCCAGTTATGCTGGGGAGATTGATAACAGGGAAAAATAATATAAAGTTTAAAAAACAAAAGGCAATCCATTATAGTGATATCCGATCAGCATACTGTGATTGTATGTAACTTCCCTGGAGATGAAAAGAAGTGCTATTTTCTTCTTAACTTGCAGCCTCTGCAGGATTTTGCAGAAAATACAGGTAGAGTACCTCATGTTGACTAGCAAAGAGCCATGGCAAGATATGCAAGAGGATTGAAGGGGAGCGGGATGTTCACCAGCAGAGCCTCCAGAAAAATTAGAGAGGCCTGAGCTGAAAAACAGCTCCTGATGCTGCAGCTATTCAGAAAAAGGGCGGTAAACAGACTTCAGACATTTGGCCTCATTAACATCTGGACAGCCGCAGAGTTTAGACAAACAGACAGTCAAGCTCTGCACAAGTGGCTTCAATTAGCCAACGGAACCGTGTTTCAGAGACGTGAGTTCGGCCGCGACAGCTCACTGTCTTCCTGAGTTCATTTGGCAGCACGACGTCAAATGAGCTCAACAAACACCCCACCCTCACTTTAACAGCACCTGTGAAAGTGATTAAGTCGTTTTAAGTCCAGCTCTCACATCCATCAAGCTTCAAAAGAAGGGGACTAATAGAATATCTCAGGCACCTGTTTTTTATTTCAGGTCTCCTCACTGGAAAAGCATTGTGCAATCTCGCCATTATTCAAATAGGAGGCTAACAACTGAAGATAACCAGTAATAACTTTAAAATATGCCAAAAGAAGAAAAAAAAACGTAAAGGCTAAGGGCACAACGTCAATACTTTTTAACGACCCTAACAAATGCAATTTTGTGCTCCCAGTGTGTGTTGGGAGAAAGTATTTGTGAAGTCGCCCAGGAACGATGGCGAATTCTGAGGAGAAAACAGACCGGCGCTGGCATGGGGAGAGTTAACTGGGTCAAGCAAATGTGGCTAGGAAACCCAAACAAATAATCAGTCTATGACTAAGAAGTTATACTGAATAATTGGTTTAAAGTGTTGCAATTTGTAAAAAACTATTTTTGCCAAATTGTTTTCCTTCCTACTTATGATGTGTTTTATTGTAAAACAAGAGATGTAATGACTTCAGTCACGGCATGGCAAGCCCTAATGGAAGCAGGGGGGGTGGGGGGGGTTGGCCTCGGCTTGTTTCCCCCTAACAAATAAACTGAGTGGATGATGGAAGTTTTCGTCCTGTAACAAGCTCTCGTAACGCAAGCCCTCCCGGCGCACACGGATAACTGCCATCCAGCTGCCAGTGGAAACAATATATGGCCTGAAAAGAAAGCAACACATTGTTTCATCTCAGCTGACCTGTCACACCTCTTTAGCATTATTAGGCTTTATTTACGAGATAAAGCTTCTGGCACAGGGCAGCGTCTGAGCGTGCACTCCACCGTTCAGAGGAGCGATTCCGAGCTTGTTTGTGAACAACAATAAAGCCGAGCACCTCTGTCCTGCCCGCTCTCATCGGGAATACGGCCTTTAATGGGGAAACAGGCTCAGGAATTTTAGGACCCCAAATGTTAGCACGCATCGGAGTCGTTCCCTTCACCTCTCAGTGGTTTTCATGTTGTGGTTTATCAGTGCACGAGAGAGTGCGCACATCATTATTACCCGACTCAAAAAACAGAAAACACACATAGGCAGAAAAAGAGCTCAAACCTTCTGTTTACAGAGAAGTATTTTGGGGTGAACTCCCTTCCGTTTTGTGAAGTGAGGCTTTTGTTGTGGCCTGCATGCATATTTCTGACTGTGTCAGGGTGGAGCCTCAAAGCATTGTTGCCCTGTGGTGGAATCATAAATGTGGCATATTTGTTTGTCTTTTGTCATGTTATGCTGCGTGTTTTTTTTATAATTTTTTTTTATTTTGGCTGACTTTTAACCACCTGACCCAGACTTGAATCTGTCTGTTATTTTGTGTATCCAGAGCTGTGAAAGTCAGCTCATAGCTTTCACCTCACAGGAAAAGTCATCTGGTTCCCACCAAGAATTAAAACTGGACAAACACATTCTTATATCAAGAAGAACCTTATATATACTAATGTAAAAGAAAAACTCACATCAATAATAATCCCAAAGGACGGTAAGTAGCCGTTACTCAAAGAGATTTGATTAACTGAGCATTAGCATGTTTGAGCCCATCTGAAAGCAGAATTTCAACCAGTTTGCTGGCAAATTCATGTGTCTGTTAACAAATTGCCATGGAGCTTAAGATCTCAGGATCAATTTCTCATTAACCTTGAGAGGGTAGTAAGTCATATTCAACTCCATTGCTCACTTTTCCACAGTGAAAAAAACCCAGCAGGTGCATCACAGATTCTGTGGGCTTCGGTTAGCGTGTTAAATGTTGACGATCATGAGTGTACAATTCAGAAAGGACTAAAGACCAAAGTAAGGACCGGATTTATTCATTTAATTTGATTTTGATTGTTAGTGTGATAATATCTGAGGAGGCACGATGTCACCGGCCCAGTGGGGTGGTGTGCTGATCACAAGTTTTTGTTCAAACATTTCTCTATACACTTTGCATGGGTCAGAACACCTAGTTCCTAGAACTACTGCACAGTTGATGTTGGTACAATCACAAAATTTATTTTATCTTACCTTATATTTCAAACTGTTGTGCTACAAACTTTATTTTACCATAAATATGTGGTGTAACCATGCCTTATTGGTTAAACTTTGCCCAAGAGAGCATCAAATCTAATTTAAAGTTCCTTTTTGCTTCGGCAAATTGGCAAAGAGGCTTGAGAAATACTGAAATATAACAGCACCCCTGCACAATCTGGAGTTTAGAACAAGATGGCCTCTCTGTGCGGTGAATGTCAGACTTGTGTGTTGGTTGTGTTGAGCTGAGGAGATCTGGCCAGCTGTGGTGAGAGGTGATGAGAGAAAAACTCTCACTATCTCAAATTTAATCCAAATGAAAACTGCATTTAAAATAACCCATGATGTTTGATTAGAAAAAAAGCTAAACAATAAGTCTAATTTATGAATATTCCAAACTCTATTGTGACTTTTTTTTTTTAAAGAAAGGCCAAAATTAATAAAGGAGAAACATGACTGACATGTGTTTCGAGACTTCGCTGTATAGTTTACAGCTGAGATGTGTTTTTCTGGGGTTTCTTCGCCAGCCTTATGTCAAAGTGTTTTACCAAAAAAAGACTTCTGACTTAACAAAGCAAAAACGTGCTTTTTACCCTTCAGCTCATCTGTTTTCTCTTACGCTGCTGTGATGTTACATTAATGGGCTGTGGAATCCAGTCAAGCCAGAAGCTTTTATGTCTTGTAAATTCACTGTGATTGGCGTGATGTTTTTTTTTTTTCGTTCGGTCCTAATGCCGCTGCGTGCACAAATGAGAGATTTCTGGCTGTTTAGCGCCTGCTCTTTTACGCTGGAAGTTTATGTGGTTCTCGTGTTTTACGTGTGAGGCAGTGGGCAGAGTTCGAGGTTTGATGTAAGAGGCTTAGGAAAAAAAAGAAAAAAGCTTCTACTGTTTTCAAAAAACAAACCTGCATAGTCTGGCTTGCTGAACTGGGCTCTCGGGGGGGGGGTTTGTTTTCCTCGGCCGGGGGCTGAGCGGCACTCACCATTACAGTTGAAGCCGGTTTCCCTCTGGCACTTCTTAGAGCAGCCGTCGCCATCCAGCAGATTTCCATCATCGCACTCTTCTTTCCTGCAGGAAGAAGATTAGCACGGTCATCTCCACCATCCGTGCCCTGTCCTTTTGTGAACATGTGACCAAAGGGAGCTCACCCCTGTCTGAAGCCGTCCCCACAGTACCGCTGCCCCGGGGTGTAGAGCAGGGGCGGGGAGGGGTCGCTCAGGACACCGTCCGCCTCCACCAGGATGCTGTACTGGTACCTGACACCCTCCTGAACAGAACTAGGGTGAAAACGGAGAGAAGAAAAGTTTTTTTTTTTTAGCATAATATCAAACATTTTTTGGCACGTTGAAACCCTAACCTAAACATTCTGTATGCTCCCCCAGGGAGCCAGATTATTTTACTGTGCTGTAGTACATACAGATCATATAATCTTTACAGCCTTGTTGATTAATACCGGTGACTCATTCGGCACTTGGAAAAAATAGCGTGTGGATACAGGTGGTTGTTTGACGAATGATGACTTAATTCTCTCGAAAATGTTACATCAGGACTCAGTGGTGGAACACACAGACGATCTCTCTGTGTTGAGTCTGACGGGTTCGGAGAGGCCATGCAGGGCAAAACAAAAGTGGAGCTAACGGTTTTATCGATGGCCTTGTAGTGTCCGCTGACCTCTAACGGCCCGGTTCAGGAAGTGTGTGCAACAGCTTCAGTGTCAGAACTATCGATCTGCTTTCAGTGTTCTGCGTCTATAAAAAGAAGCCGGTCTCTGTCCTTGTTTCCCTCCTTCTGTCTCTGCCTGATGTGAAATCAGGGAACATACACAACCACAATATCTGGCAGTGTGTCCGTTTCTCCCAGAAAAAACAGAAATTCCTTTATCAGCTAGGAATTAGACAGGAAAATGAAAGATAGGAGAAACTTCCCAATCCCTGGTATTGTGTTCTGCTTTCCCCCTCTGAAACAAGTCCTCTTCTGTTTGCTGTGCTCCACTTTAGCTTTCATGTCTTCACAAGTCCCTGCTATGGCTCCTCTGTCTCTGAATGCCTTTAAGGAGGATGAGTTTGTCCTGCTATTCTTTCTAATTGTCCCCTACTCTCCACTCTTCCAGAATCTGTCTTTTCCTAGCTTGTTGCTCTAAAACACTCTCTCCTTATATCAACCTCTCTCTGCCCTCCTCAGTCCCACATAACTCTATTCCCAACGGTTCCTACATCTTTTTGCACTTAGACACAGTTTGTGTAACGTAGGAGACGTGTTTCCTGAAAAATAAACTGTTTTTAAAGCTGCGTCCACCTAACGGCCACACTGCTCCGTAAAACTGTGACAATTTCTCAGAATTTCAGAACCACATTACTTTTGAAATCAACCTCAAGTGATCTGAGTCATGTGACTTAGCCTTCCTGGCAGGTACTTCTCAGCTTTGGGTTCATTTAACAAAGGAAAAATAACAGTAGGGACAAGTTGGATTTTTTGGGGAGGAGGGTTGCTATTTGCTGAGATAGCAAAACTGGCTTGTGGCTTTACATTTGGATTCCAGTAATCATCTGAACACCCTGCAATAAGAGACAGGATACAAACGGATTCAACTTAGCCCTGAAACTCCCGCAAGCTTTTGATTTAGTATATGGTTGTTGAAACAGATTTGGATCAGCTACACTCGGCATCCCCATATTGGAAACATTTGTGTTTTGAGCTTTTCAACCAGAACCAGAATCCAACACTTTTAAAAGACATATCGTTGTATAAGTAAAGCTGAGGCATCTGTATTCCATGTCCACGTTTTTTTTCTTTGTTTTTTTTTCCTTTGAGCTACTGATGTCTGAAGGGGATGGGCATGGGTATGTTTGATATGTTTAACTGCTGATCTGCCGTCCAGCCTATGGTCGGTTGGTTTGAGTGTATAAAAACACACCTGACACTTCCTGTTGAGCATGAATAAAATCAAATTAAATATGTAAAAAGCTGGAATTCATACCACTCACTGATTGATCAAGATCAAGAGTGCATGCTTGGGATTGATAAGGTTGCATGTCCACCTGTGGTCAAGCCTTATTTTGATTTGAAATAAAACCAATAAAGGTGCACGAGTGATCCAGATACCATCTCCTCCCACCGTTTAGGCTTCACCTGTCTGTGAAGGTTTGCTGGGTCTGAGGTGGGGGGGGGTTGCTGCTGAAGGGGGGCTGGCGCTGGACCCGGTAGAGCAGCGGGCGGCAGCCGGAGCACCGGGGGCTGCCCGGGCCAGAGGTCAGCATCACCGCGTCGATCTCCATCTTCTCATCGAAGGTGAAGAGCTTTACGGCCGTGACGGCGACGTGGTGGGTGTCCAGGCGCACGGTGAGGGGGACGTCGCAAAAGACGTGCTGCGGCCCCAGATGGATGCTGCCCCCCCCCTCTGTGAGCAGAGCCATGTCCGCTATGGCTGGGTTTTCTGGGGCAGGGTTAAAAAAGGAAAGCGAGTTTAAATATGGCGTCTGTTAGCACTGGTTTCTCTTTGCTGCAACCTCTTGTGTCTTGTTATTGCATTTAGGTTGTAATTAAACAATAGAATAGCCGAGTTATACAACTCGGTGGTGAGGAGAATAAAACTGTTGCAATAAAGCATGTTCAGGTCTCAGTATTAGTTGGCCAAATATCAATGCAAACAGTAAGCAGATGAAAATGTCTGGCTTCTACTAGAAAAAGTTAAGAGTTCAGACTCATAACTGGGTTAAGAAAAAAAGACTTGTTGATAGATTCATAAATATTCCCTGATAAGATCAGATGGACCTGGCTGACCACTCAGGTGGCGTTCCAAGCACCTGCCTGCATGTTAGCAGCTCAGAGTCTCTTGGGTTGGGGCCATGGCATACTTTGATGCAGGGAACTGAACTCTCTTGGCCCACCATACTTTGTTTTATGGTCGCCGTCACTCTGGTTTATTACCGCTAACATTTCTGCAGCGTGCGGTGTCTAGCCCTGTCCAGCACGTCGAAGATACGGGGGGAAATTGATGAGGAGACTTACGTGAGGAGATGTAGGTGACCCAGAGTGTGAGTGTGTGGGGAGCCACGGGGTGCAGGAAGGTGAGGGTGAGGGTGCAGCCGTCCGGGTCCGGGCACGGCGAGGTCACGTTTGTGTCGTAGAGGCTGAGCTCGGGACTCCAGGCCTGTAGGCTGGGCTCACAGGGCTGCTCCACGTCAGGTGGCCCTGAGGTGGACGGTGGGAGATACGAGCATAAACAATCTTACAGCCATGAAGCGGGAGAAAACGGAAAAGAGTCAGATTTGAGGTACATTTCTTCATTTATGTCGACATTGAGCTGAAGATTTCCCCCACATGGCTGGCCTTCTTTCCTGAGCAGGCTCTTTGCCCGTTACTAAGGTCCTGTGGTTGGGACTGGGACTGGGAGTACTCGTACTCGCTGGTAAACAGGGCAGTGATACAACAAAAATAGTATGAAACCCGTTCACCACAGTAAGATCAGTGAATTATCCTCGGTATAGAAGATATCCTTTCCAAAGGAACATACCCATGAGCTGCTGGCTCCATCTAAAGAACCGTGTGTCATTTGCAGGTTGTGTTTCGGACATGTGCAAATCCGTGCACACCAAAGCACCCAAACCACACTTTAAACCTGGATGGACCGACTGTGATGGACCTCGTTACAGATGACCATTCTTACTGTCTCTGAGTCTGAAAGGTTTTTAAATCTTTTTAGATGTTTTTTTCTTCTTCTATCTTCTCAACAGATCTTTGCCCAGAGGGAACTGCTGAGTGTCTGTCAGCGATGGGGTGAGCTCCTGACCGTAGGGTGGAAAAAGCCAGGAGATGATGTGCTGTGATCTGGTAGCTAAGCAGACGTTGTAGGCCTGTTGTTACTCTCTTAGGGTTAGTGTTACGGAATTTGTGGATCTATTTTCCTCAAACAGCCAAACGGCCAGTGGAACACTACAGATAAGTATATATAGTTTTCCTCCTTGGGCCATAACACCATAACACGACTAATGACGCTATCAGTCAATTATCGATCAGTCGCTAATTGGTGAACTCCAGATCAATGACCTTTTTGTTGGTGCTTATGTTTATAGATGAACTGTTGGAGTAAAGCTTCCCATCACATATACACACCTAAAACCTGATCCAGCAATCTTTCAACAGGAGCGCAAACCTCGACACAATGAGCCGAAAATGGGCTCAGATCCATCGATCAGATAGTAACATTTTGAGTGGACCGATACTGTTCCTTTCCCTTCCAGGTCCCGTTTGGTGCTATGGCCCACGTCTGCTGGCGGGTGAGGTGACCCACACATCACTGTCTCTACAAGAGGGGCACGGTGAAAAGTGAGTGAGGGAAGCCAGTAGACTGGCTGTCTCCTCTCATGTGCATACCACTGTTTAGAGTAAGACTGTAATTGACTCTTTATCATCATTATGATCCCGCAGCGAATGAGGGAGCCGTAATCCCCCCTGTTCCTCTTTGCCGCTTGTTTTCAAAGCATAAATTCCAGCAGAGGATTTCCACATATTAGGATAGAGTTTCCATGGGGGAGAAGGAAAGTGTTGTTGTGTTTGAACAATCCTTTGTTCTTCTGTACAACTCTTTTGCTGCTTTCTTTCCTCTTTCCCTTCTTCTGCCTTGTTTATTATATAGTGCTCCTTTCTCTCTCCCTTTTATTTCCTCTCACCCTATACGTCATGTCAAAAGTAACCCTGCTTCCACCGAAATTAGAACTGAAATAACAAGGACCATGTGGTTAGACAAAGTGTAACGTTCAAAAGTACAGTGCTACGGGATCCGCTCTTTAGTTTATGACAGAGGTTCGGTTTTTGAACCACACAAACATTAGCCAGAGCAGATGCTTAGCCTAATAATCTTTGTTCTCGCTTTGGCTAAATAAGACCGAGGGCTATTATCATTTAATGATTTTCTGCTTTTCCTCTTCCAGGAGCTATTAGCCTTGCACGCACCTGAAGTTTACAGCAAGGAGGTTTTTGTGTTTGTGTGTGTGAAGGTGTGTGGGGAGGGTTGGTCTGCTTGACAGAAACAAGAGGCAGGAGTCAAACTTAAACCTGAAACCGCCACATTCCTCACCGTCTATACTTATTAATGAAGACAATGGCATGAGTGGAAATACTTAACTGTAGATTTTAGGAGGAAAAATAAATCAGAAGAGCCATATGCCTCATTACCACCAAGTATTTTCACCAGGACATTGCATTATTTATTCTACTGGATGCCAGAATTGGGAAAATAACTAATTTTCATTCAATTCTGGCAGTTTTTAGTATTGTCATTCTCCCCCTGATTGTCTGTACATGGTTGTTTACCATGTACAGGCCTATGGTGTGATTCCTTCGACTCAAACAAACACACACCAGTCCTCTGACTGACCGATTGCCTCGTCTGGGGTCCAGTAGCCGGACGTGTCGCAGATGCGAGGCGAGGACGCCTCGTGAGCGTACTGGTGGAAGATGCCGTCCTTCTCACAGTCTGCACAGCTGATGCCAGAATCATGAAACAAGGAGCTAAGACAAAACAGAAATCATGACTATGGAGAGAGCCCAAGGCTGCAAAAAACACGAACCGATTCTTGAGTTAAAGTCGATTTCAGTTAGCACGCCGTTTCAAACATAATGCTGTTAAGATATCTGACACTTCTTCTATTAGAAGTCAAAGATTAATCCTGTTCATCATCATTATGCAAATTATTCTGAAGTATTTAGCTGGTTTGAGTCCTTAAAAAGGCAACATAAGTAACAAAGTGCTGTGTTGCAAAAAATTAGCTCATATCCAAAACATATTTCAGCCTCAGATATGTTTAACTATCTGAGACAAAAGCAAACAGAATAAGGAGATCAAACCTTTGATGGAGTGCACCTCTCACAGGGGAGAGCCAATAAATGGAGGCAGAGTCTGGGCTCTGGTCCGTCACTATTGGGGCAAGAGGGATGGGGGCGGGTCGATGGTCCATTAGCCACTTCTGGTAGACCAAGTCGATGTAACAGTGCATCCTGGCAACTTGATTAGGAGTGAAGTGGTTGGTGCAGTTGTCATCTGATGTGGTGAAAGTGAGGAAGAGCTCTGGTTAATTTTGTAAACAAAAACCTTTATTTTACAGAGAATGTCTGTGAACAGTTAAATGCATCACTGTTTATGCACAGAGGGGGAGAGATAACAGCAGAGTCTTTAAAAACTGAACGTCTTTGATGCTGATGGGTTTTACCTGTGTAACTCATGTAATTGCTGTAAGGGGTGTCCTGGTAGGTGGTGACTCCACAGGAGTCGTTGACCGCTCCAGGGTCTTGGCAGGCTTTGGATTTGGGGGTGGGGGCGGTGTCTGCACACAGATCCCCCGTCTCCATGGACGGGGTGATCTCCTGCGGATGGATTTTATTTTGACATGTTATTTCTTTTATTTTGCTCATACATCTTCTTGTAGAATATGCCACAGGAAGATCAATCCATGCAAAGCAAAGCGTCATCAGAGGGAGCAGAGTCCACCCGTCCTACCTGACACGGGTCATCACAGGAGTCCCGCTCGCTCACCCCCTTAAAGACATGGTACAGACCAAATATGTGCCCCATCTCATGGATCATTGTGTTGTGGTGGCCCACTGTACCAAAGTAGGATGGGTTCAGCACCATTCCACCTAAAAAAAAAATCAGTTTTACAGCAACATTAGAGAATTTGAAAAATCAAAATATTTGGGCCGGTCAATGAATCAATACTGTGAATATCCACAAAATGGTGACTAAAATGTTAATAAAGCAGGAGGGCATGACATCTAATTCACAAAGAAAAAGGATGTAAACAATCTTTATATTACATGTCATGACTGTGTGGGGAAGAAAAGCAACAGCTGTAAGAAAATTTAGCAAATGATGAGGTTGATTGGCAACAGTTTTGAAATAATGACATAAAAAGAGCACCTAAGAGAGGCAGAGACGCTTACGTAAAGGTGGACAAATCTTCAGCAATTAGCTAAAAAGACTGCCATCAGTTTTCACCAACATTCTAGATATTGTCCCAAAGATTTCAAAACTGTGTGAGATCTTTAACAAAGTAAAATGAGTAATACCTCTACGTCTTTCTCACCTGAGATATATGAGCAGGTTTGGACCCTTATGAAGATGGCTGATAATATCAAACCCTCTACTAGAAAATCGAATACCATAAAGGAATACGATTTTTCGAGAAGAACTTATATTTAAATATTTAGTCAAGAAAAAAACTATTTAGACATATAAAGGAAGAATAAAGCGTTTTAATGACGATCCAGCTGTTAAGAGGTGTGTCTTCCTGTCTACCAGTCCGTCTTTTAGCACTAATGGAATCTCTAACCAGTTTTTCCTGAGTACAAAGACTCATTTATGTTATTTGTAAGTTTCGTTTTCCAAAGCATGTATTTAACTACAGCTGATTTTTGTTAATGATTTTTCGCTCAAAACAAAAAAAAGGGCATGTTTTTCACTTGATCAGTCAACCAGCTTGAGTTATTGGTTTTCTAAGTTCAAGTAGTGTGTTAGTGGTGAGGAGATTGAGTAAATAAGACATTAAATACTCTGCCACAGAACAATAATAAGCCCTCCGGAGACAACTTGTCATACAACAACTTCTATGGTAAACAGAGGCAGATGTTGTGAAACTGAAATAGATGTTATGTGGGACACAGTACACATGATTTTATAACACCGCCTAAAACAATCAAACGGGTGGCAGCACGGTTTAGGATGACTAGCTGCATTTTTTCCGACTACATCTTTATTATTTTTTTCTTTAATAAGAAAACAACTAAAAAACACAGAATTGGATCGATTACAATATATAATCAAACAAGTTTTTTTTCACACGTGGTATGTTCAGACTTCACCCAACCTTAAATTCACACAGAGAACCAGATGGGGGAAAAAGTCATCAAATAGTAGAAATATTTAGTTTTTCTCTCTTTTCTTTTAAAAGAACATGAAAAATGTCCAATGAATCATCCGAAAGTCCCAGATAATTGTGAGGGTCTTGTTTGAGAACATCAACCCCTTATTGCAACCACCTGTCCTAAGTCTGACTCTTTTTCTCTCTCTCCGTCTTCTCTCTTTTTTACCCTCTGTCACTCTGACAAGAAAAATGAATAGCGCTGCTCTCTGCATCCATGTCACATACTATTGTTAATCAAAGGTAACAGGAGAAAACACAACCTGAATGTAACACAAAAAGGAGGAAAAAAGCAGCAAAATGAGAGTGCTGACTAACTTGCTTTGCACTTGACTATGATGAGAGTTAATTGTACTTTAAACATCCAGTTGTACTGATGTCATCTTCTTGTTAGTAACAGAAAGTTCATTTTTTCTTTAAAGCATTTTTATGCCCACAAATCATTGTCAAAATGATCTATTTAGTCTGCTGTGTCAGTCTGTGTGTGTTGTTGATGAGGCAATTTGGTGCAAAGAAAGAAAAAACTGGTTCTAAAACACCACAAGAAGTCTGAGAAGAAGGAAAACTTCATGCTTTTTGGAACAATTTAATTCTACCAACGAGGGATTTTCCTATTTAGAAAAACATGATTTACTTCTTCTGTCAAAATTTGAGCTCCCTAAATAAAGAATAGTTGGCGAGGTGGCAACAGGGATGTTTTTAGGTGGACTTTTTTCCAGTTGGAAGAAGAAGTCTACCAACTTTATGAGGATAGATTCAACCAGTAAAATCTCTGCCTACCTCAGTTGCATTTGTCTCGTAATTTAGAAAAATGTAGATATCACCAAACCAGACAACAAAAGACCGGGAGATTAAGATATCATAGCTTAGGAAGGAAACTAGACGAATGAGAAGCAGAGAAAACGGAAAAATTCCAAGCGAAGAAGGACCGAAGGGAAAAGACAAAGAGAGAGAAAAGTAAAGTAATGGCACTGTGCAGACATTTGAACAGAGAAACAGAAAAAGAAAAAAAAATCAGACAAATAGGCAACACTCATGGAGCTGGACGTGTTTATGTAACTGACCTTGGTGTGTCAGAGCCTCCTTTGCCCATGGCCAGGTCGCTGCTCCTGCCAGTTCTTCACGCACCGAGTTGCTGGCAAAGAAAACATTCAGCATATCTGTGCTGCCGAGGCTTAATTCTTCCTTCAGCTCTTTCACACTCATATAAGCCCTGCAGAAAGCGAAACGTGCAAACATTGGTAAACGAAAACAGAGATACTTTGAGGTAGGTGCACACAAATCTGGTCGACTTAACAGCTGGAATAATGAGACTATCCTAACAAAACCATTTCCTCTGGCATTTGTTCACGTGGGGCCAATAACACATGAATATCCATTCAGGAAAAATGTCCCTTTACATTCATGGGAAACCCACATAAGTGCGCACAGATCAACATTGGAGCAGATGTTCAGCTGAAGCTGTCAAAGCTTGACGTGTTACACATTAAACGTTAAGATTGACTGAATCTAAATATTGCAGCAGAGAGACAGACTCATTTTCAGCCAGAAACAACACAGAGCAACGTTGTTTTTTTTCTGTATTATAGGATAAAAAAATATTGGTGTTAACTTCGACCATTCCAGAGGCTAATGACAGTAAAGAAAACACTGTTGCTTAACAAGACGTGAGCACACAGACATCATTTCTGCTCTCCAGAGAACAGGTTTAATGACTTGTGCTGTGTAATCAGTGCCGGACCAATCGATAGTTTTCAATCCATCAACATCCAGCTCCTTCCCCGACTATAACTTTAAATCTCAACTGTTTGAGTTGGTAAGGTTACTCCACACCGCTGCCACCCCCTCCCTCCACACAGCCCAAAGTTCCCAAATCTTTCTCCGTGTGTCAGTGATAAATTACCCGAGAAGAACTTTGATGTGTGGGGCAGAATTTGTTTTTCCTCAGCAGGGTGATGTCACATGTCATTTTTCTCCTTTGCTTTGATAGCTGGAAGCTTTTGCACCTATCAGCAAAAGGCCCCCGCGTGTTTGGGAGCCGTACAGGGGTCTCACGATCCGCCCGGTGCCTGAACACAAAGCTAGGCTTTGAGCTGAGTCTTTGGTGGTTTTCGGGGTTTCGTGACCACTTGATTAAAGAAAAAAAAGGCTATTTGGCTGAGTGGACCGAGAACACCACTAGGTGTGATTGCTTCACATTCATAAAATGCCTTCTGGTAAGCGTATGAATCATCTCTTTTTGTGAGGTGTTTCTTTCTTTTATCTTAGACAGACAGTACTGGATTGCAAGTCCTTGTTGATTATTCTAACGTAATGGATTATTGTACCATGCCGTATTCCTCACATTAATTCTGAAGTTAATGTGATCACTCTCAGATGTGGGGGACTGCTTTGCTGAAATGACTAAGCCCTAACTTAAGTTCTAGCTTTGTCAGGTGTGTTCAGAGGCTGGGTTCTACTGCTGTTTTTAATGATTGACCATGCTTAAACCATAAGAAGGCCTTTTTATCTATGTGAGGCTCTTCACCTCCAAATTGGTCGGAAGACTTTTCGTGCCAGCCGAGTGGGTAATCCCTGTCACCAGCCCTTGGTGGAAATGTTGTACAGTAAATAAGATTGTGTTTCAGGTCCTGGGCCTGAATAAATAGGTAAAACATGTAAGATGCTTGGGGAAAGCTTTGCTCTCCTAACACAACTGAAGCAGAGTTCAGCTGAGGCTGTGTGCAGAATCGATCACCACATAGGGCACGATCACAAATGACAGAACTCTACCACAAAAGACTTGACTCCTCTAGTAGGAAGATGCCTCAGAGGAAGAATGGTTATGAATCACCTACTGTGTGGTCAGACACTGTGTGCTGCAGCAGAGTCAGCACAAGCACGCTTGCAATGTAAAGCCATAGATGCCGGTCCACTCCTAACAATGTTGTTGACAAGTGAGTGACTAAGAACCTTAAAATGCCACAAAAACTGAAGTCAAGGATTTTGGAGACGTCCATTACATTACTGTGCTGGAATAAAGTGAATGAAAAGCGTCTGCAAAACAAACACTGGCTCAGGTCTTGATGAGAAACAATAGCTTCACTTTTAGATTCAAACCCAAATTTAGAGTCTGGGCACAGAGCACTGCGAGTACTCACACTCCAAACTACTAAATGAATATTTTTATTCATTTTATCCAAAGACCCAAACATTTTGTTTGTCAAGCATTACATAACGTTAGAGCAGCACAGTTCAAATGCAGTTTGGATGTGTCTAATTCTGGATATATAGTATAATAGTTTAGCATAATAGTCAAAAACTCCATCACTTTCTCCCCATTCACACCTTTTCCACTCCTACCTTCTCTTTCATCTTTTCGGCTTTTCTCTCTGTTTTTTACCAGAGGCTCCAGAGTATCTAGACATCTTTGTATAACTGCCTCAGAACAACAAATATATGTAGCGACTGCCGCTGACTTTAAAGAAAAGACAAAAAAAACCCTCTGGCCTTGCACTGGCCAGCTGCACACATATAGGGGCCGGTCAGAAGTGGGGCTCGCCAGGAGCTCAGGGAAAGGCGGTGGGATATCAAAAACCCAGATCCAAAGCATAAAAATGCTTCAGAGCTCCACAAATGCCAGCAAAATGTCATCTTCACATTATTTCTCCTTCTGCCTGAGAAAGTCTGAGTCCTGAACCAAGACTACAGATGCACACACACCAAAACACTAGCGCACATCCAAGAATTTCAACAAGAATGGGGCAGAACCTTTGGAGAGACCTGCAGTTCTGTTAGGCCACAGTGTGCAGCTTTTTATGAGACACAGGGATTAGTCCTTGCTGTAGTTTTTAGTGGAGGGTCAGAAGCTCATGGGCAAGATCTACTGCTGGAGTTTCAGTGCTCCATTGAAGTTCTGGTGTTTTCTCCCAGGTTCTGACCAGCTGAAGTTTCTTCTGAAAGACTCCTCACCTTCTCTCTCTCTCTCTCCATTTTCTCTGCCAGATCTCACACTAAAACAGATCATGACCAAACAGAGAGCCAACTTTTTTCATGCCATCTGTAGAATACTGTTTGCAATGATTCAAAGGAAATCAAAGAACGTTTCTGATAAATGTGGCTGAGAAAAAGAGCACTGGATGATAGGATGAATGTGCCAGACCAAGGAGCCCGCTGCTGTCCTCAGTCCAGCTTTTCTCTTTAACGTCCACCTCGTCTCTGCTGGGTCCAGCACACGGGGAACATCTGAGTACCAACTACAAACCACATTTTTTTCCTCTCTGTCCCACCACCCCCTCCCCCTCTGTATACCCCACCTAGCTCAGGACAGGACAACATATTTCAACATTTACTTAGGACACACCTGAAGGGTTTCCTGCACATGGCCCCGCTACCAGACCACACACAAGCAAGCCCTGCCTCGCTCTAACCTGCATCTTCCAGGGGAAGTAAAGTAAGCACTGTGTTCTTTTCCAGCCTCGGCCTGTCTTACACTCGCACAGCTGCAGAAATTCACACACCGGAGCTGGACAGTGAGGCCACAGTCTCCACTCTCATCTGCTGTCCCATGGGAACTGTCCAGCTCAACCTGTCTTCATCTGCTGGCCACTGAAAATGAAGCTGAACGAAGGTGCGTAGCTTTTGAGGTCAAGAATCACCAGGAATATGAAGACTTCTCAATTAAAAAAGCAAAGTACGGATACGTCAACATTGCCCAAAGATAGAAGCAGCGTCTTAGAGTGAAGCATTCCGGATGAATAGGGCCATTTCTGCGCATTCATATGATTTCTGTGCAAAAACAACTGGAAAAGTGTCAAATCGTTGGCCCCAACATTCGACCGCATGTTTAATTTTGGTTAACTTTAAACTAATTCTAATTTTACAGCACATATTTCAGATTTTGACATCAACAGGGTCATGCAAACCAATATTTAGATCTATATTGGTCCCTCATGATGGTGCAGAACAATAAATTCAAAAAGAAATATCTTCTTCCACAAGCTTGGCCTAATTTGACCTTCCTGGCATGTGTATAACCTCCCACCAATTTTGGCCATTCCTATTTTGAAAAATGCAAACAATCATGGCAAGAAAAAATTCAATGATGAGAACCAAAAATAACAGAACCTTTGCAGAACGGTGTGTTTATCCAAAATAACTGTGTTCTACCAGAGCTGGACATGGTGATCAGTGGAAAAGGCAAATTTTTTCAAATATATTTATCTGGATGAAAATGTTGGCAGGATGATAACTTATTTGTTCAGTACTGACATTTTTTTGTCGACAAATCAAAGAAATGTGCAGTTTGGTATACTTTTTTCATTTTGATACAGCCTTCCTACGATCTTTTCTTAACTTTGTCTTTGGTGACAACTTTTACAAACCCTGGCCGACGACCTCATGCCGAGATTTCATGTAAGCTATTTGGGACTCTGCGTGAGTCTGTCTGTTGGGCCAACAGCCTGGCTGCTGCTCGACTTGTTTAGTAAAAACAAGTGTGTACTTTGGCTTTTTAACCCACCGTCCCCACTTCATAGAACCCTCTTAAAAGCTGCTGGAGAAAGTGAGTATGAATTTGCTCATGCAGCTTCCTGAGCTATTTATTGCAGCTGTGCTGAAGACGTGCAGCACAAGGAAATAAATTGAGACAAGCGTCTCCCTCCATGACTGAAGAATTCTCCTGAGTTGTCCTGCCTGGCTTTATATCATTTTGTCCTTTTACCTGCGGATGGACGGACAGCTTTCCCCCCTTACACCTCTGTCTCTGTTCAGTGGCCTCACCTGTCAGGAGACTCGGGATCGAAGCAGGTCTTGAGGACGTCTGTGACTTCAGGATCACAGCAATCTCCATCGTCGTAGTCGTAGTGTATGCTGTTGCACTCCATGTCGCAAACCCCATCCTGTCTCTTCCAGTTGTAGCAGGGCCCCAGTCGGAGGCAGTCCCCTCCATCGTGGCCCGTCCTCGGGTGGTCGCACTCCGGGTCGCACTGCCGATTCCCAATCTTGCCAATTCGACAGTTGCTGAGAATAAATCGCTGTCGGAGACTGGAGTTTTTCACGGTGTGGACACTCAGGTCCAGAGTTATGTTGTAAGGCTGGAAGGCCTCATTGAGAGCCTGATGCTGGAGCTGGATCTGGGACGACGTCACCGTGGGGTTTCCACCATCGTCGTTAGCCAGGTTGACAATCCGGTAGCCAATTGTTTTGGGGGAACGGAGCTGCCAGTTGTGGTTGTAGCCAAGGATGATGTCTGTGTTGTCACATGGTGTCAGGCCACAGGGTGGCGGCAGGAAAGGGGACACGAGCTCCTGATCAGGTACAGGAGTGGTGATGACAGCCGGATGACCACCAAATTTGTACGGTGTCCATAATCGTTCCACCTTAAAGACAGAGGCAGCGTTTGAGAAACGTCACATGACAGTTGAAAAACCATTTACCAGCTGATAACACAGAATGTAAATCAAGCCGTTTACATTGGTGAAATCAGCCCACATGGCCAGGACCGGCTTGTTGAGGTCATCTTGGACAGGTTGACGCAGCAGGTCCAGGTGGGAGCGGGCATAGTCCCATAAGACCACCCCTCCAATGTGGCCCCTGAAGCCGTGTTCTTGATCGGACGGTTTACTGCCCAGGAACATGGTTCTGCAGGTCTTCATGAAGGGGCTGTAGAGATTCCCAGACTGGAGACCACTTTCTGCCACCTGAGACAAATGAAGACCAGAAACAACCAAAGACCTGAACACTCTTGGTTTGTTGTTAGTCAACCACTGCGGTCTGTCAGTTTGTTGTTTTGTTTTGTATTATTTTCCCGTATGGGGAAGGTTCAGTTTCAACTGTTTACCTACAGTGCACCGAAATCCACCTTGTTCAGGTAATGAAACACTTCCCAAATCCTGTTGTGAAGATCACACTTTGACAGAAGCCTTTTAGTAAACCAAAGGACTTTCATACATCTCACTGTCATCCCACCAATTCAATTTTAGTAGCTCAGTTTGGCTAAAGGTGAAAAAGTCACACCTTGACATAAAGGTTTGTCAAAAGAGGAAACTTTTCTTTCCCAAAAAGTTGAACCGTTTATATCTTTTAAGATCATTTGAAGGTGCACTGTGTCACAAATCGACACACTTTTTGTGATGTAGAAACCACGGGAAGACTACACACCTTAGCTCCATCAACATACAAGGTCATGTTGTGGCCATTGTAGGTGGCAACTAGATGAGTCCAGACGTTGGCCCGGTACCGCTGGTGGCTGTAAATAATGGTGGACTTCACGGCTCGGTCTGTGCGAAGCATGAAGTAAAAGCGTGCATCTCTGGTGCCTGCTGGTTCCACGGTGCGAATGCCCACCGACCAGCCCTTCTCGCTCAGTGAATGGGAGCAGCTGTCAAACACACCTACAACACAGAGGAGAGGAAATATCAAGCACATGGGAGTGCAGAGAGGGAGAGAGAGGGGCGCAGAGGCAGACAGAGAGAACAGACAGTCAGGGAGGCAGGAGAGGACAGAGAAGGGAAGGAGGACAGAGGTATTTCACTCAGCTAAAGCAAAGCCCTGATGTTTCCATCTGCCTCTGCAACACACACACACACAGACCCACATATGCTCCCCAGATGCAAAACACTGGGACAGAGAAGGGTCAGGGAACCCCTTCTCCCTCCCCAGCGCTGTACATGTGCTCGCATACATGGATGTATACTCATACATGTATGTGGGATGGGAAACTTTAGCGAAATATCACCATGGAGGTGTGCCAGTAAAGGGCTAAACTCAGATTTGTGATTTGATTTATTTGCACTGTAAGAAGCTAATGTCATTGAACACACTGATCATCATAGGGCTGAAGTTCTGTCTCACCTACAGCACTGCGTTACCAGACCTGCAGTCATTTCTTTAGAGAAAAACAAAGAAATGACGCCATATTGTGCACTGTGTTGCACAGTGTACAATATGGTGTGCATACATTAATTAATGACACGCAATGGAAGAAAACAGAAAACAGGAAGTCTTCAGTGGTTTGTACAGCACCAGAGGAGAGCATTTTGTTTGTGATGCAAAACAACAACATTTGTGGCAAATGTGGTCTTAATTTAATGAAGCATTTGCACTGCTACACATTAAGATGATTATTGTACTGAACCGAATTAGATGCTGATGTTTTAAGGCTGGATTTATGTTGGATATTGGCCACACAATTCCGTGGAACATGTTAGCAAAGCATTGACTATTTACATTTATTGGCATCAATATTATAGCAAATCCAACATTCAATCTCCAACAACTCTGTGGGGAAATGGTTGTGTAAATGCTCTGCTCTGTTCTCCTGCCGGATCCCAACAAAGTCTGTCTGCTGTTTGCTGGGCCATTAGTGTACACCACCAGATCTTTGCTGAAAAGAATTCCTTTTGAAACAACATTTGAAAACTGTAAAATGGAATTTCTTCATGAATAAGAGACACTTGACCCAAAGGCAACTCTTCCTAATATAGATGCAGTAGTCCCGCTCCTCTAACAGGTGTTTCAGTCCTGTCTCTACTGTTACCCTCATTATCTGTGCTGGGTGAAGTCAAAATTACTTAAAAATTGTTTATATTCACAAAAAAAAACAGATTGCTTTGTTTCACTCGTTTAATCAACTAAATTGTGTTTTTTTTTTTATTGCTCTCATATGTCAGAGCAGCCAAACATCAAGTTAGCCTTGGACACTGCAGGATTTTTATTTTTTTTTTCCTTCTGATCTACTGCTGTAGGTGGAGGGGAAAGGAGGGGATCCTTCTGCACCTTCAGATACACATAGAAAATAAACTGCTGCCAACACATAACTCAAAATGCTACACTGGAATGTGGCAAAACCATAGAAGCGTTATCATTGCACAGTTTACGGCAGTCCATAACACATCCAATAACAGGCCGAAAGACCCAAACAAAGAGGACCATCAGTGACCATTAGAAGTGAAATCGATGTCAGTGTCACGTCTAGCAGAAACAATAGGACTTTGTTTTTCACTGTTCTCGTCAAATTCCTTCAAGACTCTACAAAGGGAAGGGCCCATGCCACAAAATGCCTCCATCACATAAGGAAGCAATGAGGGAAAAAAAAGTGGAGTAAAGCGGGCGGATCTTTGATCAGGGTAAATGTGAGCCGACGTAACAGTTTGTGGTCTACCTCACTATCTGGACAGCTGTGGTGCTGCACCCGAGTGCTTTTATCCTCTTCAATTTGTTTGATGTATGTGTTGTTCTGTCAAGTGTGCATCCTCTCAAATGCAACAGTTTTGATGTCAAAAGAAAAGCAATGTTTGTCTTCATACAAAGAGCCTGCAAATATGAATCTTTCATTGGATCAGCATGTCTGCAGTCACTGCTCAGAATCACTGGAACCCCTCGGAGATTTCACGGTTAGGTAACCACAAGCATGCCAGTGTGGAGTCTGGTGTGTGGAAGAAAGGAATCACTTTTTTTTCTCAAACAGAATGGCTTGAAAACAGTACTATCTGAGGTTTTTTTTCATCTCAGTAACCTGCGTTTTGCACCTGCCTGAAACAAGGCACAACGAGGCACATCGACATTAACTTTATTAGAAGTGTCCATGTTAACCAGCCATAAACCACTAACACAACTAGTGGGATGATTGTTCTTAACATCATTACAACTATAGCCAAGCTCACAGTCAATGAATGTCCATTGTGAATACCACTGTTTGTGTTTTTTTTTATCCTGGTGACATCCCTTCCACAGAGACCTGATTAGGGTTTTTAATCTTTCCCCCGTTAGAGCTGGTGCAATTTTATCAATTACAAGTGGGAAACTGAAAGAAAACTGTATAGATCCTCCAAACCACGAAGGGGAAAAAAAAACACAAATACACACACACATAGGAAAAATAGGTAAGGTATGCACAGCTTCCTATTTAGTGTCTTACGCTGACACCTTTTGGCACACGAGGCCCGATCAGAGGGCCCAATCCATGCTGATCTTTCCCTCCTCTGATAGAATCATAGTAATCATTCCAGGATGTGCAGGGGAGGTTTTAACATTGTATCCACATTGAATTGTGTTTTTAGAGCCCAGGAATGCATATCCAAGAGCTTAATCTTTCATCCTCGCAGACAATTGGAAAAAAAGGAATAAATAGGGCTACCCTTTGAAAGGTTACACTGCTTCTAAATTAGGTCAGTCCCAGTTTGGAGTCAGGCAGTTACTGGCCAACATTTACATCACAGAGCAATACCAACAGATCCGCTATAGCCGGGCAGTCGGCCAAGGCGATTTACTTTTGCATCTGTCTCATGTTTGATATACCATTTGATATGTCATCACCTTTAAGCTAAAAGTCCAGATCAATCAGCAACTGGTGACTGAGCAAATCCTCATGACTGAGATACAAAAGCAAACGTTTTACAACATTAAGTGCTTATCAGTCACGTAAGTGATTCATCATTTCATTATATCAGCAATACATTTCCATTTTATAGACCACACAGCATGAAACTGGGCTTGGCCTGTACCTATGAGGCCCCTTCAAGTGTCATGCATCAGATTGAACATCTTTTCCATCTTATTGCAAAAAATTTAACACAAAAAGCAGAGCTTGACCTGTCATTGTAATTGTAACTTTTTTCCCTTATGGATATAATTCTAACTCCAAAAGATACATGCTGAACGCTAGAAACGGTTCACACCCACCTGCTATGACAGCGGGGTTGCTCTGCCCCCCCTCCGGCTTCAGCCACAGCTCCAGGCTGAACTTGGCTCTGGGCAGCTCTTCCCCGGCAGCCAGCTTCACCTGAAGCTGCTCCCTGCGGCCGCTGAAGTACAGCGCGCTCATCCAGGAGGGGGGCACTCTGGGCACGGGGCTCCCCCAGCTGTCGGCGGCCAGGCTGGGGTCCGCCTCCTCCACCTCCCCGGAGTAGTCCTCCGCAGAGCTGTTCGGGGTGGTGGCGGAGGTCCGGTTGTGCGCGTGGCCCTGCTGGAGTCTGCGGAGCACCGGCAGCCCCCGGGACTCTGCCGGGCTGCCGGGGGGGGCGGCGTCCTCGTCCCGGTAGCCGAGCTCCCTGTCCAGGCTGCGGGCAAACCTTGAGGGAGGGTCGCGTGAGGAGCGCGTGTGCGCCCGGGAGTCCGTGGGGACGCGCGTCCCGGGCCGCGGGCGCGCGTCGGGGCCGACATAACCTGCGCGTCCGGCGTCGTTTTTCTCCTGAACCCGTCTCAACAGAGCACGCACGCCCCCCGGTCTCCCGTCAGACGCGCACTCGCCCGAGCACACCGCCGGAGCGCTGTGCGCGGCGCGCGCGGCCCCCCTGCCCGGCGCCGTTCTGGACAGGGCCGCTGGAGGGCGGTGCAGGAGCGGGGAGAGGGCGCGCGGAGAGGGGCCGCCGGAGGCAGCGCACGGTCCACCTGCCAGCCGGGACAGCTCGCGCTCCGCCCGCCGCAGCAGCGCGCGCCGGGACCGGCTCAGCGCGCCCGAGCGCACCGACTGGAGGAGCCACGTGTTGGTGATGAGGACCAGGAACACCGCCAGCAGTCTGATCAGCAGCATTTTTTATCTGCTCGATGTTGTTTTAGATGAAATATTAAAGCTTTTCAGCAGCAGAAGGTCTCACACGACACTGGTTTCTGAATAAACACCTGGCCTACATTCCCCCAGTTTCAAACAGCTGTTTAGATTATTTTAGTTTGCTTTTTTGTTTGAGAGAGGTGGGATATGATATTAACCTGGTTTTGTAAACAAATCAGGAGAGTGATCAGTGCAAACCCAAGTACAGTTTTAATACATTGTGTCACATTTAAATTTTCTAAAATGGATAATATATCTAGACTTTAGAAGCAGATCCACTAGTCGGTAGGTTATTTATTAAGAATTACAGATGAGCTAATGAGCTTCTCACATGCATCCTCGTTGCAGCCTCAGTTGGTATCTAGCCTCGTGCACTTTTCCTCCCTCCCTTTCATGTCCACTTTCTGCTAAATATCTGAAGCCTCTGACTCTTGTTTCTGTTAACAGGTACAAAAAAACGCCTTTTCCGTTAGCAGCCTTCCAGCTTAGCCAATGGATAAAGAAAAACTGTAATTGGAATTCACCAGCTGCTGATTTAAAGTCTTAAAAATCACCTTTCACACAACTATTTCATGACTGAAAACAAAAATTGGGTGCAGACTCGTTCTAATCATCTGCATCCAGTGTCACTCAAAGCCTCTTGTTTCTTGGGATTTTGTTTGTTTTTTTACCTGACCATTGTGGCATCGTTTAGAGCGTCCCGTCCCGAAATATGGCTGCAAGGTGAGTCAGAGTAACAAACTCCCAAAGGTAAAAAGGAAGCGCAGCCCTGAAACATATAGGCTACGTCAAACGGTGAACGCAAAGGTGTCCTGCAATTTTGGAGATGGCAAAGAAAACAAACTCTTGTCCAATAAATCACTGCTCGGCATCTGCGCGTCAGCCCCTCTGTTTTGCTCTGCGTGCGTGTGGAGAACGTGTCTGCTGCTGCTGCTGCTGCTGCGTGCACTGGTCCAGGCAGTAGTAAAATCCTTTCCCATTCACTCCTCCATCTATCCCTCTCTCAGTCTTTCTCTCTTCCCCCGAGTCCAAAGGTTTTTATCAGGGAGCCCCTGCCCGCCCTGACATCACCGTGAGGGAAGCGTGGTGCTGGAGGTGGGAGGGGGTGCGTCCTGCCCTTGCCTCACACTTGAATTTTATAAGGGAAATCCTCTCCTCTCCTCTCCTCTCTTCCCCTACCCAGCCCCGAGCTGTCTGTGCATCCCTCTGATCTGGAGTGGAGACAGGAAAGGGGTTGTAAAGTTTATTTTTGCAGTTCTATGCCCTGACCTCATCCATCCAGCCGTCCATCCATCATCAGCCTGGGGAAGAAGGGTCCAGATATTCTGCTGAAGGCAAGGTGGCAGTGCGAGGAAGGTTTTCTGCTGAAGGAAGTATTTAGCAACATGAGATGGAGATTTGAAGAGGCACACGATGCAGCCTGGAAAAGCATCAAGCTGAAAAAACATCTGAGCAAATCTCCATTTTGGCGAAATGTTGAAATGTCAAAAGAAAATGTATCTTAATGCAGACTATGCGCAGAATATTGCTTGTACTGACATTTATATATATATATATACGTACACACACACACATTGCTCCCTCCTTCGGTACCTTCTTCCACCTGACCAAATAGGCATATCTTCTTGGCCGGCTCTGGCTCCACACAGAGGCAGCTTCTGTCTAAAAAACTATGAATGATCTTCCAAAGGAACCTGTTTTCTGCAGAAACTGTTTCTTGGAGTCAGGCAAAAAAAGGTATGGATGGGAAGATAGGTTGTTTTATATATATAAGTGACAAAAAGGAAAGGGAAAAAACTGAAAAATACGCAAAATAAAATTAATTTTAGACTTTTTGCCCTGCGTGTGTCTCTTTAACCTCAGGACAGTAGATTCCACTAAATTTTTGTGTAGAGGAACTTGTCAGTATCTGTCTCATGGAAGCTGTATTCATCTGTTTTGTACATTTTTTTGATTTCATGTCTGTTGAAGAAGAAGGAGGATGTCAGATAACCTTACTTTAGGGCTAATAAGGTAAGTTCAATATTTTTCCCAAGTGTCTGTTGATCCTGCTTATTTGTGGACAGCAGAAACCTTTTAGCTCATGTGAACATAGCATTATGCTTGGGTATCCTAATTTTATATTTTTCTTATCTTTATGATTAGTATTTGTATTTTTATGCCTCTCCAAGCCAACCCTGTTTTTTTGCCGCTTATCACACACACAGATGAATATTTTGACTCTTGAAAAATGCCTTGCAAACAGGAAAAATAGCTTTTGGCAACTATTTCAGAGCTACTAAGTCAAAAGACAGGTGGACTTAGCGTGATGTTTCCAGACACCACAAACAAAAATCTATACTGAACTTGAAATTGCAACATGTCTGAGTAACCGCAAAAAAAAGGTGCTGGTCGCTTTGTGTCGCACTTTTTGTGCATAACTGTTTGTCCTAAATCCCCGTCACATTTCTGGGACTGATTTTTAACTCTATTTTTGTAATAATGAGATGCAAAACAAGTTCATCTGTGCGTGCGTTACTCCTCCTCCATTCGGTGATTGGATGATTTGAAAAGCTAAAACAGGTTACATTTGGCATCTGTTGCTCCACACCCTTTTAAATGTTGCCCCCTCTTTTCTCTAAATCCTGCCTTTTTTTTTTCTTGTCAAGCTCAATCTGCAAACAGGGCTGGAGGTTGGAGATGGAGATGGAGGAGGAGGCCGCTGGCAGTTATGGCAGGGGCCCCCGAAGGGGCAAAAAACAGTTCCTAAAGAGTGGGAGGCAGGAATTCCACAATCCCAGCCCGCCTGAGAGAGGGATCTGCCTGCAAAACATTCAGTTTTTTCTGCTGGCCAACAGCCCTTTTAAATCCCGCTTCAAGTGTGTTAGGAGTAAAAAAACAAAAAACAAAAAAAAAACAGGAAGAGGATGAGGGAAGAAAACGCGAAAAAAGTGGGGATGAAGGTGAAGAGAAGAGAGCGATAGACGGGCGTGCAGCGTCTGAATGGGCGTGCCCCACCGGGGCCTCACCCCCCACTGGAAGGGACCTCCACAGATTATCCTTCATCTGAGCTTGTCCGTCTTGACCTCAACAACCCCGAGGCCCCTTCTCTGTCTTCGTCTCCCTCTTTTTTTCACACACACAGACTTTTCCCATTCGCTCAAGTTTCCCCCTTTAGCTGCTTCCCCCACCTCCCCCCTCCCTCTCCCTCTCTTACCTCTCTGTCCCTCTGTAACATCCAACACGCCAGTGCTGTTGACCCTCCAGCTCCACCCATCAACACTACCACACACCATCTCATAATGCTCTCTCTCTAACACACACACACACACACACACACACACACACACACACACTGGGCCCTCATGCAAAAGAAGGGGACCCAATGGGAGAAAATCCAGGCTGATGTGCAGGACAAATGGGGAAAAGAAGAAAGAAGAAATGGGGAGAAAGAAAAAAAAGGCCGAGCTTTTCACTACCACTGGTATTAAATAGAAAAAAGGGAGGGAGACGAGCTGAGAGGGGGGATAAATGCAGAGCGGTGTGTATACAGCCCTGCAGGTGTTGGGCTCAAAGGATTCTGAGGCAGTTGCTGAGTGTGTGGAGCATTGGAGGTGTCCGAATCACTGGCTGAAACCAATGTGTGTGTGTCTGACTTTACGTGCAAGCTGCGCACATTTCTGATCCTTTTAATCCGCTTTTTCTAATGTCCTATATCACCTCTAACTCTGCACTTTTAAAAGTCCTTAAATAAACTCTCATGATTAAAACACACATCGATATTTCTCTATGGAAAAGTTTGCTTAAAAGTCCTCTCTTTTAAGCAAAGAATCGACCTTTCACTGTATCTGTAACTTTCCTCTTGCTCAAAACTCGATCTCGCATCCAAACTGAGCTCCATAAGGATACATATAAACTTCTTCCACAAACAAAAACATGGGAAAATCCATGTTGTGCGCACTAACTCGGAGGACCCCCGTATTTGTCCAAGCGGAGGTAAAGATGGAAAAGCAAGTAGCAGGCTGGGTAAAATGTGAGCCTGAATGTGTTGGAGCTGCTCAGGTTTTATTTGCAGAGCTGCAGGTGGATGCCTGGGAGACACCATGCTGTATTTTTTGGCCCAAAGGCTGACTGCATTTTCTGGATGTGACCTGCCTGCTAGTTTTTTTTTGTAAAGGCAATAAAAGGTGACATTTGCAGATATGTTATAATGAAAAACTTCCCAGCACATAAAATAATTAGACCCGTGTGTCTGTGATTAGTGTGTTTGAATTAGTAAATTTAGCCACTGTGACACAATAACTCCAGGAAAATTTTGTTTCTTTTGATAGTTATTTAGCCAAATATTAGAATGCCAAAGGCTTTATTTATCGAATTTTCCTCCATAAATAGTTTTTGCCCTTTGTGTGTTTGGTCATTTATCTATTCATGGCATTATCTTATTAAAACTGAATTTTACTTTTTTTTTTCTGAGCTTTTCAAAGTATGAGATGTTATTTACAAAGAAGAGATAAATACTTGCAAGTATATTTTACAGAGTATTTAAATAAATGAAGAAACCAGAGGACAGGTTTGGATTTTTAAAAGAGAACAAATTCCAATAAAGAAGCACTCATTTCTGTACTCGTGTTAAATTGTGTTACAAAAAATTGTAACTTATGTTACCTATGTCTGTCTCTGTTGGTTTTTCTCCGTAATAGTTCTATTTGAATAAGAAATTTAGGGAACAAACAAGTAAACGATCAGTACGCTGCCATGACTGGCAGGTGCCCGCTTATACCTCCTCGTCACTAGGGGGCGCCAACTAGAGGACAGCAGCATAACGGCTCCCTTTGCAATCAAGGAAATTACAGAGCTCACTCCGCTGCTAATAGCAGCTAGCTGGCTAATCTCCTGGACAACGCAGTGACAGATATTTACCTGTTCGTTTTAGTATCAGTAAATTTTTGTACTCTATAATCCAGCAACCTTATACTACGTAGTCAGTTAGAAGCGCGAGGAAGATACCAACGGATAAGTGTAAAAATACGGTTGTTGTTTGGCCACTGTTGCATTCTCCAAGGATGCTAGCACACAAGCAAGCCAGCTAGCTTACAAACCAACCAGAGTACCCAAGCATCAGCGTTGTCCGGATGCTTTGAACAGCGACGCAGAGGGATTTTGGTGGAGTTATTTGTCGGCCTTGCATGATGTCCAGCGGCCGACCGCAGCAAACCGCCGGTGGGGCCGGTTCAGTGCCCAGCACGAGCAGCAGCAGCAGCGGGAACGGCGGCGCTGGAGGCGGGGGGAACAATGCCGTTACCCCTAACGGGAACAACTCTGGAAACGTTGTGCCCTCCAGGACTCTCCCGGCAGCCAGCGAGGGGGGCTTGTCCGTGCCCTCTCTGGCCGCGGTGCCGTCCTCCCGGGGCGGATTCCCATCCCTGAGCAGACCCTCCGCGTCCTCCGGGAGCAGGAAGAAATCCCTCCACCAGGCGCCCCTATACAACGGCCTGTTGAATTCCTACGAAGATAAAACCAACGACTTTGTTTGGTTAGTTTTCACAGTCTGGCTTAGCAAACTGTCTCTGTGGGAGAAGACATTGTAAACTGCATATGTAAAAGTGTCAGAGCTGGATTTTTACATGACCTTCTTGTCTGTTTTTCAGTCCCATCTGTTTTGAAATAATAGAGGCGGCGCACATGACAAAGTGTGGGCACAGTTTTTGGTAAGTATTGAGCTCTCATGGTCATTTAAAGGTTTTAAAAAGCTCACTAACAGACTTGACAGCTGCCCTGGGAGGGTTTCTTCCTTTAGCAATGAAACTGATATTTAGATAAAAAAGAAATCAATCAACAGAATAGTTGTTTTGCACCTGCAAATGACACAAACCTCCAATCTCTACATCCCAAATTAATCTGAATATAAAGAATTTAGTACCATGAAGCTTGCAAATGGCAGACTTGCCTTTGCTTTGCCGTCTTAGAAGGGCAGCAAACATTTCTGACTTAACATTCTGACATTTTTTGTGTATTTCTCTGTACGGTTTCAGTGAATTTCTCTCTCCTCCTCCTACAGTTACAAGTGTATTCGCCAGAGCCTGGAGGACAGCAACAGATGCCCCAAGTGTAACTATATTGTTGATAATGTGGATCAACTGTACCCTAACTTTCTGGGTAGGTATCTTTTCCCCATCAGTTGGTCCAAGGGATTTTCATTGTGAATAAAATATTAGTGTGTCATGTTTTATTCATGAGCTATTTTCACTTTGCCAATTTGGTGTTGCTTTATTGGCATCATCGTTTTATGCCATACTTTCTAATTCACTTCCTTAATCTCACCCTTTTCTATTCCAGTAAATGAACTGATCCTAAAACACAAACAAAGGTCAGAGGAAAAGAGACTGAAATTAGATCCCCCTGTAAGTAACTACCCCATAAAGTCTGGAAAACGTGCCAACTTTTAGTGTTTATTCCTCTTCCCCGTATTAGAAAACATTTGCCTGACCAGTCTGTGTTTCTGAACCCAGAACGGGTCTAGGTGGCAGGTCTTCCAGGATGTTCTGAGTCCTGATCAGGAGAACTTGGATCTTGCAAACGTCAATCTGATGTTGGAGCTTCTGGTTCAGAAGAAAAAGCAGCTCGAGGCGGTGGGTTATCTTTTTTTGTTAATCACTAAACGATGGACACAACAATGATAACTTCAGCTGCTCAATGAGTGACAGCAAACATTTAGAAAGCAGGAAAAGCTTTGACTCTGTTCTTAATCACATCCACACCTCACGAGGAGACAGCTGTTTAAGGAGAGGGTTGTCTGAGTTTTTTTTTTCTCAGGTTTGTGATGGCTGCCTTGTGCTCTACCTATCTAAAGTCCATACAGTGGAAGTGGTGATGGGTTTCTTCAGAGAAATTCACAAAAAATTCCAAAGTTGGACAGAACCAGGTCCACTCTGGGTGTGCTGCCCACTGCAGAGTTTTCAGCCACATTCTAGTTGGATGTGTGTTCATATATTGGTCTAAGGTGGAGATTCATGAGGTTTAGTGTCAGCCAGTGTGACAGAGAGGCTTTTTTGTTAGTTTTGTTGTTCCTGATGGTCAGCCGCTCTTTGGGAATAGCCCATTTCCGCACGCTCTTTTTGGCAGGGATTTGGTGGAGTGTCTAGAAGTCTTTGGAGGCAGTTTCATAACTTTACTTATTTTCCTCAGATTTCTAGAAATCTCCTGTATTTATGTCACAATCCATCCCCACAAACACCCAAAGTTCACTGGATACCAGCAATTCACTTGCTCTTAGATTAAGGTTGCATTTTGAACTCGGTGAACTCTGCAGGGATCAGGGAAGGGGGTCCTCCTACGCTGGAGCATCTGCTGTTTAGATCATTTTATTTTTATTTTAGTATAGTCTAAAAGCAACAAGCCTGAAGATGATGTTTAATAGTTGAATGGCACAATAAGTGGATGTCCTTCAAACCTGTCCTATATCATGAGGGCTCTGGCCATGAATGTGAGCTCTACTGAAGCTGTTCATACTTAAACTTGGTCCATCGGACACCAAAACTAATCATAGGTTCCTTATGGAGGATTTAGCTGGACAGGGATAAACTATTGCGATTAGTTTCTACTATTTATCCTGTTTTATTTGATGTGCAGTCCAGTTCAAGACTATCAGCAGCTAGAGCTTGAGTGACCACAGAGTGTATTCAGTACTTTGTGTAGACACACAGTGTTGCTGAGTCATATGGTGACTAGTTTTATCAGAAGGTCAGAGGTTGACACGGAGTAGCAGTTCTCAAGTCAGGTGCACAATGCTATGAACAATCTGCGACATCCCCTTTTTCTCCTTCTTCTTTTTTTATTCTGGTCAACATGTAAGGAGAAGTAGGAGCCACAGCCTGTCCTGTTTACTCCGATTGTCCCTTTACCAATGTCTGAGTTGCTCTTCTTACCAGTTTTTAACCAGAGCTGCTTCAGGCTCAGCTCATTTAAGACGGAGCCCGGCCGTATTTTTGGCTTTCTCCTTCCAAACCCAGATGCATGCATTAGCTCTTTGGCTTGCACCGGTAACCTGCCCAAGATTACTGCTCAGTTTTTATCAGAATCTGCAAATGCGTTAAGCAACTTCCGGAACAGAAATGTCAGAGCTGATTTAGACTTCCTTTTGGCATTGAGCTGCATGCCCACGAGAGAGCACTGAAAACTTTATAACACAACTGAGAAATGTCCTGCTCATTGGACAGGCTCTTTAACAGTTCCATAAAATAATCTATTGGATGTGTTGCAGTGATGAAAATAGCTTTGTTGGAAGGTAGTGCAGCCACAGGCCTCTTGATGACGTCCACAGATAAGAAAAGTGGCTGCACATAGTATATAAATAATAACAATAGCATGACATTTGTTACTCGGGTTGTGCGTGGACGATACTGAGAGAGCTTCATCAGACACAAACGGGAATCATTTTCGCATATGCACTGCTGCCTTAGAATTTTCCAGACACGTTCCTTTGGGGCTTCATGTGAGAACTCAAATCACTGAAGCAGCTCGACTGACTGAGCCTGCAGTGAGAGGCATGCAAGTACATCCACATGTGAATGCACATCCTCCATTTGCAGCCTCATTTTGAGCCCCTCACTAAATCTGTTATATTGTTAAAAAGTCCAAATATTGTAAAGTAGTATCGGTTTCCACTGTTTTTTTTGTTTTTTCTGTCCTTAATCTTATTTATTAAGACCCACTTCTGTGCTATGTGTGCAGAAATGTGATGGACTTATGTGTTAAAACAGTCCACTGAAACCTGTAGATTCTGTTGATTCTTTAAAAAGATACATATATATATATATATTTATTTTATTTTTTTGTAAATTCCCTTCGTCTTTGACGGCATCCCAGCTTCTGTGTGGGATGCATTTGATGTATTCTCTGCTTTGTCTCTGTGTGGTTCTTTTTCTGACACCTGCACAAAAAAAAAAAACTTTCTTATCAGATTTTCATTTGATGACACTGACGGAGGTATTATCCTGCCAAAGCCTCTTTTAGTTCCCCTCTAAGCAGCATTTCTAAAGTCTGCCAATCAAAGATTTCTTAACTGCCAGAAGATCTTATCAGCAGTCTCACAGCTCCCTCCAGAAGGAGCCGAATTTTGTTCTCTGCCGGATTTCCATGTTTAGTAAGAATGTTTTTAACTACTTATTCTTCTGATTTCTTTTGATTTTCCAATCGTCGTTCATTAGGAGAAATCAGTGGGATACACTTCTGGGCAGGGCGTCACAAGGCATTTTCTGGCACACAGCTTCTCTTGAGTTTGGCGTTTCTGAGCCTTTTCTAATGTCTTGGTGTGATTTTTGGAGCTCAGTTAAGGGTGAATATATGCAAATGCGAATGTTGGAACATATGCTTCAAATAATTGACTGAAACTATTTTTGTTGCTTTGACTTGTTTTTTGGGGCCAAACAATCCCAGGCTACAGTTGAAGTCTAAGATGATTATGCTTCATACCTTTATTTGCCATCAGGAATCCCAGGCAGCTCAGAGACAGATCCTTATGGAGTTCCTTAAAGAAGCCAGAAGAAACAAAAGAGAGGTATGTCTGTTTTACTTCAGAAATTGGCAGCAGAGAACCGTTCTAGTGTCCCGGCTAAAAGTTCCACCGTTCTGTTAACACAAGCTCATGCAGGGTCCACATGCAAACCCATTTATTTGTGTTTCTGGATTCATTGATAGCAACTAGACCAACTACAGAAAGAGGTCAACTTCCTTGAAGAGGACATAAAACGTGTTGAGGTAAACAGAACTCTACACACCTGGTTATGTTTTTTTCCAAACCTACATTGTTCTATAGGGCAAAGGTCAAAACGCTACTAAATATTACTGCTTGAGAATTGTAAAGTAGTGTTTTTTTAATTTTTACAAATTATTTTCCAGGAAATGAGCGGGCTTTACTCTCCCATGATGGAGGCAGAGTGTACGGTGCCTAATGTTGAGGCTCCCTCTCCAGCACCAAGGTACAACTGACCTAGGCATTTTAGTAAATCTGATCTGTTTAGGAAATAAAGTCAAGTCTCTTTTAGTTTGTTTCTGTTCACAAAAGGCAAAATAAATGTATTACATTGATAGATGTTATACTAATGTATATATCTGTCTCATTCTGTAGCTGTAGTAGTATCATCGACCCACCAGATTACAGCCAGCCTCCAGGGTTTGGTGGAGCAACCCAGGTATGTTACAGATTCATGTCTGCTATTATTGCTTTATTTATTTTTTGTTCTTTTGATTATTCATCACTGACGACCTTCTGTCCAGGGAAAACGACAGACCTGGTACAACAGCACTCTGGCATCCAGGAGAAAGAGGCTGACGGCTCATTTTGAGGACCTGGAGCAGTGCTACTTCTCCAACAAAATGTCCCGCATCACAGGTAGTTGCAGTTGTTACTGTCATGCAGTGGGTTTTTTCCTTTTTGCCTTCGACTGCTCACAAAGGAAATGTCTCTGATTAAGAACCTAATCATCTGCATTACTCCTCTGATTGGGGCTTTTATGGTTCCCTTTTAAATGTAACACAGAGCCCTACAACCATCAGCCCTGATGTGTTTGGTCTTTTTCACAACACTGAGTGTTTGTGCCTTTGTGCTGCCTGCAGATGAGGGACGGAACTTGAACCAGCTGGACGATTTCATGGAGTGTTTGTCTAAATTCACACGCTACAACACTGTGCGGCCGCTGGCCACGCTGTCCTACGCCAGTGACCTCTACAGTGGCTCCAGTATAGTCTCCAGGTATGAGAAAAGTAAACTAACATAATCTCTGCTCCTCTCAGCTGCCCAGAAGGGACTCTTTAACATCCTTCTGGTCATGTGCAGTGTTAAGAATCAGCAGGCTGAACTGAATTGTTGGACAAAAGCCAAAAGTGGTACAATTTTTTAGTATTTAAAAGAAACAAGAACAGATTCACAAAGGCATAGTAAATAGATAAAAGACACGAGGCATGACTGTAATGCTGTCCACAATCTCTAATTGCAATCTGGCCTGTTTCAGTATCGAGTTTGACCGAGACTGTGACTACTTTGCCATTGCCGGAGTGACCAAGAAGATCAAAGTGTTTGAGTACGGCACTGTGATCCAGGATGCAGTGGACATCCACTATCCGGTCAACGAAATGACCTGCAATTCAAAAATCAGGTGAGAGAGGAAGGTTCAGCTAAAGGGAGCAGGATGTGAACATGTCTGCTTTTGAGAAAAGTAACTTTCATTCAACAAGCATTCAGTAGATAAGGGGGAAAAAAGCAACTGTTAAGAGGTCAGGTTGAGTATTTCATCAGGATTGAGCTTAAATGTCAGTTTAATGTGACTTGGGCCATCTCTGTTTGCAGCTGTATCAGCTGGAGCAGTTATCACAAGAACCTGCTGGCCAGCAGCGATTATGAGGGGACCGTCATTTTGTGGGATGGATTCACCGGCCAGCGATCCAAAGTCTACCAGGTCAGGTTCCTGGATAGGATCTGATTCTGTAGAAAAATGTCTTTTTCATTTAAAAAATGTGCATAATGTGTTAGAAATAGTCATATTTGTCACCAGTTGTTTCACACAGTTGAAAAACTAAATTACGTATTTTTCTCGGAGCTTTGCTCTTTGTGTTAGACTTGACATTCTAGCTTTAAAGGCATAGGTAATGCTGGATGTCTGTTTTCTGTTTAATTCGATCCACACTGAGGTGTTTGTCTTTAGCTTAGCATCTGAGCTAATAGTGTCAGATAGGTAAAACTTGAGTTAGGCCCTTTTTGTTCCTTTCTTGTGTTGCTTGTAAACAGCTCTGTGCAGCACTGCCATCTTCTGGTGATAGTAACACATGACACCAGCTACCCCTCTTAGCAGGGTAGCTCCGTAGAAATGTCATAGTTTCATTTCTTGTATTTCAGACTCTTCATAAAGTCTTTTTTTTAAACAAAACATTGCTTTCATTCCTCCTTTTCAGGAGCATGAAAAAAGATGTTGGAGTGTGGATTTCAATTTGATGGACCCTAAACTCTTGGCTTCTGGCTCTGATGATGCTAAAGGTAAAAGAGGCAGATAGTTCATGAAAATATCAGACATTCACCGTCTTCACAGCCTGTGTTAAGTCCTTTTTTTGTGTTTATGTGATTTCAGTGAAGTTGTGGTCAACGAATCTGGACAATTCAGTGGCTAGCATCGAGGCTAAAGCTAACGTCTGCTGTGTTAAATTCAGCCCCACATCCAGATACCATCTGGCCTTCGGCTGTGCAGGTGAGACCTGAGCTGCTTTTGTTCCCCTTTTAGTGAGTCAAGACTGAACACTGCTTTTACTTCATTACATTTCTGACTGACCAGGGGTTCAAAAAAGAAAGAGGGAAACCTTCAAATTCACTGCCCTGCCCCTTTATCTTAGTGTTTGACTTTTCTTCTCCGTTTGCTCAGACCACTGTGTCCACTACTACGATCTACGCAACACTAAGCAGCCGATCATGGTGTTCAAAGGCCACAGGAAGGCCGTTTCCTACGCTAAGTTTGTAAATGGAGAGGAAATCGTTTCTGCGTAAGTCCATTTAGATTCTTTTTTAACAGTGGAGTTATCAGTAATTGTCCTTAAGCTCTGTTTTCTTAATGTTTCTTAATGTGTGGATAAAGCTGCTTAAACCAGAATCCCAGTGGGATAATGGCAGATAAAGCAGCAAGTGGAACAAAAACCACACCAATTACATTACAATTTTGATTTTAGCTTGCTGAATCAGACTTCTGATAAAATGGAGAGGGTATCTTAGTGGATAAGGATCAAAGCCTGATTACTACAGCAGTTGGTTGTGTGGTGTTTTGACTGCAGGTCCACAGACAGCCAGCTCAAGTTGTGGAACGTCAACAAACCTCACTGTCTGCGCTCCTTCAAGGGCCACATTAATGAGAAGAACTTTGTGGGGTTGGCCTCTAATGGGGACTACGTTGCATGTGGTAAGCCCTCACTTCAAAGACCAGCCGTCACCTTCAGCATTCCCAACGACAAAATGTCTGTCCAGTTATTTACGGTCTGCTGTGAATGTGTGTGTTTTCAGGCAGTGAGAACAACTCCCTCTATCTGTACTACAAAGGACTTTCCAAGACGCTGCTAACATTCAAGTTTGATACAGTAAAGAGTGTCCTGGATAAGGACAAGAAGGAGGACGACACCAATGAGTTTGTCAGTGCCGTGTGCTGGAGGGCCCTGCCCGATGGAGTGAGTTCCCCTCAGCCTGTGCCTCAGAACACCTCAGTCAGCGTGATTCACTCACACACTAACTGTTGTTGTTGATGCCTTTCAGGAATCAAATGTTCTCATCGCTGCAAACAGTCAAGGAACGATCAAGGTTGGTTTTGAAAAGTATCCATGAAACGTGCTCATTCACTGACACTGATTAGTCAGACTTTTCAAGGTTCTTTTCTCGTCCTTGGGAAGTGGAGGAGCTCGTGTTGCTCTTTGTACGGGCCAACGGGGGGGTGTCAGCAGTGTTATGGGGGGTGCTTTTGGTGGTTGAGGTGGAGAGGTTTGTCAGGATAGAGAAAAACAGAAATAAATCATACAATAAAATGTTAGTTGTTCAGAAGGCTGCAGATGTTTCAGACCTTCAGTCTAAAAAATAAGTCAACGCTCAGCTTTAATTCTTACCTACAGCTTCAAACAGGTTTTGTTGGTCACCTCTTAACAACATGGCAGAAGTGGTAACAAAGGTTCCTGTTTCTTTCTCCTCCACAGGTACTGGAGCTCGTCTGAAGACCTGGCCTCCTGGAGCAGGCATCGGAGCCTCTGTGGGCCTCCCTGAGAGCTGGAAGGATCCGTGGGATGCAGGGAGAGCCCAGGCTGTCTCACTTTTTATCGAGCATGTGGTTTTTTTCTCGGGACAGCGGAACAGACTCTGGATCAGCGACTCAAAGATGCAGGAAAAGACACGCTGCCATTTTACAGCCACAGAATGACGACAGCTCGGGCACAGAACGGAACGAGAGACATTGGAATGAGCTTTTTTTTTGTTTATTTTACAGTGATGTTGTATTGGCTACAATAGAACACCTCTCTCTGGTTTTAGGTCAAATCAAAGCATCTACTTTTTTTTTCTTTGTTTTTTTTTTTATCAATTTCTTTATCTCAATGGTACATCCAGCCAAATGCTACCTGTTTGATGCATTTTCTTTTTTAAAGGCCAAAGCACAAGACAAAATGACGAGCAGAAGTCATGTCTTTACCTGGAGCTTTTATCACCCCTCTTGTTTGTCAGCCTCCTGTTTGTTCCCCTTTATGTGTAGCTTTTGTCTTTTGTTTTGTTTTTTCAGAATGATTTACAGTGGATTTTAATAAATATGACTTGAATTTCATTCTGCCAATCGTACGTCGGTTCCTTTCTCTAGCTCAAGGCAGAATGTGAACTTATGTCTCTGTTTGTCTTTCTGTTATCGGAACAACACAAGGCTTCATATCTGTGTCTGTAATCACAGAAATGATCGTCTGACTTGAGGCTGCAGTGCCACATTGAACTGGACTTTGTCATGTTTGGGCTGTTTCTTGCTTGTTGAAAAGAATGCCAACCTCACAAAATCGTTTTTAGTTCTTTTAAAGTAGCAACAGAATGACTTTTCCACATACTGTAGGCTTAAAATGTACCATCGGAACTGAGTGGGAAAGGAAAACTGCTGTCAGTTTTGTGGAGTGGTGATCCTGATGCATTGAAAGGATTAGACTCCACCAAAACTGTCTATTTTATGATAACTGAATGAGAGGTGTTTTGTATTTGTATAACTGAATAAATTATTTCCAAACAATTTTTGCTGTGTCTTTATTGTATTTTGATTTTTAATGACTTTAAAGATTTATTTAACTAGTATCAAAGAAAAAGTCATGAGAGATGAAGACTGAATAGTGTTTTTGCCAAATAGAATGAATTTATTGGGTTTTGGTCTGGTACTGGCAGCACTTTTATTGCTCTGGTCAATCATCCTGTAACAACACTTGGAAAAGAATAAGGGGACTCAGAGTCATCTGAATTTTGGCTTGATAAATTATTTTAACTACTAAACATCTAGACATCCCTTTTCTGTCTTTTTTTTTTTTTTTATCACTTTACATGCGTACAATGTTCCAGTGGGTAGCAGTCCTGGATGGTAGGCAGACCATATGACAGCAGGATGCTTCTTCATACTGGTGGAATGTGTACACAGAGGGGTTTAAAATAGTCTTGCTAAAAAAATTAATGAATAAGAAAACAAGGCAAGGCCTAGTTTGATGTATGACCGATATATTGTGCAAATAAAGATTACGCTTGTTTCTTTTCTAAACAGCATGGTTTCTTCTGTTTTACGGTTACAAATAAAGAGAGGAAACAAGCGGAACCAATGTTTCAGACCGTTTTCCCTGCAGAGGGGGAATGTTTTAGTTATGGGACAACGGACAACTAGCTGGTTACCGACCGTTGGAAACAAAACCGGAGCCCAAGTTCTTGTTATCCAATCAAAGCTTGGCCGCATTCGGTTACCTTCATATCTCAACGTCTCATTTCAGTTTACACTGTTTACTATTCTTATTCAGAGGTTGAAAGTTTCGTGGTGAAGATGGGAGTACCGAAATTTTACCGATGGATTTCTGAGCGTTATCCTTGTCTCAGTGAAGTTGTCAAAGAACATCAGGTATGAAACCACCAGTGACCGTTTTTTTTGCCGCTACTGCTGATAGCTACAGTGTTAGCATGGCTAGCTTTTCGTTTTCAGCGGGCCATGAAACTTTGACTCCATGAAGCTTACCAATGTTTTACTGCCAAGTGTACGCTTTCATTTAGCCAAACACGTCTTGATTAATGAATTCAGGAAACGTAGGGGAGGCGTAAGGTTGTTGGATAAATTCCACCACTAGCTAGCATGCTAGTGAAGTCGAATGTTGGCTATCTTTTACTGAAAACAAACAAGTCAAAGTAAATGTTATAAAGATGATAGCACTGGGTTGATGTTTTTGTTGTTGAAGAAAATACTAAACAACAATAAAGTATTTATACATAACGAGCAAGCTAACTATGTTGTAGCAAAAAATTACACGTTGTATAGTTATGTATCCCAGGCAATCTTGCACAACAACTTGTGTAAACTTGTGGACACTGCTGTTTCTTCTGAAATGACTTGGTAATATTGATTACTTTAATGGAACGAGCTGTATGGCCAATTTTGTTATGTTCTAGTCGGTATTTCCGCACACGAGTTAAAGTTTCATCAGCCACGTTCAGTATCGTTTTCCTTTCTTTGCTATGAGAGTTTCTGCAGCATGTTTATGGGACGCTTTTGGTAACTAACAACTACGTGTTCTCGATTTCTCACAGATTCCAGAGTTTGACAATCTTTATCTGGACATGAACGGCATCATCCATCAGTGCTCTCACCCCAACGATGAAGATGTCCACTTTAGAATATCTGAGGAAAAGATTTTTGCTGACATCTTCCATTACTTGGAGGTGCTCTTCAGGATCATCAAGCCACGCAAGGTCTTCTTCATGGCCGTTGACGGTGTGGCGCCACGGGCAAAGATGAACCAACAGAGAGGACGCAGATTCAGGTATCAGCAGATAGCTTTTACTTCAGTCTCCTGTTAATCTTGGAAAAATGTCATCAGCATATTTGCTGTTGGACCTTTATTTTGACTGGTCATATCCATGAGGGCACTCTTGTAAAATCTAAGTAGGCTTGAGCACGCATCAGTGAATCTGTCACAAAACAGACTACAGTGAAATGCAACACAGGACTCATCCACAATTAGGATTATCAATCCCAGTGTGATCATTCTCTCTGTTCCTCTTTTAATGTGGTTGTTTCTTGTGTTTAGGTCCGCCAAAGAAGCAGAGGATAAAATAAAAAAAGCACTAGATAAAGGAGAGGTACTTCCCACAGAAGCTCGCTTCGATTCTAACTGCATAACTCCCGGTAAGGCTGGTTTTTCTTTTGGCCCTCATTTATTTATTATTCATAGTTTACTTTTATTACTGTGATTCCTTGAAATGTTTATGGAACTGTTGTGTCGTTTGTGATATTAAGCTATTAAGGTTTCATTGTACATGAAACCTTAGATGTGGATGTTGACGAACCAATTTTTTTTTTTTGTCTATCTGACATAACCAGGCTGGTGGGGCTAGTTTGGTTATGTTTGCCTCTGGCTTGGGTGAAATCTGTCCATCTGAACAGGTGTTGAGTTGGGGTTGACAACACTTATTGTTCATCAGTGAAATTCAATAGTTATTGACAGAACGTGTTAAGACATATTGCGAAGCATGTTACTTAAAAAATAAACAATTTTTTCCCTTGTATTTATCCTCCAGGCACTGATTTCATGGCGAGACTTCAAGAGCAGCTCAAGTACTTTGTCCACAACAAACTCTCCACTGACAAGATGTGGCAGAACGTCAGAGTCTACTTGTCTGGTCATGAGGTGGGCTTCCCCGCAGATCGACTCATTACCGCAAGACTCAGTGAAAGCTTAATCTCCTGCGTCTGCGTTTCTTTTCCTACAGACGCCAGGGGAGGGAGAACACAAGATCATGGAGTTCATACGCTCTGAGAACGGCAAACCCAGTCACAATCCCAACACCCGACACTGCCTGTATGGCCTGGACGCGGACCTGGTACAGTTTATGCTCCGTCTGTAAAGACGAGGGTCTGCACCAGAACAAAACCTTCCTGGATTCCCACTCTCTCTCTCTGTCACGCTTTGCTGCAGATCATGTTGGGTTTAACCAGCCACGAGCCTAATTTTTCCCTGCTCAGAGAGGAGGTCCGCTTTGGAGGGAAGAAGTCCCAGAAAAGGTTCCTGGTTCTCTTTAATTAGTTTGTTTGGAGTTTTTGTCGAATTTTGAAATTGGCATCCCTGTATTCTGTCATATGTTGCTCGTTCTGTGGTGTAACCTTCCTCCTCTCTTCTGCTTCCAGGATAACAGCTCCAGAGGAGACGACATTTCACCTGCTCCACTTGTCTCTGATGAGGGAATACATAGACTATGAGTTCTCAGATCTAAAGGTTATACCCGTGTATCTGCAAACATTCCCACCACAGAGCTGTGAAGCTTTTGTTTCACATTTCATGTATGTATCAAAACATGTTTTTTATTTTTCTTTCTTTCTTTCTTTTTTTTTTTTAGAAACACTTGGGTACTGATTATGACCTGGAGCGAGTAATAGATGACTGGATCCTAATGGGCTTCCTTGTTGGAAATGATTTCATCCCTCACCTTCCTCATCTTCACATTAACCACGATGCTTTGCCTTTGTTGTACAAGACTTACATCAGTGTGCTACCCAGCCTGGGCGGTGAGACACACACACACAGATGCACATAAATAACGTCCACTCTGGGTTTTGAAGTGGTCGATCTGTCTGCTGGTGATAATGGTCATCCAATAAAACCTGACTGAATGCTGTTTTTGTCTTAACCTAGGTTATCTGAATGAGAATGGTCACTTAAACCTCAGAAATTTTGAGAAGTACCTGCAGAAACTTGCTGAGGTGAGACAATGCCTTATTTCAATTAATAAATAATATCCACTGATTTTTATTAAAGTGTGTGTGTGTATATATATATATATTTTTTTTTTCATTTTACTAGTCGGCTATATATAATTAGACACTGATCATTAAGTGACACAATGACCACAACTTATTAGATCCTGCAATTTTCTGCCATATTATCCCAGACTCATCCATTCATGGACTTGATTAGACCTCTGATTGGCAGGGCCATAGTGCTCAATACTACCCAGCTGTCAATAGCAGATCTTTTAAATCCTGTGGGTCAATCAATGGGCCTCCGCAGACCAGACTTGTTTATCCAGAGCATCTTGACTTTAGGTTGGATTGGATCTATCTACCGTAATTTCTTTCTTTGGAACATTTTCTTTTTAGGTCCTGTCTGTCTAATAACTGTGACCTAACAGTCAAGACCACCACAGTTAGGCTGCTGCCATAGTTGCTCAAACTAGACATTTTTTATTTTTTTAAATATTTTTATTACCTCAGCTTAGTTCCAAGAACAGATAGCATCATATAAATCTCTTAGTGCCAGTCTCAACTGTAGGAGATGACCAGTGTTTTTCAGTTTACCCGTCAGTGGTCATAGTGTCATAGTTTATTTGTATATCTATCTCTTTTTTTTCTTCCTCCCATTAATTCTTTGTTATGGTAATATTCAAAATGTCATGAAAAAAAGCTCAACATTTCCCTCCTTCTCTCTCCAGTTTGACCGGGAACATTTTAGTGAGGTTTTTGTGGACTTGAAGTGGTTTGAGAGTAAAGTCGGTAACAAATATCTGAATGAGTCGGCCGGTCTGGCAGCCGAGAGAGAAGCTGCCAGTAAAGAAGCCAACAAGAACGAGGTGGGGATGCTGCGGCTCTGGGAAACAATCCTCTGTCGTTGATGTTGTGTGCAGCTTCATGATGTGCTCTCTTTGTTATTAATGACTCCTATTAGGAATCTGCCCTCAGTCTCTCTGCCGTCACCCCCTCCGAAAAAAAGATTGCTGGGGGAAAAGAGTTGGCTGCAGACGAGGATGAAGAGGACGACATGTTTGAAACGGAATTCCGACAGTACAAGCGCATGTACTATATGTCCAAGATGGGCGTGGACGTGGTGTCTGAGTGAGTTTATACAAGAAATGAACAAGTGTTCGGTTTTATTCCTTTTGTTGTTACCCAACTTTCCACCCCCTTAAATAAGAGGACACTGTTACATGAGTCAGTTATATACAGATTATGTTTGTCAGTCTCTTCTGGTTTTCCTCATTCCTAAGAATCCTCTGCAACTGAGCAAAAGCAGCCAATCAAAGCCGAGAGAGGCCTCTGTATCCATGTGCTATGTAACTATGTAACACCTGCACCGTTCAGCCTCTGGGGACGGCTTGTTATAAAACAGACTGCAAATGGAAAAAAAAAACGAAGCTTAGACTAACATGACAATGCCTAAAAGTTGCTTCTATCTTTTTTAATATACTTGGATGGTCCCTGCAAGGCCTCGGTGTACAGGAGGGGGAAATCTTACAAGTGTTCTTACCGGATAAGTTAACAAATAAACCTTTCAGATTATTTAGTGATTACTGACTCTGACCTTTGAGACAGCAACTTGTGCTTTCCTCCCCCAGTTACCTTCTAACTAGGTGTGGTTTACGACTTATTTACCCCAGGCAGGCCAGTAAAAATGTATAGGTCTTTTGTATTTTATCTAGGTGCAGCAGCACAGAAATTAAAAATAGAAAGATTAGTGAAAAGATGACAACAGTCTACTTAAACACTCATAATAAAGCCATAAGACTGGTGTGTGGGGATGTCTCTCATTTTGTTGGTGACCTTAAACACTGTTTTCTGCTCATTCACAGTGAGTTTCTGGCAGCACAAGCTAAGTGTTACGTGGAAGGTATCCAGTGGATTCTTCACTATTATTACCATGGAGTTCAGTCCTGGAGCTGGTGCGTGTGTCAACCCCTCTGCTCTTTCTTTCCTGTGTCACAGTATTGGCTAAAACAAATCAGAGGAAACTTGACTCTGAGTCACCAAAACTTCCTGTAATGTAGGCAATGATTGGTGGATTTAAAAACATTCTTAATGCACTTTTCTTTAGATGTGCTGACTAAAGTTTGGATGTTTTTATAATGAAGTATTCAAACGTTGTTTGTGCTTCTCTCCAGGTACTACCCTCACCACTATGCTCCGTTCCTGTCTGACATCAGGAATATTTCTGAGCTGAAGCTGACCTTTGACTTTGGAAAACCCTTCATGCCCTTCCAGCAGTTGTTGGCAGTGTTGCCTGCTGCCAGCATGGCACTGCTGCCTGAATGCTACAGGGTAATGACTAATTCACTCACAGACACCAGAACCATTTATATATCAATACTTTTAATACATTTAATACGTTTGGAGACACACGTTAACTATAAATATACAGAACAGAACTTCTGGATTTTTAAGTGGCTATAATTTTTGTGGATGAATCGTTTGATGGGTAACATGATTTAGTTCTATCCTCTTAAGACTAGGATTTCCTAAGAATATTGTTATTGATAACTTTTTTTTGTCTTTTTTACTTTCAGCACCTGATGACCAGTGAAAACTCTCCCATTATTGAGTACTATCCTCTGGACTTCAAAACGGACCTGAATGGCAAACAGCAGGAGTGGGAAGCTGTGGTGCTCATTCCCTTCATAGATGAGGTACAACCCCCCCCCCCAAACCTGGTGGCAGACTTCTGCTGCATTATACAGACTCATGTAACTCAGTGTGCCGTTCCCGTCTTCCACAGAGGTGCCTGCTAGCAGCCATGGAGCCGTTCAACGAAAAGATGACACAAGAGGAGAAAAACAGGAATCGACACACAGAGTGCGCCGTCTATTCGTATGACCCAGAAGTGGACTTCACATACCCCTCCTCTGCACCCCAGCTGTTCCCAGACATCACCCACTGCCACGTCAGGTAAAAAAAAACCTCACACGCTAGTTCTTCATGTTTCTCTGACTTAGAATGTAATTAATATCTATCGGAGAATGAGGAGAGAGTGCAGCCTGAGGTGTTTGCACACATTTTTCTTTTTAAAATCTGTCTGTAACTGCAAACCGAACAAAGACAAAGAGGGATGTCAGGTTTGCTCATCGTGGTTCGTTGCTCTTTGCAGGAAAGCGCACATCAGCATGGATGCTTGGCAAGTACCTTTGGACCACGTCAGTAAGCGTGCTGACCGCTCAGCTCTGTACTTCTGTGGCTTCCCCACCCTGTGGCACATCAAACACAAGGTAGAGATGCCATATAAAAAAAAAATGGTTTTAATTCTTCCTTTTCCTCACTCCACTGAAATCCTAAAGTAAAACACACTAGTCAAAATTCCCTTTGTGGGTCCTGGTTTCTCCTCACTGTGGAACCTTCTTCCTCACTGCCTGCAGTTCTTTAAGAAGAAGAGTGGGGTGGTGGTGTTCCAGCAGAGCAGCAGAGGGGAGAACATGATCCTGGATATCCTCCGCAGCCAGGATGTGGAAGTAGTGAGTATGGCCTCATGTTTGTGATCTGCTCTCGAAAAGGCTGAAGGGGTTGTTCTTAAGAACTTAGAGAAAGAAATCCTAGCCTGTTTTCTACAGCACAGGGCACCAACGATGTTTTGTTTCCATCTTTTTTACTTGCAGAATTGTGAAGACGTTGCCTCACAAGTGCTGGGGAAGCCTGTGTTTGTCAACTGGCCCCACTTGGAGGAAGCTCGCATAATTGCAGTTTCAGATGGCGACACAAGGTAAGAACTTAGTGAGGAATGATACGTTTACAACTTTATCAAATTCATACGAAAGAAACTGGAAAGAATATGATTTTAGTCTGTGAGTTTGTCTCGTGTCTGTGTAAAACTCAAAGCACAAATTTCAAAACATTCCTTTTAGATTTGCTCTAGAGGAACCTCCTGGAGTCCAAAATGTGTACGACAGGCCGTCCACTCCCCCCCCGACCAAAGTCTCTTTTCTATCTGACAAGGAGCAGAAGGACTGGGTGAAGGACGTCCAGGGAATCACTGAACAGTGAGCTCTACTAATGAGAGAAAATGAATAGATCTAATTTTTTGCCGTTCTTGAAATGTTTCTAATTTCCTTTTTCATTCCTCTAGTTTCATGAAAAGAAAAGGCATCATAGTGAATGAGACAGAGGTGGTTTTGTATGGACAGCTGCTGACGGGGAGGAAGTATGTCCCTAAATCCAATGGAGTGGTGGAACTGGAGAAGCAGTGGGCCAAACAGGTCCTCCCTTTTGCCTACCAGACAGTGGTTAAGGTAAACAGTTCGAACGGATGCCTTTTATTCCCTGTTATATGTTTGTCAAACATTGCAGACATTATTGCTGGATGCCTTTCCCCACTGTCTTCCATTTTAAAGTCTGTATTTGGCTTCGTTCTCTCAGGACATCAAGGCTTTTTATTCATCCCTGACCTGCTTCACGAGCTTGGACGAGCTTTTTCCTCCAACAACCACCGTCTTCATGGTGGGAACTCCGTACTATGGCGCCATGGGAGAGGTATGTGTGTCTCAGAATCATTTCATACCCCGTTTGCATGACCAAAATAAAACATTTTTGATTCCCATAGTCCTCCTCAAGGCATTTTTTTTGCCAAATAATGTGTGTCTTGTGTGGTCTTTTTCACACTGTCTTTAAATGTTCCCAACAGGTGCAGGATTCTCAAGATGTCATTAAAGACGGTCGCATACGAGTAGTCTTCAGTGTCCCTCATGAGCCACAGATGGAGCATTTAATCCAGAATCAACATGTAAGAAACACTCATGTACAGACATCTTGGCTTAACTCTCAGATAATTCATTTATTTTATATGTGTGTCTGTGGTGTTTCTTTTACTTTTAGAAATACTCTGTTAAGTACTGTCCCGGGTACGTCTTGGCCTCTCGCCTGGGCATCAGCAGCTACCTCGTCTCTCGCTTCTCTGGAAGCATCTTCATCGGCAGAGGCTCCAAAAGGAAGTGCGTTTGCCTTTCCGTTCAGTCATCATTAAGATGTTCTGCCGTCCGTCTCCTCCTGGCTGTAATGTTGACCCTAATGTTTGACCCTGTCCAGTCCCTGTGGGGAGCAGAAAGCCAACGTTGGCCTGAACCTGAAGTTCAACAAGAAGAACGAGGAGGTTCCTGGATACACCAAGAGAACGGAGAAAGAGTGGCTGTACTCTGCTGCTGTTGAGGAGCTGCTAGCTGAGTACCTGGACAGGTGAAGATAGCCCTTTTTTCTTTTCCCCTTTTTTAATCTATTGCATCAGCATTTTAGGACGAATCCAACGATGAACACGGACATAAATCCCATCATGCATCGTGTTTTCACAGATTTGCGGAGGTGTTTGACTTGGTGTCCAGAAACAGCCATGATGATGTTTTCTATGAGGATGACATCTGGCCCGGACAGGATCAGAACGGGTAAGTCACACAACTTCTGTACTTAGACACTGCAGTGTTACCAAACACACTAAACAACATTAATGGTTAATTTGCTCTGACATTGTGCTAGAAATCACACATCAGGCTGCACAGAGATGCTTTTTTTAATCAGAGAAATGGTAATAATGAAAACTGATGTAGGACCTTTGTATACATGGGGCTTTTTCTATGATGGTGTTGAGTTTTGGGCTTTTTTTATGTTTCTTTGACAATATTGTAGCAGAGCCTTCCAAACACCTCAATGTTGACAGATATATTTATGGAGAATAGACACAAAAGGCTCTTTTTATTGTCAAAAACACATTTTCCATTACATGGGAAAGAAGACACGTTACACCCAGCCTCTTATTCCTAGCCAGAGTTTATGCTGAATGGCTTAATGACCTACCCACAGGGCAGAGAAAGTGGCTGAAATCACCTCCTGGCTAAAAGGTCATCCAGTCAGCTCCATCAGCAGGGCGTCATGTGACCTCCAAGTGCTGGATGCTGCTATTGTTGAGAAGATTGAGGAGGCAGTAGAGAGGACCAAGGTAACCCCCCCGTGACCCCCCCACCACACAAACACAAACACACACAGAGCTTGAGAAGTTACTGGTTCTCTTCCTGTCAGTACCAGACATCCACTCTGTCAGCTCGCTGTCTCACACTCTGGCTTTAATGCTCTCTGTGCCCTTCTGTCTCCTCGGCCTAGGTGAGGAAGACCACCAAGAAAGTCCGAGTGACAGTCAAGCCTCATCTCCTCTTCCGGGTGAGTGCACCTGTCTAGACATTGATTATCAGTCTCTGCCCGAGTGAGCGTCCTGCTGGCAGGCAGATGAATGACGGTGGTTTGTGTTGGTGCAGCCTCTGGAGCAGCAGCAGGGCGTGGTTCCAGACCCGGACGCCGAGTACCGGCTGTTCGACCGAGTCATCAACATCAGGGAGAGCTTCACCGTCCCGCTGGGACTCAGAGGAACAATCATCGGCATTAAAGGAGGTGAGGGTGGCGATCTCTCTGTAAAGTCAGAGGAACGTTGTCAAAACGTGAGCTGATTGGATCTGAAACAATGAGCCACACTAAACGCAGCGCGGGTGTTTGTGTGTCTGCAGCGGAGCGGGAGGCCGAGGTCCTGTACGAAGTGCTGTTTGACGAGGAGTTTGCAGGCGGTCTTAACATCAGGTACTGGCCCACAGACTCGGTCGTGGCCGTTTCTAGCCGGCTCCTTTTGATCAGTATGTGACAGGAAGCTTCCGCCTGTTTCTCTAGGTGTGCGTCGCCGCGTGCCTACCGCCTCCCTCCCTGTGCTCTCATTAACCTTTCCCACGGAGCCCGACTGGACCACCACTCATACAAGCTCACCGCCATCGTCAAACCCCAGCCCTCCACTTCTGCCAACTCCAGCTCCCAGCGTCAGCTCACAGGCCTCAACCACTCGCCCCGCTCGCCCTTCATACCCACACAGGTAGGAGGGGTTGAGTCTACCTGCCAGCCGTCCCCCAATTCTTTATAGTCTCCTCACACTGCTCCTCCTTTTCCCTCCTCATCTGCAGCATAATAACAAACAGGGCAACAGGAGCTCTCCAGCTAAAGGTCCCAACCAGAGACAGCAGGCTAAGGCAAGTGTCCTGTAGAACCTATGGTTCTGCCCCAGGAGGGATTTTTAGGTGTGAGCGTTATGAGTGACTGCTGTTTTCTGTGTTTAACTCCATGCAGGGTAAAGAGGAGTACAGTAATGTGTGGGAGTCCCTGCAGAAGACGGGGCCTCCTAACAGACCCCCCGCCCAGTGGCAGAGCAATGTAGGTGTTTTCTGAATCAGAGCAGACGTCTGAACGCAGAGCTCAGGGGTTGCTGATGGTCTTCAGCCTGCATGGTGTTGCTTTAATGTATGTAAATACAGTTGTACAGCAGTAACCTGCTCACCATCCAGCATGTTCAACCCACAAATATTTAGGAAAAGGTTCACTCAGCTGGTGAGACCATTGGTTCAGAATATCACGTGTTTTTGTCTATTTTCCTTTAACTCAATCTCTCTCAGTTCTTATGTTTAAGCTTGTGGTCACAATAATGCTGATTCATGTGCTTTTGCAGACTCCAGCCGGAGGCATCAGGCTGCTGAAGAAAAATGAAGATGCCAAGTCCCTTTTTCCCTCCAACAGCATGTCTAATCAGGTACAATTTTTTTTTTTAAAACCACTCAATTAGATTGTCTTTCATCTTTCATTTGGCGTTTGACCCCTAATTTCTTTCTCCGTTAGGCTTCGAATGAATTTGAGGACCTCCTTGCCAACCTGATGATCTCCAAGAGCCCCCAAACCATGCCCCCTTCTGCTCCCCCGCAGGAAGCACAAAACCAGTCCGATGGGCCGCTGTCTCCGCAGTCCTTCGCCATGGTGAGTGTGGGCCGCTCAGAGCGATGGCCTCAGGGCTGGTGTTTTTCAAACTTACCAGAGCTCTGTGGCTCTTGCTTCACAGAAGGGAACGCTGGTGTTGAAGGAGATGCTGAAGATCGACGGTGGTGGACAGGGCAGCCGGTCCCCCCAGGAGGCCGCCCACAGCGCCGGCCAGCAGCAGAGCAGGAGACGGTCCTCCAAGAAACTAGGTAAGTGCCCATGTCCCAACACACAGAGGAGTGTTTGCATCCCTCCATTCTTCATGGGGCCTTGTCTCCCCTCAGCTGCCAAGCTGAACGCCCCCCAAAGCGAGGCGGCCCCCCTGCCCTCCACGCCGCCCGCCGGCTCCTCCGGCCCCGCCCTGACCAGTAAGGTGTCCGACCTGGCCTACGTGTGCGCGGGGATGGGGATGGCGCCGCCCGACTTCAGCTTCATAGGAAACAGACAGGTAGCGCCCTCTGTTTTGATCCTGGTCCTGCTCCTGCCGGAACACCTCGGCCGGCCTCTGGATTAGCAGCAGCCTTTGTCCCCTCAGGGTCTGGTGGTGTGTCAGGTCAAGCTGTCCAACGGGCTGATGGTTCACGGTCCACAGTGCCAGTCAGAACACGACGCCAAGGAGAGGGCCGCCTTCTTTGCCCTTCAGAGACTGGTAAACTGTTCACACATAGGCATGTGACAGGCCTCCTGTTGAGTCGCTTTAAGGCTGATTAAATGTGTCAGCATCTGTCTTCAGCTTCCAGGCAGAGGCGATAAAGCGGCGCTGACCCGGCCAGCCGCTAACCTCTAGTTCTCCTGTGTTTTAGAACTCTGTGGGGTCGGGCTTCCCCCTCCCGCCCCCTGCTCTGTACCCAGGTATGGGTCAGATACGACCGCCGCCCATAGCAGGCATGACACCCGTCTTCAACCAGCAAGGTCAGTGTGTTGCTCTCACATCTGCTGGGTTTTTATTTGTCTGTGGATGAAAGAGCCCTCTCAGTAGATAACTAGCCTAACTGGGCTGCCGCCTCCATCTGTGGATGAAACAAGGTGTGCAGTAGGGATGGGAATCTTCACCACCAAGGCGATACGATACACATCTCAGTACACAGCCAACGATTCGATACATTCACGATTCATGGAATTTCTAGTGATAAGATTCGATACGATTCTCCAACCTCCTGCGATCCGGTGCGATACAGAACGATCTAAATTTAAAATGCTGCGATACAGTGCGATACGATACGATACGATACAATACGATGCGATGCAATGCAGAAGAAAAGTACACCATGGACTACATAGTTCAAGTTATGGCACGCAAGCTAACTGTGCCTTTTATTTTGAAACAAAGGAAGTGCAACTTAGAGAGGGATTGTCTCTCTGAAACTTTACAAGAAACGCAACTAAAACTCAAAGACACGTTTCTAAAAAGTTATAATAATAGAAGATAATAATCGGTTTATATCGATGCAGGTAGTTTTATACGATGCATCTCGAGTTTATGTGCGGTTTTTACCGATGCAGACGTTTGCAAATCGATGCAACCGTATCGCACTGGTCGTTCCGATGTTCCGATACGCATCGGTGAATCTTGCCATGCCTAGTGTGCAGTGTGTGTCTGCTAGATTTGGGTGACGTGTTGGAATAAAAACATTTAATATCTGCCTCTCTTTGGCAGGTGGTTTGCTGCTGCCTCACCAGGGTTACGGCCCCGCCCCCATGTGGGGAATGGCTCTGCCCCCGCACCACCACCCCACCCAGCCGTTCTACGGGGCAGCGGGGACCTTCCCCGGCGCCGCCCGCTCCCAGCCGGCCAGCTCTGTCCCCATTGGCTCGCACAACCAGTTCATCCCCTTACAGGTGAGTGCACAGGTGTGGTGGTTCAGCTTTTTCTTGCTCCTTTTTTCTGCTGTTGGAAGCTGTGGAATCCACCCCGCTGCTTATCCTCTGACCCTGACAGGTGACCAAAAAGCGAGTGTCCGCCAACAAAAAGAACCACGAAACCCGAGAGTTCTACAGCGCCGCCCAAACCTTCGCCAAGAACCAGACGCATAGAGTCCAGAACCAGAACTCTGGTCAGCAGCAGGCCCAGAGCCAAGCGCACCCGTCGCACCAACACAACAGTGACGCGTCCTCGTCCAATCCCGGTTTGCCCGACGCCGTTTCCGCGGCAACAGCAGCACCACACACACCACCTCGGCAAAACACGCCGGCATCAGGACACACCCCAGGCTCCGCCTCCAAGAGGAGGCACAGGAAGTTAGCCGTCAACTTTGAGGCTGCTAAAGTGTCGGAGTGAGCTGTGTGTGTGTGCGTGTGTGTGTGTGTGTGGGAGACAGAGAGAGAGGGGGTGGGGTGGGGGGGGAGTGTGGTGCTTTAAAACTGCTGTTTTGTACCCAGACTCTCTGATGGAAGCCTCGTCCATGCTTTCTACATCTCAGTAAAAAGCCGCTGCAGTCAGGGCCACAAACTGGAACTTTTCTGTTTTTTTTTTTGAAGGAAAATGAACAACCTTAACTTTTACTGCCAACTCCCTGGAAAACAGCTTAAAACACAGGAATGAGACGTCATCTTCCTGTCACCTCCTCAGTGGAGTTCAGAGCGACGTCAGAGAAGGCAGAGAACGTCCTGGTTAGCGGGAGGGACCACCAGTGTGTGTGTGTGTGTGTGTTTTTGCGAGGCACAAACACAGCCCTAAGACAGAGAGGTGCATTCTGGGACACAGATATCAGAGCTGAAGAAAAAAAAATTGTATTTGTTTCTAATTGTAGCTCCAAATATTATTCATACTTCATATTATTTTCCTATCAGCTTTGCTATCTTCACACACATACACACTCTGTCAGTGTTTGGATGCCACAAAGTCCACACACACACACACACACACACACAGGTGAGGCATGCGGGGACAGACAGCATCCAGGTCAGCGTTTAAAAGATGAAACAAAGCCTTTTGGTGGCTTTTAATTACTTTGGATGATGTCCATGTGGGCCATTTAGATTTAGTTGGTGTTCAAAGACCTCAGAGCAACTAAACTGAGATTTAGTTTGCGGTCACGTATTAGAGAGGATCGATTTAAATTGAAGAAGGCTGCTTTTATTTGGGGTAACGTTATATTTTTGTAGCTTGTAGAGCTGCTGGTCTGCCTGTGGGTGGGACCCACCTGCTCTCTGCCCTGGCTCCACACCACCGGACTGAAGTGGGATGAAGTATAAAAGCCCTGCTCAGACCTACTGTCCCCAGCAGGGGGGGGCCGGGGGCCTCGCTCTGGACTCCACAGCCCGTGAACAGGTGGGTTTGTACCCACAGCCTGTGGAGAGAAGCTGAAACGTGGATCATGGCTCTCAGGGACGTCTGTTTTAGGAGCCCTCCTCACACACTGGTCCCAGATCTGCCTGGCAACAACTGACACGCTCGCCAGAACTCACTGAAATATTCATGAGTGGACGTTTAAAGGACCGATGGCCTCGCTTTCTTCACTGAGTGGGTGTTTGGGTGATTACACGGATATATCTGTAGGGCCTTCTATCATGATTATTGTAAGGATTATTGTACGGATGCCGTCAGCGTCTGAGCTCTGATGTTAATCCATTATTGTTGTCCACAGATTTTCATTTCTCACACTTTTTAGACTTTTTATAGTTTGTTTACAACACTGCCGAGTTCTAAAATCACACTGTGGCACACGTTCTTTGACTGAATTAGGAACCCGCCCCTCTCTCTCTCTCTCACACACACACACACACACACACACACCATTTTTTTAACCCTCCATCTGAGGCTCTGTTTGACACAGGCTGGAACCAGACCACACGACCCAAGTTTCCCTTTTAAATCGTTAACTGTTCAGCGATGGACGAGGTGTCTCGTTGAATTTGTGTTGTGAGGTTTCTTTTAACCAGGGCTGCGGCTTTAAGAGAAAAGAAGATTTTACTCATTTTAATTTGTATTTTCTATATTTTCTGTGAGATGACATCTTGAACTATATTTTCATTCTGTCCCAAAGCTTTTTGTTTTTGTCCTCTTTACACAAAAAATAGAGAAGAAAAAAAAGAAGTGTACGTGGAACTATTGTGGAAGCTGGAGGCAGAAGGAGTCCGCTTCTTTTAGCTCAATCCTGAAGAAGAACTGGTTGCTTTTCCATTTTCCAACTGAAGAGACGGAGAAGTGACTTTCTTCTTTCGGATCATTTTGTGTGACTATTTAAGCTCGTGATCAATTGCATTTTGGGTTTTTATTGATTTCTGACAAAGGAATGATGTCACATGCATTATAATCTCTGTTTGCCAAAGGTTTTAATTTCCCTGGGATGCTTGGGGTGTTGTAGTGCTGCCGTCTCTCTGGTGTGAGCCCCGGCTCAGCAGGGCATGGCCGTGCCTTCTTTAACTCAAACGTTTGACTGATTTAGGTTGAAACCAGCCAAAGAGTGGATGGTATCAGCGTTGGATGTCGGGATGCATTTTCCAGGTCTCTTGCTTATTTTCCACCTCTGCTCTGCAGGATTTTCTATTCCTGAGAATTTCTCTTTCATCTTCAGACGTCAGATTTGTGTCAGCTATGCTTGTTGTGACATTTGTGATGGAAGCAGTCCCTCAGATAAACTATATCACATTTGCTTTTCCTTTGGTTGTTATCTGAGGGACCTGGATCCTGCAGTTGCTGTTTTCCGTTTTGTTTTGTAGGCCAACAACCTAAAGGCCACCCTGGGACTGAAGTCTTTAAGACTCTGGTGCAATAAAGGGAGGTTTTAACACTTTTTTTGCAAACTGATAGAAATGAAGCACACCTGTTGTATAAGTGTTTTTTTTTTCTTTTCTTTTTTAGAGAAATGAAACAAATTAAGAAATTCTCCATATGAAACTATGTAGACCTACTGTTTTGATTGAGGAATGTGCTTTACATATTCATGTATTAAACACTTTTGTTACAACATGGCTGCTTTTCTAATGTTTTGTCCCCTTTCAACAACTTTTGGATCATTTCATTACATTGTATAATGTACATTTTAATGTCTTTCTTTCTTTTTTTCTCATCAAAATTAATTTATCATCCATTTTGGGACCTGTATTGTCTAATTATCTCCCTTAGAAACTGGAACACCCTGTGCCTGAAGGTCCAACATGGCTGCCCACAAGCATCTAAAGAGGTGACGTCATGTTTTTCTTCTGTACTATCACTTCTGTTGGTTTGTCTTATTGGTCACACCTGCTCACACCTTTCTTATTCAACTCTTTTTCAAACCAGAAATGAAAAGCAGCTCAGGAGTACCGTAGGAGACACACTTAAAAAAACACAAAATACATTTTATTCAGTGAGCACCATTAAGTCAGTACAAACCTTCGTTTCCTCAGAGAGTCAAGTTTTGTTTGGACAGAATCATAATTGGACAGAAAAACTAACACTTATTTTTACAGTCAAAGTATGGTGAGACCAAATCATTATGGTGCGCTTACAAAACCTACACTCAGCAGAGTAAAAAACATCTGGACAATAACAGCACACACTTTTATGTACATGCCCCGAATCTATACAGCAACATCAGAACGGGAACCCACTAATTTATCACACTAGGTCCTGCTATGGCATAAATTAATGTTTTTCTTTTATTATCACGTGTTGATTTAAACTCTACTAAGACTATGTAGCAGATGTATTAAAGGTGAAGCTAATACAGGTAATGACAGTGTAATTGTGGCCTTACAGTAAAATCTAAATGGAGAAAAGATTAAAATGTGTGCCATTGTATCTACAATCTGTGTTTTCCCCATTCATGACAAATTATGAACTTAGGCTTTAGAAAATATATAAGAACAATCTTGTATATGTGGCAGCCAAAGTTTCATTCAAAGCTGACTGTGAGACAAAGGGTTTGCCTTTTTTTTGGGACTCTTAGACTCCACTGCCAGTCTGGAAACAGAATCCTTTAAAGAGTCGTTTGATGAGGCTCCAATCTGCAATACTGTGCTGGCATTAAAACCTTTGATTCCTAAGAACTTAAAACTTAAAACTCCACATTGATGTTGTCAACACAGAGAAAAAAAAACACAGTCGCTTATCAGCTCATACCAGTGAGTTTGCAGTATATTTCACAGCAAACCGTTCATTTTCCTGGACGCCTAAAAACAAAAAAGGGATAAAAAAACTGTAGAAAACCTGACGCCCCAACGACAGTACGAGGCACACGGTGCAGAACACTGGTACGTTCATTAAGTTTCTCAGCTCAGGCCTTCCTTGGGGGGGGGGGGGGTAACATGGGAGTGCTCTCTATATTTGCATGTGCCTGTATGTGTTCTTCACTGTGTCACATCTTCATGTTCAGCGTGTGTGGTCATGTGTTGATGCGTGTGTCTGTGTGTGTGTGCGTGTAGCTGGTCAGGTCCTCCTTTGGCGTGCGCCCCCCACGTAGGTGTTCTCCACACACAGCACGATGTGCTGGCCGGAGCAGGGCCGGGCGTGCTGACCCAGCAGCCGGCCGGTCTGCAGCAGCGCCGCCTGACCGCTCACCGCCGCGTCCGCCGTCCGCCACGCCTCGCAGTAGGTGCTGGTCAGCCGGATGCCCACCGGGCTGGAGCCGTGCCACACCAGCTTCTCGGGCCTGGGGGAGAGGGCAGGTACTTTTTCTGGACCGCATCAGCAGTTATAGTCTCTGAGTCTGAGTTTCCAAATAGAAAGAGTTTTTTTTTTCCCTTTTCAGCTAATTCTGGTGTTGGTCAGTGGCCACATTGTTGATCACTTTATCATCTTGGACTACATTTACATCAGATAACCTTTTTATCTGGTTAAAAAAACAACATAACATGTGCAACAAGTCATCAAAACGTTGGCTTGACTGGTGCTGTTTGTTTCTCAGGGGTTCTGCTGTGTCTCAGCCTTTGCATCCTGAGTTTTCTTCTAGTATTTTGTTCATACGGCTGACTCATGTCTAATAAGTGGAAATCCATTTAGTTCGGTTGACACATGAAATTCATAATTTCTCATGTGTCCTAATTCACGCCTTCGCAAAAAACTCACCATGCGGAGTCGGTCAATACATTCCGTCCATCGAAGGAGTAGATGGGCGTGGACGGGTCAAACAAGCCTCCGTTCCCAGAGAAGATGGACATCCAACTGCTGAACAGCACTTCCCCCTGAGAGGGCGGAGGTCAAGCCGTTAACTTCATGGAACACAGAAAACAAGCTCCCCTTTCCGATTGATACATTTCTCATTAAACCTGTGTTGCAGGGAGAGGTGTTGTTTCTGATTTCTGAGGGAGTGTGAGGGGGACGTTTCCTCACCCTGAGGTTGACCACGGGCAGGTCGTTGCGGTCGGCCTTCCTCACGATGGTTGCCAGGTCCTGCAGGTGTGAGGACAGGAAGGCCCTGTAGGTGGAGGTCAGCCCCATGGCGCGCGCCTGCTGGTAGCACTGGAAGTCGGCCCCCCGGATGCCCCGCATGTCCCCCCTGAGCGGGGCGTTCAGGGCCACCAGGCGGAGCTGCGCAGAGGGCAGAAACCTTTACTGCCTCCAAACCTTTACGGGCAGGCTGGGATCTGAGATCTGAGCGGGGGGGGGGGGTTCCTCTCACCCCGGGCTCGGAGCTGACCGCCTGGGGGGGGATGTTGTAGCTGGGCTGGTAGCCTCTGCTGCCATCCTGCAGCTCCTGTTTGATAAAAAAAACAAAACAGGAATGTACTCAAGGTTCCAGGCGACAGCTGCTATGTGTGTGTGTGTGTCTGTGTGTGTGTGTGTGTGTGTGAGAGGATACCTGGCTGTGGACCCTGTGGGGTTTGCCCCGATCCCCGCCTCTGCTCAGGGCCTGAGACGCCTCTGGGGAGCCGGGTCCATTTTGGATCAACTCTCCGAGCTGAAAGGGGATGGTTTTTTTTTATTAAAAGAGCCTGTCATATCCTACAAATCCTACAGTGATGGGTACCAACCGGTATTCTGCGCCAGCCGTTGTGCGTCCGGACGTACAGCTCCCCCCCCCTCTCGGACACGTAGGCCAGAGCCCCCTCGGCGGCGCGGTGCGTCTCCCGGGTCAGAGCCTGGACCGTCTTATAGGGGGTCACCTGTGAAGGCCATGGCAATATAAGCTCTGAGGGATAATCTGTTCACTGGTTTTTAACGCTGTTACAGTCTGAGCGGGAATCGTACCAGACTGGTGTGACCAGGAGACCCTGGGGGGCCGGGAGGACCGGGGGGGCCCGGGACACTGACGGCTGCTGACCACATGAAGGTAGAACACTTATGGATAAAAACAGTCCCGACAAAAGCCTAACAGAGTCGTTTCTCAATGTCTCTGTCAAACACACACACGTACTTGATCCATATGCAGGGGCCGCTCCGGGGGGACCTGCAGGACCAGGGGGGCCTCGGGCTCCTGGACGTCCATAACCAGGAACTCCAGGCTGCCCCGTAGAACCGACTGGACCTGGAGGACCGACGATGGAATCCCCCTTTGGACCCTTCAAGCACAAAAACACATTCATTTCTTCACTGAGTCAATTAAACCCGTCAAAGTTCCAGACTCTATTTTATGCTGCCATACAGTTCCTGATTAAAGATGAGAATAATCCAGTATTAATCTGAGAAGTGTTTGATGGAAAGCAGGGTTTGTCCTGGCTAATGAGGAAAATCCTAAATCCTTTTAGCAAATGTCACAGGGGGACTAACGTGTGATGATTTCATCTTATGTAAAAAAAGAAGAATCTGCTATTTGCTGCTCTCATTTGCACATGTACCCAAATAACAATGACTTCTTAACAACAGAGAGGGAGAGAGATTCTCACCACAAGTCCAGACCTCCCTGGTTGACCCGGAGGACCAGGCACACCGGAGTCACCCTTCTCTCCCTTCTCGCCTTTAGGACCCAGGTCACCTTTAGGTCCCTGAGGCATTCAGTTTGATAGTTTAAGTTTATTCAGTATTGTTCTTGAAGCGTTTTATTAATTTGATCTTACTCACCACAGTTCCATCAGGAAACCTGGGGGCTGAGAGGAAAAATCAGATCAGTACATCATACTGTTATTATCTCTGACAGTAGGTTCCTTTTAAGACGATTCCAACGGGTAAAAGGAAGGTTGGCTGGAGTCACCTACAAGCTCTGATAGCAGGGAAATGAGTTGGTCTTACCAGGTGTCCCTGGCTCACCGGGCAGCCCCTCGTCTCCTTTGTCTCCTTTCAGGGCAAATGAATCCCCTCTTGTAGGTGACTCCTTCACACAGATAATTTATTGATTCAACACATTTATCAGCAGATATTACTCTGCAAAACTTCAAAAGTCATGTTAAACACTGTAAAATGTCTATGGATTATTTTGGATTAGGACATCGTAAATGTGTCTGTCAGCACCACAAAAATACCAGAGTTAAAGACAAGGGGTGCATGCTGTGGACGGCACGTAGAACCGCTGGTTAAAACACATGGGTTGAGATTAAAGCAGGAACTTTATTACAAAAAAAAGATCTGGGTAAATGCATGATAACAAATGTAATCTTTTTTTTCCGTGCAGAGATGAACATTTACAAATGTAAACGCTTATCTCAGTTGTGTCCTGCAGCCCCTTTAACAGCTGGGACTGCTATCCTGCATGTAATACCTTCAATAAAACAATTGATGGCCCATTATTCTAACATATCAATACCCAAGGATTACTCATTTTTGTGCTTGTCACCATTTTACAGTTGTACAACAACCTTCTAATAAGACGCTGTTAAATAAAGGCAAACCCACACACCCAGCCCAGGAGAGAAAGTCAGAGAGAACTGAGGAATCCTGTTTGTTTAGTTAACGGCACCTCGATAAGAGATCACCAAAAAAAGTTCCGACAGCTGTAGTGACCCGTATAGACACTTGAAGTGGGACTCCAGAGTTTACTTTCTGAACCAACTGACTGGATAAAAGCCTGACTTGAAACCAGCTCTGATCTACAATTAAGTCAGAGGTTTACCAGACTTCCTCTTCCTAAAGCTGATGGGAAGGGAAAAAGAAGATGAGGCAGGCAGGATTCAGGCTCAGACCCCCTTTAGCCACAGGCTTTAACATTTGTCTCCAGCTACCCTCAGTGAACTATATACGCATAAGTAAATCAGGTTTCCTGTGGAGTGGTAATCAGTTGTGTTGGTTCATCTTCTGGTTCTCTATATGAGACAAATGTTAAAGCCTGCAGCGGAAAAAAGGCCAGTTCAACATTCATGTAGTCTTTCCAAAACCATTAGGAGGACAAGAAGAGGAAATGAAGGAAAGGGGAGGCAAACAAAAGGGAACAGAGTACTTTCTGAAGCCCAGACCAGACACTTTTCATGCTGTGAGACCCACACACCACCAGAACCAGCAGATGGTCCCATTTCCGACTGAAACGGACCAATCAGATGGTCCCGCTCAGACTTACTCGACCCATTTTGCAGTGCGGCCGGGGGCGCACCGGGAACACTGTCTTTAGGATTCAAAGGAGAGCAGTGGAATCAGACTGATGAACACAATCACAGAGTTACGGCCACAAACAAGATGAAGTTTTCTGAACAGAGCAGCTGATGGCACCACTAAACTATAATTATAGTTTATTTTCAATCCTCCACCAGGTGACCTCTGCTGGAGCAGAGAGGATGCTAAGGGAGATTATTAAAAGTCAGCAGTTTTTGAAGCCTATTCCACACTAATGTTTCCTTTAACTTGAGCCTCATACTTACTCCATTCAGTCCAATGATTCTCCCTGGAAGTCCAGGTGGGCCTGGAGGACCTGGAGGCCCCTGAGAAAGATAAAAGCATGGCCATTTACACAGACACGACACACAGGTTTTCAGAGCTGTTTGTGTCCATCTGATCAGTTTTTGGAAAAAAATCTGAAAATTAATGCTTTTTGTTTGCTTAATTTGTTTTAAATTTTGAAAGAAAGACAATCGTTTTGCCATCTTAAGATTCTTCATGGCAAATATTAATAAAGAAATAGTTTGATTGGAAATTGGTGTCTTTGTAACTTAACCACTTTTAAATGGTAAATACAGTGATGTACAGTGAACTCTTCCTCCTGTCTGACTCACCGGCACGCCAACTGATTCTCCTCTGTCCCCTTTTTTTCCAGCCATACCAGGCCGCCCCTTCAGAAAGAGCAGGAGTTAAACACTTCATACCAGGAAAATGGAATGCTTATTAACTTTTTGTCCATCCAGAAAATCCATCCATACAGTACACGCTTCCCACTGAATTTCCACATAAATGACTTGTCATCATGTTTAACACATGGCTCATGTTGCAGATATCTGCTGGTAGAAAATAAAAAAACTGGACTCACTGGGCGCCCAGGGAAGCCGTACTCTCCTTTTTGACCAGGAGGTCCAAGAGGTCCCTGAAATAAACAAACAAATACTTCCTTTAAGAATGAGAAACATCTGCATCAGTATATTCCACTTATTAGACAAGAAATAGGAAATCACCATGTGTCCAGCCGGTCCCGGGAAGCCCCGGTCACCCTGGGAAAACACAAATTCATCACATTTTAAATTTCTTGGCATGACAGAAGTGTTATTCCCATTTTCTAAAGGTCTCATCTGTGTTCCTCATTCAGGTTTAATCAAAATTTCAACATTGCTGTATTCATTCTAATCCACAGGCCACTCATGAGGACACTGTTCTGGCACCTTTGGGCCTCTGGGTCCCTGGGGGCCTCTTGGTGCAGACAGAATTGAGCCATCCGCAGCAATGGTCACCCCTGGTTCTCCTTTTTCTCCCTGTTAGAACAAAATAAGAAACACATACAAATAATAATAAAAAGAGAAGCTCCAATGTCTTTTCTTGATGAAAATACATGTTTAAATGCATGATAGTATGATATTTGGATCGTTTGTAAGTTCTCACCTTTAACCCCGTTGGCCCTTCACCACCTTGAGGGCCCTTGTCCCCCTTTGGTCCCCTGGGACCCTGGAAAATAATTTTCAAGCAACAATGAGATATTGATATATTTTTATATTTTTATTTTGTGAATTCCCTTCACTACTGTTGGTTGTTGAAATGGTGCCATGGAAACAAACATTCACATCAGAGCCTACTGATAACATTTAGCAGTGGCATGAGTATCTACAAATTTATCACAACAACATCAATGCAAATGCAGAATTGAGAGAAAAATATAACACAAGCTCACTTTCAAATAATTGTCACAATTATGTTTTCATGAAAAATGCAAAGAAAAGCAACAGCATTTACATCAAAATGAGTCAGAACTCAGCAAAAAGCAAGCAAAAGGCTCTTACTGGAAATCCTGCTCTGCCGGGCAAACCTTCAGGGCCCTGCAACATGCAAACACACATGCGCACACACACACGCACGCACATGCACAGATGTTAGCACGCAGAGCAAAAGCAGCAAAGCCCAATAACCGATTTAATCTGTAACAGCCATATTTGACAGGCAGTGAACTAAATGGTGGCCACATCATCAAAAAAAGGTTAATGACAATCCTTGAAGACACAGAAGGATTCAAAAGCTGTTGGTTCATTTTTAGTTGGAAAGTTTCAGTAAAAAAAAAAAATGCAACAGTGGTTAGCCTCTGTAATTAATATAACGTCATCCACAAATTGCAGAGGTTCCAGTGTACTAATGGTTTCACAAGCAGGAAGGACTGAAAAACATTTCACAACTTAATATTGATGGTCTCTGTTAACCAGAAGCAGAAAGCTACACACCATTGGTCCTGGAGGTCCTCTGATGTCTGTGATGTTGACTACACCCTCCGTAGCGTTCAGGAGCAGCTGCAGACACATCATGTAACAAGTAAAGGGTTTGGAAAAGAACACAATTCACTCCACTGACTCCACAAATCTAAAAGATTCTTTACTGTATTTTTTGGAAAATTCCACATAAACCTTTCCCTCGAATTGTTCCTCACATCTGATTCTAAATGTGTGTGCCTGTGTGCATGCCTACCTCCTGCAGATTAGCAGCAGGTCCAGGAGGTCCAGGAGGTCCAGGTGGTCCTGAGATACTTAGTCCATCAGCACCTCGGTCCCCCTGTGGACCAAATAGTGGCAAAGCATTCATTTAGCTACAGTATAACATCCAATAACTCCAAATCCATGATTAAACCATGTTCAGAGAGAGGAACAAACTATACACTGATACCTTTGGTCCGGGACTGCCTTTCTCTCCTTTAGCCCCCTGTTTTCAGACAGAGAAAAGAGTTGATTCTTCACAGAACAAGGACAAATTCTATCAGACGCCATATCTTTCAAAGCAACAGATTAGCTTATGCATACATTTGAAGACATAACTGTTTAAGTTAGCAGTCAGTGGCAAAAATACTTCTACAATTATGGGAGTTTTTTTCCCCATTTTTTGTCAAAAACTTTTAGAAAACTCTCATGATTTATCCAACCACCTATCATAATCTCATCCTTTCTGGGCAGATGTTCTTCCTGAAGATTACATAAATGAAATGTGTAGAAACATGTCATGTGATAACAGAGCTTCATGATATAAAACACTTTACGTGATGGATGCAAAGTCTTAAAACTCTGCTTAGTGCAGGTGTGCAGCCTTACCCTGACACCTGGGAGTCCAGCAGGACCCTGACGACCCTCTGGACCCGGATCCCCGGGTTCCCCCTGCAGTCATACACAGAGGAAACAATAGTGTTAAATAAGATGGGATTTCATTGTAACTTGTTTGGCTGAGACAGCACAAATACACACATGGAGTACAAAGACACACTATGTCAAATTACAACATCTATTCCCAAACAGCCGATACACAATGACAAGGATAAATAAACGGAACTCGCTGGTATTCAAATATCAGATTCAGAACAGCACATATAAAACAAAGCAAATGTTTTAAGGCAGACATCTTATGTCAGGATGAAGATATTTGAATTGTCGACAACTACAGAAAGTTAGAAAAGAAGGGATAAATCTAATGAGAAAAAAAGAGACCTTGAGGACCATGCTACTAGTCACTAGAGCAACTGGCCACACACAAGTATACTTAGACATTAAACTTATTAATAATGTATACTCATTGTATACATTATTATAGACAAGTGCCCTCAGAGAGGCAGAGACTCCATTAGAAACTATGGGCAGAGGTTCGGCTAGATGCAAAAAACTGCACCTACAAATGGTGGATGATTGTTTCCTTCATGTTCATAAACTTGAAAGATGTTCAATGTCTCAATGAGTTCCATTTCGGTGTGCGCTTACCTTGACAGAGAGGCCTGGAGCTCCGTCCTTACCCTGTAATTTACAACACAGAACAAACAGAGAGCGTCTTAAAGTCGTGAACTAGATGCAGAATTAAAAGCTCGTGCCTGGACAGCATCACAACAAGCTAATCATGTAAATATAGACAGGAATATTGATTCATTATTACCGGTGGTCCCTGAGGTCCAGGTAGACCTGGGGGTCCCTGAAGAAACAGAGAACATTTATTACATTAAGCGGTATAGAAACTGTATGTACACTCTGTAAACATACACACACTGACCTGTGGGCCTTTGACTCTGGCTCCGATGATCATGTCAGTCTTTCCAGATCCTTCCATATCCTGCAAAGAAACTCATTAAACTAAGTCACTGACCACCCTCAGCTCTGTCCCACCTCAGGTGGTCTCCTTCTCAGCTTATTCTATGGTGTTGTGGCTTTATTGTTTTTAGAGAAACTGGGTTCACCTCAATTAAGTATTTGGTTCCTGGGGGTCCTGGTGGGCCCGGTGGTCCGGATGGACCCGCCGGGCCCCTCTTCCCCGGTGGACCCATGGGTCCCAGTGGCCCTGGGGATCCTGTTACACCCACAGATCCACATTCCCCCTTTAGAGAAATAAAAAAGACAATATTAGCTAAATATTCTAAAGAAGTGTGTTTATGTGCAGGAGGGCATGTGGATTTCTTACCTTCGGTCCAGGTGGTCCTGGCAGACCTCGGTCACCCTAAAGTTGCAAAAAGATATAAGAAGCGTTACTTTCTTAATGAGGTCCAACTCAATATCTCGTTAAGGTGATTTCAAGTTGGCCCTACTGGCTTCACCGTGCACAGACTTCCAGCCAGTATTTGTTAGCCGGTGAAGTGTCCGTATCATAATGTGGAGGGAACTGCTGCCTCTAGTGGAGAAGTCAAGCAATGCCTGAACTGAATGTGCATGTTGTATGAAATTAAGAGCATTCATTTGGAGTTGTTTCTAATTGTCTTCTGCCAAGCAGCAGATTTTAAGTAGCAGGATTCCAGTCCTATTATCCTCTTTTTTGGATCACCTTAATGTGGTCAAACACTCATTTATAGTCAGTTGTTGGATGAGGTGCTGCTAATGAATAAGCAAAGTTCTTAATGGTGGTCGTACCTTTTCTCCTCCAGGTCCCTGTGGACCCGGAGATCCATCCGCTCCTGCTGGACCCTGGTCAGACAGAAGAGCCAAAATTAGTGCGAAGTAACAAAATTTATGTTGATCCATCAGCCATTCCAAAGGAGCAACGCAAAGTGCAAAGAAGACTGTCAGTCACTTTAAAGGAATGAGGACTGGGAAGCTTTAGGTCAGTTCCTCCAGCTATAACATCATCCATGCCAACATGATGTGCCACAGTAACATCTGGATTGCTTTTCGTCTTTGTGTGATACAACCATAATAGCAAGGATGATTCTGTTGTTTTACTTTTTCTCTCATCATTTAACAGCATAGCTGAAACAATGAGAAGAAAAAGAAAAGTATTCCTTTAAATAAAAAAGCAATTCAAGACCAAGGCAATGTTTCTCTACCGTTTGTTTGGCAGAAACTGAAAGCAGGAGCTGCAGAGCTTTAACTTTCAGGAGCCCAAATTTACGGATGATGCATCTCTGTTGACTCATGGTGCTCAAGATTATTGGAAAGTTGAGCTGAGCACATCCCATTGATGCATTCAGGTCCCAGATAGGGCGTCACATTAGGTAGCTAAAATGTTCTTTTCTTTCACACATCATTTCATTTGATTTGATCTTATCAATCACTTCCAATGGAATTCCTTCTTATCTAATGGTTGATCAGTCGTCTTCCAGAGATCGTTATTATTATTAATGTAATTCTATTAGTCGCAAAAACCTCCATTTAATTTTGCAGATAAATAATTTGACCTCACCGTAAAGAGAAAGATCAAATCTCTCTCTACAACAATTACACTTCTTAAAACATGATAGTTTAAGGAGAGAAAAGCTCTCACATAACCCCACATAATTTGGGGTTAAATAACCTCCTTAAAATATTTTTCTTGTGTTTGAATCAATAATTTGAAGAGGCTATGATAGTATATTCTAATAATTTTCATGTTCCATTAAGAACTTCCAGCATGACAGCAGAAACGTTTTTCTTACGTCAAAGACATTTTTGATGTGAAGACACTTCTAAAAACTCTAATGTGTCAAGTGTTCATTTCTGAAAATTCACTGTGAGGTCATCAGCATGTGTACTGAGTTCAGAAAAAAAAACTAAAATCCAAAACTAATAAATGGAAAGGTAGCGTTTTGCTGTTAACGGTCAGATTCCCGTTTAGTTAGTGTGTGGTCAGCCACATGTCCTCATGCACAACGAAACTTCATGCTGAGCCGTTTCGTTTTGTCATGACAACTTATGAATAGAAAGGAAATTAACCACAATGATTGATATTATGGGTCCTCTGAATGCCACACAGAACACTGAAAATGTGAGGAAACACATCTAACACACACACACACACACACACATACACATACACACACACACACAGCAAAAAAGTTAAAAAAGAAACATTTAAGCAGAAGATAGAATGGTTTACAATAGTCTACAGTCCGTAGCCTGAGCATTGGGGTGGTTAAAGAAAGTTGGTTTTCTGTTACATGCTTCTGGGTTTTACTAGGAGAAAGCTTGGCTGTCCTCATGATCCTTTTAGATCAGTTTACCACCACAATGCTCAGGCTACGGACTGTAATTCAGTTTTTGCTTTCCATGGTTTGTGCACCAAACCAGGACCGTGTACCTCGCCTGAGCCACCGGAGGACTCAAACTCAACCCCAGAACCAGAACCAGAACCAGAACTGGAGTCAGAACTGTAACCAGAGCCAAGTTGAGAGCTGAGGACAGAGGTCAGCTCTGAGCTCGAATCTGAATGGTCAAACCCAGAGCCACTAAACAAATCCTCAAACATCTGGAACAGAGAGAAGAGGAAGACAAGGTAGGAATGTAGAGTAGAGGGGGACGTTGAGAGTGAAGTGGGTGGAGATGAAGACAAAACACAAGGGCCAGAAAACAGGTCAGAGACAGGAGTTGGACAAAGGACGGAACAAGTGTTTGATTACAGAACATACAGACACAAATCACGATATGTTAAAAAAGATCATTATTAACAACTGGAGGATGAAAGAGGACAAGCACAAACAACTAATACATAATAAAAGTGGTACGACACACATTTATCTAACTGAAGATACATGTAAACTATAGGTGAGCTTCAATATGGAAAGAACTCAGCTTTCCAGGATTTAGTTTAATAGGATTTCAACACATGAAAAATAAGAACACACCAGCTGCCAGTTGAAAAACTGATCAGTTTCGAACTGATTTGGACTTACTGTTATTCCACTTGTACCAGGAAGTCCAGTTCTGCCAGGTTCACCAGGTGGTCCAACATGTCCAGGAGTCAGTTCTGAGGACAGCCGGGGGGAGGACGGACCAGGAGGTCCTGGAGGCCCCGGCGGACCTGGAGGACCCTAATGGCGAGAGAATATTTATCCACGGGTTAAATGAAGGTGTCAGATGGCAACACTTGGGGGTCCTGCTTTTACCCTTATGAGTTCAGTGTCCGTGTCGAGGTCTCCAAACCCAGAGCCCAGAGCATCCGGTCCATACTGAAACAGATGGACAATCAACAGCTTCCTTTATATGCGGTTTAAAGCAAAATATGATTGCTCGCATTATGTGTGAACATGAAACCATTAAGCTCACAGGGACACTGCGTGATCTGGGAGGTCCAGGGGGTCCAGGGAGGCCGGGGGCGCCCGGCAGACCAACTCCTGGTTCTCCCTAAAGAGTGAGAATTCATTTATATGGAGTAACAAGCACCTGTCGGAGCTTTTCAGGCTGACCAGTCTGTTCAGGAAGCATTTCCCAAAACCAAACAAACACGCAGGTTAATTTGTACCTTTTCTCCCTTGATTCCAGTTTCGCCATTTAAACCTGGATATCCCTGAGGTCCTCTCTGACCCTGATGGTGAGAAGAACAGCAGTGTTAGCAGATGTGAAAACACACAAGACAATTTGTGTTTCAAGGCTTAGGCTGGTGATACGTCACTTACCGGCTGGCCTGCTTCGCCTTTGCTTCCCTGTGAACAGACGCATTGTTTGGTTTTAATCTACCAACTTAAGGTTCGACACCCAATAAATAAGTAAACCAAATAAATGAGGAGAAAATGACCTGATGCTGAGAAACTCAGAGGACTCTACTCTTTTTCCTGTGTGATAATCATGGTGTGAAGCAGGTGCACAAACCTTCTGTCCCTCTCTTCCTGGTTGTCCTGGAAATCCAGGAGTTCCAGGGGGTCCTTGTGGCCCAAGCCTTTCCTCCACTACACCGGGTGGTCCTGGTGGACCCGGTGGTCCAGGAGGTCCAGAAGGTCCAGGATCTCCATGCTCTCCTTTCAACCCAGTCCTGACAAGACCCTGTTCATTCAAGTCTATTAGTCATTTGAATTTATCAAAACTTGATCTCTGATCGTTTAATCTAGTATTCATAACAGCATCGTAACCACTTGTCTGTGTCTTCCCACCATAAAACTGACAGATCATTGATCCCTGAGAGGCAGCAATAGCTACATGCAAACTTACTTTTCTTCGTTCTTCTGTCCCTTGTGGTCCTGCACACAGGATCAGACAAAATCAGACTTAAATTACTCTTTTATGGTGCCATGAGGAAAAAGGTGTGCAGGTGCTTATTCTAACCCGTCATCAGAAGTTTGTCATTACTTGCTGTTGGTGTCATGTGACCAGAATACTCATCCAGCTCCACCTCCGGGGCCTCAGTGGGCGGAGCCCTAACAGGAACAGAGTCCTCCTCCTTAACGAATGCAAAGATTTTATTGTAAAGATTAGAGTTGACAAAAAAAAAACATCAAACAAGGTGTAAAAAACTAGATGATGTGCATTGGCCATACATTCTGCTGAGTCAGCAGAAACAACACAAAAGCAAATTAAATCAAATGAAATCAAAGCTCTCAAAGTTCAAAGTTGTACCGACAGCCCTTGATGATTTCCCTTTATGGTTAATCTAACGGCTCTTTCTGTCCTGTTACACAGATAAAAGTCACAAATACAACAGCAACAACTGGCCAGCTGCCTAAGGACAGCTCCCTAAAGTCAGAGTGGACTCTGTGGGGTATTTTGGGTCAAACCGACATCTGCCTGTGGGAGGATTACAGATAAGGGGACCAGGAAATAAACTCAGTATGTTAATACTGCATGGTCATTTGTTTTAGAGGCAGAACATTGCATACACCGACCTGGACAATAATCTCACCCCCTGTTAGTTCTGAGTACTTTTCCTGATAGCTCCATCACTTTTCTGATGTTTATTAGTGCATTTAAGTTACTAAACCAGTGAAATGTGAATAAATCTATCCATCCTGTTTTCTAAACTGCTAATTCCCAACAGGGTTTTGGGGAAATGTGAATAAGTAGCATTTAGTTTAGCCATCAACCTACCAGCAATGTGTCCATTTTCTTCCCCTCTTTCCTCCTCATTGTGTCCTCTTCTGACTCCCTGTCATCCAGAGCATCATCCCCGCTGGTGAACCCTGAGGCCTGGATCAGACAGGATCAGGCTAGTGTCAGACGTTGACACACAATGGCCGAGCTTTCATTCACATCAGTTCTAATCATTACTGAAAGTTGATTTTCATGGATTCATGTGTTAAACTGAATCAATAAAAAAAGCATCTTTGGTCAATTAAGTCATTTGACCACAAGGTGGCATTGTTGATGTACTTGTACGTTTTTTACAGACTTTCAGAGTAAACACTCTTCTTTTGTCTTAAAAGTACTTTTCTGTGCAACGTGCACTGTGAATGTGCTGAAAACCAGCTATTGCTCTGCGTTGGCTCACATAAGGATCGTCGTCTTCACACTGCTCCTCGGCCGCTCTGGGATCGTCCTTTATCACCAGCTGCTGAATATAACCCTGAGGAGGGGCAAACAACCAGGAGACATCCGTCAAAACATGCACACATCATCATTAATACAAAAACTCACACAGAGCTGAATGGTATAGAAGAAAGCAGCTGGAAGAGGCAGCAGCACCATTTGCTTTATGGGGTTTGTGTATTCATTTGCATTAAATTATTAAAGCATTGTACAGCATTAAAGTTCTGATTTTTTTTTTGCTTTCAGTTTGTGTTATGGAGAACTAGTCCATCATTCATAACTTTAAAAAAAAGTAAAACACATGAATTGCTAGCTGTACTGTACGCTCCCCTGTAAGTCACTCAGGATTAAAGCATCTCACACTTATTCTAACAGACACAACTTTTCCTAAAAGACAACTATCTTAGGTGTTTTTAACTTTATTGTCTTGTTTTTCCTAACATAGCTTTATTTTTGTTGTTCTTAGCTTGTTTTAGCCGTTGTTTCGGATCTCAGGTGGCACCATGGACGTGGGGACAGTATTTAATGCTACCCCAGGTCTTGGCTTAAAGCCAGCAGAATTGTAAAGAGAAACAGTAAAGCATTTCTCTTTAGAAAATGTTTTAAACCGTGACTGACTTTTCAAAGCCTGTTTCTCTCCATAACTGAGAAATGCATAATGCATGATACCTCTTCCTGAGACTGCCATGGAGAGTCGATTGACCGGTACTGTGGATTAAAAGGGTTCTGATCTTTATGGAAACTAGAAGAAAGCTGTCTATTATTTTAGTCCAAGGGCACACACACACACACACACACACACACACGGACATGCAGTGCCAGGATGGGGACAGGCTGGCGCTGAGCCGGCAGATATTTTGCCGTCATGCTTCAGATCCCCCGTTCAGAAAGTCAGGCTACACTGAGCAAAGCTGAAAGAAGTGAGGACGACCACGTCCTCCCACCATGGCAACAGGAATTGACAGTCAGCTCATATTTTTGGCTCCAGGCATTGTTGAGCCAGAAAGGGGCCGACAGGGGTCTCTGTGTGCCTCCCAGGGTCGCAAACCTTCCTCTACAGAATGTTGTCATTATGTCTGACTATAGAACGGTTTAGCCTGGGACACGCTAACAGGACTTTTACAATAATTTCTTTTAAAATGCAAACTGTGTTATTTGTACCCATTTAAAAGAGAGTTGTAGCCTAACAGCACCCTCATAAGTGACACAGCAACATAATCTAGATTGTAGAGGCTGAGTTAGGCCTTTAATTTGACCACAACAAAGCCATGCTGACATCTCCAGCTTCCTCATCTGCTATCAGTTTACTCCCCCGTCCTTCTCTCTTCATCTTCTCCCTTCATCTGGTCTTCTGCAGCTCTCCCTTCCTTCTTCAATCGAGCCGTTACTTCCTCCAGCCTTGCCTCCTCTTTGTGTCTGATGTTCTTAAAACAGCTCAGGATGCTTCCCCCCAAGTGCTGATGATATTTGGATTATTTTTGTATCCTGATTCACTCCGTGGAGATTGTGGATTCCCTTTGCTCATGCAGAGTGATACATTTTCAAATACTTTTGCTCACATGAGCACATAATGTCCTTTTATGTATTAAACCATGAACCATGATGTACTTAGAAAGATGATTGTAATGAAAATCCCTTTTTATCTTAAGAATCAGAAACACAGTTCAAGGTATCAGTGTTAACTAATTTGGTTTGATTCCAGTTTAATTATAAGGCTTTCATTAGAACCCTTTCTCTGTCCAGCTTTCATTGCAGGTGTCGGTGTTTTAATCCTAAAAGCAGCATTATTAAGATGTTCACATGCTGCTTCTCTGGAAACCTTTAATGTGTAACAATAACTGTCTGGTTACTCTGTGTGGCCAAATGGTGAAAAGGGCTGAAAGAAAAAGTTGTTTGATTTGACCAAATGCTGAGGAGATGCTATTTCAGCTCTTTAACATGCTAATGAGAGGCCCAGCTGCACACTGATATTGACATAGGCAGTTTAGTATTCATTTGTCTGTTTTTCCTTTATTCTAACACATATGAAGCTCCTTGTCTATCCCAACTCAGTTTTCTGTCTTACCACAAACTTATGGAGCCCGGTGCCTCCGGCATTAGCCACAAAAATGCCTGAGTTGCGTGAGAAGGTGAGTTTCTCTGGCCTCCGGTGGAAGGTTGTCCTCTCTGCCTCTCCGCAGTCCATGTAGAGACGCACCTCATCGTGCTCCACCGCCACCTGACACATCCAGAGAGCACATCCATCAGAGCCGGGACATTTTTCATGCACCTATTTAAAAAGGGGAGCGAATGCAGTCTGGGTCTGTCTCAGTCCAAATGGCAGCAGAGCTGAAAAAGTCCTCAGCATGAGATGATCTGTTGCTTAATCAGTGGAGGCAGGGAGCCCAGTTTTGGAAGAAGATCGCGCTCTCCACTGCAGACTTTAGGTAGGAGATGCAGGGTTGAACTCTAGGACTGAAACCAGCCTAAAGGCACAACCCTTCATCAGATCTGAGCTATCCGACTATAGTAGCAGGACACCCAACTGTGTGGAACGGTGGTGGAAATGCTATTTTATGGGGTTCTTTTTTATTTTTAGGGACAGTTTGTTGCAGCTAAATCCTGTATAGTATAACAAGATTTTTGAACATGATAAAAATGATATTAACAATGATGATTTGAGCTTTCATCCAAGAAAGCTTAACTCTCAAAAAGCTCTCAAACGTGTGAGAGGAGTGTTGATCAGTTTACAGCAACACTCAAATCCCCTTGTAGAGATTTGGAAACGGTCAGGAGAACAAAAACAAAAAAAAAACATAACATCTCCTGGTGGTCACAGAATGATGTGTTAAATGGGAAGTTAGCCACGCTGCTTTCCTGGCACAAATGGTGATCTGGTCAGATACCTCTGTTGCCCGAAAATTACTTATTAGTAGAGTTAATGGTAAAACTGATTTAAAAGATATGACATCGTTCTCTGGGTGTGTTCTGAAGAAGGTGTGTGCTCACTGTGAATCGTGTCCACTGGTCGGTCATGTCTGGGACGCTGAAGGCAGCGGCCTTGTGGCTGTGGGCGGCCTGCGCCCGGTCAGTGTAGTACAGCAGCAGGCTCTGGAGACCTCCCCGAACTGGAGTCAGGGCCAGACCCAGCTCCACCACCTTCTGCTGCGAATCTGTGATGGCAAACAGCACACCTCCTCTCGGGCTGGTTGGGCGCACCTGGAATAAAGAAATGTCCCCAACAATTAACGCCTCAGAAACTCTTCAAGCTATATAGTTCAGAAACCGTATACATATCAGTGACATTGTTAGAAGTCTTTATCAGAGACCACTCCTATTACTCAATCCAATTTATTAGCCAAACATGGAATGAAATAAAATCCCTACTTCACCCACATTTCTTACCTGTTTATGGTATGGAAATTCATGGTAATACTATCCAAAGCCCTACAGCAAAAAATATTTCCAGGAAAAAAACTTGATAAGTCTTTTTAGGAAAATAAGCATACCATAAACCTCTAAGAGAAAATGGAAATGTTTTTTATTTTTTTATTTTGTATTTATTTATTTGTTTTCTTTTTATTCTTTACCTTGTGCTGTTTTTTTGTTTTTTTTTACTTTTCTTTTGTCCAAATCATGACAAAAAAAAAAAAGAGGAAATCATGCTCTTGTCATGACATTAAATGTCCACAAGGTGGCGACACAGGAAGCACAGACTGACACTTCTAATCAGCACAGAAAATGTGGTAATACAACATAATGAGCTTCAAGCTCATAGTTGGCAAGTATCACTAAGCCACGATGGCCTTTTCTAAGCCCTGGATGACAAAATCAAGGAGGTTTAAAAGCTTAAAGGGTTGAAATGCTCACTGTGGCTATGATGGCAAAATCCCGGTAAAATGACCCGGGCACAAAGGTTTTGGTGAGTCGGCCGATGTTGGCGTTGGGTCCAAAGTTGAAGGCTGGAAAACCCTCATATCCAGGAGTGAAGGAGACGGACGGAGGAAGGGGGACTCCAACTAACTCCATCAGGTCCAGATGACTTCCTGAGCCTCGCTCTGACAATGTAAAGGGAAAAATGGAGCAATCACATAACTAAATATGGAAAAAGACATTCATTTTAACACCTTAAACATTGTTTTTTGTCTTTTTACAAATGATCCCTCATAGGCAAGATGCCTTCAGTGTACGGGAAGCTGATGTTCATGATCATTTCCAAGTTGACCTCCTTGATAAACTGCTAAAACCAATTCAGATCTGGATGAGGGGCATTGTGCTAATGACATTCCAAGCAGATTCCTCCCATCTGTCCTACCTCTGGACTGCTAATTTATCTACCACATCAGAGAGAAAAGGGCAGAGGTACACGTGAATCATCATGACAGGGCTTTAATTTGACTTGATTTGATCCAGACTCTCCCCACGCCTCACTGCTCTGCCCTGACAGGACATAATCCTCCAAAACACAAACGCACACACAATAGCTCGCAATTAGTGTTTTCAGTGTCAAGAGATAGTGTCCCATTCCCACGATTCTCTTTACCATCAACCCCGTCTCCTGTTGGGCATTCCAACCCTACATGTCTCTCATAAAGACACACACAGACACACACAGACAATATTTTTGCATACACTCATATACACATCAAACAGACATCTTTCCCACTTGAAGACGCAAAGACAAGCAGACCAGAGGCGACAGGCTAACATTTGGGGGTCTCTAATTCATCAGCCAGACCAACTGGAAGCCTACCTGATTAGAGGGCTGGAGGTGTGTATGTGTGTGTGTAGGTGTGCGTCTCTCACACCGCTAAAGGGGGGACCTCTGCACATTGGCGTGTTTACCATTGCAAGCAGAAGTGGGGAGGTGGGCAAAGAAGATCCAAATATCCAAACCCAAGCACACCACAGCTCTTAACCCTCCAGATGTTCAGTCCTGGGCGCTCTGTAATGACTGAGAACTGGCAGACTGACCGGCCACTGCAGAGGTCCGTTCATATTTTGTGAGAAACAAATTTGCATGTAATCTCTGCTTTCATCTATTCTATTTTTATTTTACTTTCCAGATCAGAATAAAAATATCTGAATCAGCCAGAGCATCTTAGAAACCCCATCCAAAACAACGTTATTTGAAATGATTTGATAAGGAGGAAGTTTTTAAAAGTACTGTAATGATCAAAAAGGTCCTGGTCTTTGAAATAGGTGCAGAGTGCAGCTGCCTCATTTCCTTTCTCAATCTCACAAATAATGTTTCATTCAAATTATGTATTGAAGCTCTTGAAATAAAAATAAAAAAGGGCCTTTTATAAAAAGTTTTTTGTCCTGATCTTGGTCCAAATCCAGGAAAGCTGTCCTCTTATGTTTCTGTTTTCTATCTCGGCCTTTTCATTTTCTTGTTTGTTTGTTTTTTTGCCAGTGAATGTGTCCTGTCCCATGATTATCTCTTATACAAGAACACATATTAATCCATTTCTTGAAGGCGAATAAATTGATTTAACAAATGGACAAATGTCACTCATCTGGCCTTTGCTGATCTAAGGATCCTGATGATGCTTTTGCCGACAGGGGCAGTTTTCCTTAAATGTCCTGCAGAAAAAATGCACTGACACAGGAACTCTCCACCTGTCTCTCTCTACTAAAACACACAGCTTGCAAATGACTAAATTACAACCTAACAACTGGGTAGCTCATTTAGGGTTAAATGCTTTGGCAAGTCTATTAATTTTACTGATACATTTATCACCTCCAGTAGCAGATTCACTAATTCCCTCATGTGACCCCCCCATTGCACCCACAATAGATGAGGGTAATTTACTTGGATCGCTAACAGCACATTTTATAGTCTGTAAGATAAACATAGATTTCCAACATAGTAATCCAGTCTAATCACTCCTATAAGGCAATAAAAAACAACATAGCAAACACCCAAACACCCAAATGTGTGATGGTGTTAAGGGCCCACCTGTGGTAAATAGACAGTATGCATTAAAAAGTTGTGTTTTTTTTAACTCAGTTAATCATTTATTGCAATAATGTATTAATATTTCCATTGGCAACCCACACTTCATTCATTCATTTTCTAACCAAAGTAAATTAAAATAGTGATCAGAAATGAATTTGTGTGATACAGTTTTTCTCACATCCAACAGCCTAGTCTTTCCCTCATTTAGCTCCTATTTCAGGTCACATTCCTCCCTCCTTATTCCCTCCTCCCGCAGCTAATCTTCGTCATGTTGGGCACATAGATGCTTGATCAGCTTGTGGAGATTTACAAGTCCAGTATTACTAACTCGATTGGCATTGCCATGTCTAAGATTTAAAACCCAATTTCAACCTCTTGTGCCACATGAAAGCCTCCAGCTGCTTGACCCTCTATACCAAAGATCTTTTTTGAGAATATGGAATGGACTTAGCAAGGACCACACCAGCTCAGGACTGTGTCACATAGTAGTAGACAACAGGGACTAAGTATTCTGTCCTGCCTGGAGAGACACACTAGGAGAAAAGGTGGGTAAAGACAGTGTGAGACATAGTGAATTCAGTAACAAACTGGTGAGGAGATGCATAATTATAATCCATAATTTCCACTGTTCAGCAACAGATCAACACTGAATCAATTAAAACTGAAAATATCCAAATGAATGACATCATTTTATCCATGTATGGAGAAAATATCCACATATATGAGATTATTCCTGGGATGATTGGTCAGAATTAGCTACTTTTGCCTAAAAGAGAGGTTTTTATTTCCCTTTTGGTTCAGCATCCTAATGAGACTTACCACTCTTCCAGTGTTTCAATGGTTTGTACTGAGACTTGGTTTTGCTGCCACCCTCAGCCCTTTCCTCTGGGTGCAACATCCCAGGTTTAACAGTACTCTGGATGGGCAGCCCTGTGGATCCCGTGGGGCCCAGCTCGGGGCCCTTCGTCTGGATGCCCTCCAGAGCTGTCTCTGTCCCCTCCTCCACCCCCCCCAATGCTGTCCCCTGGGCACCAGGGGGCTCCGGGGACATGGCAGGTGGAGAGGTGACGGGAGGAAGGCTGGTAGTTTTAGGGTTTGCCCAGAAGAGGCTCCACCACTGGCCCCGAACAGGGGACCAGACGAGGAAAAAAAAGGCAAAGGAGAGGCGGAAAACTCCCATCCTGTGTCTGTGATAGTCAGGACTGAATCACCAATTAACCTGCAGCTACAAAACAGCACACATGAGCAAACACATAGGCTAGCACAGTGCTAATGTCCAGCTGTAACGGGCCACCAGCACAGTCCTGGACTGTAAAGTGGGAAAGTTTTCCAGAAGAGGAAGTCTTGCCAAAAAATATTCCAAAAGCAACGGTTGGGCATCTCACAGCCCCTCGCCTGTTCTCCACCTCTTTTCTCTCTTCTTCCCTACTTCATAATGACCTCCCTTTCTCACTCTGTTTGCATCTCCCTTAGGTCTCCACCCCCCCATACCTCCACCCTCCTCTCTTCCTGTGGAATTAGCCTGTTAGCACTGGCTACTCTGGAAGGGGCATTATCATCAGCAAACTTCATTCTGTCACTCCATTTTTCTCACAAACGGTACGTTTGGAAAATCTGATGTGCTGAGAACTCCTCCCTACTCCCTCCACACCATGTAGGACTGTTTGTGTGTGTGTGTGTGTGTGTGTGTGCTTATTGGTAGCAAAGCACTAAACTTCTAACCTCATACAGATACAGGAACTGATGCAGGCACTGCTTTTTTAATAGGCCTGAGTTAGAAAATCAACAATAGTAAAATATACATCGGTAAGGAAAGTGAAAGTCTTTCAGGAAATGATCACAAACTGTAACTTCAGTCAGCCTTCAAGTCAGCCTATGAATAAATGTTGTCCTGGAAACAGCTTGTTGATTTTTATTGTACATGAAAGTTAATTTTGGCCAAACCTGATTAGAGGAATCTATCAGTGTCTTATATCGGTCAGACGAAACTGATGTTCGAGCAGTGAATGCACATAGTGGATTTACTAGCATAAAACCATTTATCTTTAATCCAATTTTTGATTAATTTAGGATTAGAAAACATCACTATTATTCCCCAGAGTTTCTCCTCTGCAGAATGCCGGTAAATGACGTTACAGTTCCTGGTGTTTCTAAGCTTCAGCACATCATTCTGGTGGAAGATAACACTTATGACTTTTTAACTTATGGATTTCAAAAGCTTGAACGAGAGGATTAATGAAGTGAGGACTTTCCCTGCTGCAGCCCACTGACCATGTAGCTCAGACAGGGGCCCCATGTCAGTGATGACAAAGAGAGGCCTGTTCTGGTCCATTGTGTTGGTGAGGTCCAGGATGAGGGCTGGAGTGATGGTGAAGATGAGTCAATGGGATGAGATGCCCCTCTAGTCCATGTTAAACCAAAGTTTGGGTTTTAAAAGTAACATTAAACATGTAAAAGAATCAAACCCAAGCAAGCTCCATTTTTTTTTCTGACACGGTGACCCTCATTATCGGCCCCTGGATTCCAGGAGGAGTAACCCTTCACCCTTCACCACTCGTTCTCTTCCTGCTCCACCTAGCAACCCCCTAGACATAAACTCTAATTGGTTTACTGTCACAGCAAATCTCATGGGAGACAGTATAAATTTATTCACGTATAAAAACATTCAATTCTGAGCAGGAGAAAGAACAGACATCTACTTAATCAGAGACAAATTGATATATGGAGCACTCTTCACTATTTCATGAAATGTTGTTTTCTAAGCCATCATATGCCACTTTGAATTGTAATATATTTAAAAATCCTCAGAATCAATCAGTGAAACTAAATAAACAAAACATTAAAACATGGCCACCAACCCTGACTGTGGCAGAACCATGTTGAAATAGATGAACTCTGTCTCCCCCCTGTGGTCAAAATAGTGAAACACAGGCTGAGGACAAAGTCAATGACACTTTCTGAGTTTAATTATAGGTCTCAATTTTAAAAAATGAAATAAAATAAAGCCTTCTCAGACAAAAATCTAAAAGATTTTTCTCTTGGTTAAATAAACAAACTGTAAAGAACATTCATGTTCCAGCAGGGTGACATTATAGGGAAAACATCCCATGAAACACCAGGATGTGTGAGAGCACTATCTGATATGAAGCTGAACTTAGTCAGTAGTGACCTTTGTAAACATGGTTCTGAGATCTGATCAGGTTAAAATGTCGCTGGCACAAAGTCATGCAAAGGAAGAAGTAGTAATATAGCAGAAATTGGGGTAAACTGATCCCAAATGATAAAAAAACAACATATTTGTGAATATGCAACCCCTGAGTGTGTTAGTGTGTACCTGGTTTTGTGTGTTTGAATGGAAAAGTACATTGCTAATCAGAGCGAAAGAGGTTTTGGCTCCCTGACCAGACTTCTTGTGCCAAAGCAACAAAAGAGCTCAGTTTGCCGATTCAAACAATGATTCTTTTTTTCGACCTTTTTAGCCACGGGATGGACTGATGACCTGTGCACGCCGCCTCTTACCCAATGACAGCTGGGATAAGCTGCAGCCTCCCTGCGACTCTACCAGGAATAAAGTCAAACGGATGATTGGTAGAAATGGCCCCCTGAGCTTCACCACTCCACTGTCCTCTGCATGCAGTTTTCTCTTTGTTAAGTTCGACTGACACCAAACCTGAGGACCATGTGGGCAGCGGTCAACAGAGAGGACCTGTTCTGACGACACACCACCCAACAGTCAATGAAGCCTGTGTGGCAAGTCTTTTTATTTACATCCACTCCCCCTCTGTCCTTCCTCTTCCTCTCCTCCACTGATGTGTTTTCATTCCATGCTCGCTGGCTATTTAGTTTAATCAGAAAAAAAATTGGGCAACATTCACGGGCTGGCCGAGAGGAGCAGCACAAAACTTCATAATATCAGTTCCTCATTGGTCAAAGGGACCAAAGTGCAGATGGGAAGTCATCTGCTCTGATAAAGATGTGATCTGCAGCTGGTGTTAAAAGCAAAAAGTGGTTTAGCTTTTGCAGATTTGCAGATTTGCAGTGATATCTATGATTTCTGCGCTGTTTCCTACTTAGAAGGTGGATATCTTTACTTTTCCGGCTTGCTGTGTAGAAACAGAGGGGCGGCAGCACTCCTCTGGCTCCGGTCCGAGCCCAGTTAAGGTTCAGTGGTGATTGCCGTAAAAGGTCAGCGTTTGCCCGTTTGATCAAATCTCCTTTGTGTCCCGGACAGCAGGTGGGAGACAAAGAATGTCTGGAATTGGGGAGATGACGGCAGATGTGCACATGCACAGACACACACACTGACACACGCAAACACACATCCTCACACTCTTTGAAGCTCTCACGCTGCAGCTTCAGGAGGACAAAGGAGGACTACCTGCAGGCAAAAGGGCCAGTGTGGCCTGGGAGTGGTCAAAATCCATTAGTCTATCAGCTGTCCTCAGAGTGAGTTCAAACAACAGATTATCACGGCCAGAGCACAGCAGACCAGGGGAATTGCAGCTGAAATATCAGCAGGAGCCATGGCCACCAGTGGCCACACAGAAATGTATTTTAGGAGCAATGGGCATCGAAAGCAAAATAAAGGTGTAATTGTTTGACTACCTTTGCTTAAGATGCTTACAAAAAAACAAGGACATCTATTAAAACCATAAGTAAATTTTTTAAGAATTACATTAACTTAAAAATCCAGAGGTGGCTTCGGATGTTAAGGCCCAATAAATGGAGTGACAGAAATATATGACTATTATTTTCAGAACTGTTAACAGTATATGGTTTCAAAATAAGTTTTTTCATTTGTTTGTATAATAATATTTTATTCATTGTAAAAGACAGAGAATATGGGTAGAAGGAAAGAAGAATAATTTAGGAGCAGGAAATAACAAATAGGTAGGATTAAACAGAAGGTAAGGAAAGACTTAAAAAAAGAGGAGAAAAGATAAACAAGTGTAATGAAGGTTCTCAGAGGAGGATTGCAACCCCGGGGTGGGATTAACCCCAACCACTGACCTGCCCACCCAGATCCAACTAAGATTTTCCAAAAGACTAAAAGGCAGCAGAGGAAGGTTTGGTTTCAACATGATAATATATTTACTCATATATAGCCTATTTCAGCACCATTATCCAATCAACTTGATTTTGAATGGATAATTCTGAGTTGTCTATCATAATAATGGATATTCTGTGGCTCAGGAGTTAACCACAAATCAAAAGTTTGGTGGTTGACTTCCTGGGTCACATGTCAAAGCGTCCTTGATCAAGACACTGAAGCCCACATGTCCAACTGGTACATTCTCTGGTATCCATGTGGGTCACTTTGCATAAAAGTGTCTGTTGTGAACACTCATTTTGGACCATGGGTTTGGGCATCCACCCAATTAGAAGTGATGGAATCAGCATGACATCTCTTGTAGTCATTTTGCTCTTAATCTCATAATGTCTCCATTATTTGTGACATGAAAAGTAACTGTTACTATCAGACAAAAAAAAAAAACATGAATGTAAATGTCGTAATGTCTTAATTACCATGTCTTAATTTTGTCAAATCCTCTGCAAAGCAGTTCATAGCACATTTTTTGTGTGTCAATATGCTACATATGAATGAAATCTTCTCATTCAGACAACAAATAAAAAGCATTTCAAGGCTGAGTTAAAGACAAAAAGACATCTCCGTAGGAGACGAAGTTGCAGACACAGCACACAGCACTTCTCCAAAGCCTCTCCAGATAATTTCAAGAGTCCAGAACGTGGTTAAAACAGCTTCCAAAACCAAGTATGAGATAACAAGCCTGTTTCTCAGGGAAGAAGCTGGCAGTGATAGTGAGGTGGAGTACTTTCACCAAAGTGGACTCAAATCTGAGCCAAACATGCTGCAGAGTGAGGCATGTTCCCCTCGGATGAGAGAGAAATCTCAATTACTTTCCTTAGGGGGACTATGCAGTCTGGCTACAAGTTTAATTAATTAATTAATGGATCAGTCTAAGTTGAAGCATAACGGTTAAAACATAAACCCTTCGAAACTTTAGTTTAAAATGGAAGTGTTTTTTTATATAAAGCTCATTAAATAAAAAACAAAAAGCTAAAAAACATACAGCACTGAAACAATTCCACTCAGCTCTGGCTTTGGGAGGAAATGCTCTGATGTGGAGATGCATGTGATGACAGCATGAACTCTGTGAAAACAAAGCTTATCGGCTACATGATTTGCACGCTGCCTACAAACATACATGCTATCGCGGCTTTGACACAGTGACCGCCAACATGGAGCCCACAGACACAGACACCACACAAACAGCTCCTCTCAGAGGTTCTCTATAAGGCTCACAGCGTGTTTCAAACAGATGAATCCACTGTTCCCAGTTCATGGGAGGTCAGAGG